GCTTCCAGACAAGGGCAGCCACTAGGAGTTCCCTAATCCCTTCCTAAAATGGGTTTGAGTCAGTTCATTACCACTGATAAGAGTGGGATCTGTCTATAACCCTATCTGTATATTGTGCCATCTTTATTGCTCCAAGTTTCGTTTTGTTCCAGCACATCTAGTTTTAATCCTTCTTTATTGGCCTAAAGATAATGTGGGGGAAATACTTTGTGTGGGACATTTGAGTTGACATGCAATAATGTTCCAATCACCTTTGCAGCGTCTTTTATGCCTTCCACCTTTCCACTTCTGTGGCTTGGCTCGCAACGTCCTCTGCTCGGTTTCCCTTTCTCTCCACATCAGTGCTTTGTTGACGTGCATCTCGTCTTCCAAACCGGTCTTCTCCACTCACTCTGGCTTCTAGCCTTGACCGTCTTTCCATGCCTTCCGGTTGCCATGGTGCTCATCAGTCAGCCCCACGTACTGTTGTTCCACAGGCCTCAGTTTCTCCGGGAGATGGAAAAGCTGTGGATAGCACAGATTATGCTTGCTTTACACTTGTGACTCTGAGGCTACTAGAACCCTAATAAACAATGTCCAGAACAGAATATGGGCATGAAAGGAAGGGCAGGAAGGAAGAAGTCAGGGTCGATAGAATGATAAGGACTTAGTGAAAAACAGTAGATTGCGAACTTCAACAGATTTTTGCCTTTAAAGCAAGTCATCTTATTTTTCCAACTCACTTTTTTTTATTTCAAATAACACAAATGGTTTGTATTGCAATAGTTGCTATGACTTCCATCAAATGAAACTTTAACTTTGTGAGGAAGGAATCTGGGACAAGTAACCCCCTTTCCTTCCTTCCTTCCTTCCTTCCTTCCTTCCTTCCTTCCTTCCTTCCTTCCTTCCTTCCTTCCTTCCTTCCTTCCTTCCTGATATCTTCCTCATAACCTCCCTTACCTTCCTCCCTCCCTCCCTTTCTTTACTTACCCTTTTTTGGTGGTGCTAGGGATGGAACCCAGTACCTCTCTCATGCTAAGCATGTGCTCTGCTACAGAGCTACATCCCAGCCCTTGCACTATTATTATTTTTTTAATTAAACATTTCTTTAATGTAGTCATTCATCTGAATATCATTGTGGGGATGGGAATTTTAAAGACAAAGGCCCAAAGGGCATAAGCAGAGTCAGACAGTGTGTCAATCCTGAACTTCATAGCACTCACAGCCCCTACTCTTGTGATCACGGTCACAAGGCAGGGCATGGCTGATGGAGAACTCCAGTTGTGGCATGCCCTTTTGGAGAGGAGGGGTCCGGGATATTCCCACTCAAGAGCATACTGTCTTTTCATAGACCCCTCCTTATTGAGTCACGGCCTCCCCTCTAATCCTGATGTGACCATGTTTCCAGATTCCCTCTTCAAGTTGTTGAGAATTTCATGCCTCTATACCATGAACTATGATCACACCACCCTCTACTTCCTCCAGCTCCTCCAACACACTCCCTCCCAACTTGATGTTATCTTAAAAAACAGAACAATAACAACATACATGCTTGTGCTCAATTATAATAAATCAGCTTTATCCCCCTAACACATGTGCATATAGGGGTGGGTGGGTGTTCATATATGTGTGTAGGTGTGAGTGCACATGTGTGTCCATGAGTGTGGAGACCAGAGGACAACTTCTCACTGGGCTGAAACTTATCAGGTGAACTAGTTGGCTGGTCAGTGAACCTCATGGATTTGCCTGTCTCCGCCTCCCCACCACTGAGATGATATGTGCCTGCCACCACACTCAATGCTCTTACATGGGTTCTGTGGACCAAACTCATCCCTCATACACTTTACAACTGAGATCTCTCCTCAGCCCAAATTTCTCTTTTCCACTCTATCATTTTTTTAACCCAGGTTTCTAGATACCTTTTTGATGAGGAGTTACTTCTTACACGTATCAGCTATTCAGTTACTATATTTTTTAAAGAGACTTGGCATTTTTAGTAGGCATGGTGATGTTCTTTCTCTCTCCATGGAAGGCTTTGCCCTGTTTTCTCTGTTTCCATCTTAGCTCATTTACTGCGGCAGTTCCAGCCAGTTCGATGGCTTGATGCTGCCTGTCCCTCAGACTCTTGCTGTTGTGCTGATTTAGTCAATATGCGATCCTACCCCTGGGAAGGACGCGTTTCTAATGGCATTGCCCTCAATATTTAGGTACTCTTGTTTTCCTTGGAGCCGACGTGCGCAGAGTGTTAACGCACACTTTTGCCTGCTCATTATCCGGAGAGAGCCAGACACTAAATTAATTTGCTATTACCCTGTGTTTCCTACACCCCGTCTGTGTTGTGAGCTGATGGATTAGTATTTGCTGAGCACCGGGGGTAGGGCAGTATAGTCACTCCATTTATCATTTTTTTTTTTTTTTTTTTTTGCTCCTTGCCACATCAGCCTAGCCAGATACCATGCCCTTTATCTTGTGAGTCATGGGAGGCCATGGATACCACCAGCTCCGCAGTTCAGGCCCAGTGTGTTTTCCACACAGTGAACGGCCTTATTAATGTGCCTGCCTTCCTTTCATTGTTTGCTGTTGGTTGGTTTTTCTTTTTCCAGGTAGGTCAGGAAGTCTCTGGATACTGGTAGCTAGACACTGACTGGTGTGCAAAGCTGTCTTCTCCAGCCTTGCCAAGGGCAGGGCTTGGGTAGAAGATCCCCGGTTTTCTGTCTGCCCTGGCTGGAGGCCTCTCCCCGAGCATGCTAGGCTTCCCTCGTGCCAAGATTTCCTGTCTTGTGTGGAAATGAGTTTTCTCTGTCTCTCCCCAGAGACTTCTTCATTGAATACTGCCAATTTATAGCCCTTGCTGCCTCCCCATAGATGCCTAATTCTCAGCTCTGCTGCCTAAATGAAGCTCTTGCTCTTGCGAACTGGGTCAGATTTGAAATTCTTTCTAAATCTACTTTTTTAACACCTCAAATGAATACGTGGGGAGCTAGAAAGCAGAAAAACTGATTAGCAGCCCTGTAAGTAATGTTAATAGTTAACCAGTTCAGACAAATATTTGCCTTCAGCATCTCATAAAGTGTTACCAGTCGCTGGTCTTTATTGCCAATATTCTCAAACCCACAAGTCCAGCTGGACCAAGAGACCAAAAACCATCACTGCCACCTCCAGCCGCCATCTTCTTAATTTTCCTTCCCCTTGCCAGACATGGTATATAAAAAGAGAAGTAAAGGAGGTTGTGCCATGTGGCAAAATATTAAAGCAAGAAGGCTGAAGTGTCTTGAGTACACAATGAACAGTCAAGCCTACAGGGAGAGTATAAATACAGAAGTAAGCCAGTAACTGATGAGGCGGGTGTGGGTTCAGGTGTGACAGAGGCCGTGGGAAGGAGGGCAGTAGAGGGAATGGGATCTCCAAAGTGCTGACACTCAAGTCCCTCAAGCTTCAGCCTGGAAGATGAGACCTAGAGGACGTCCATGAAAGGAGCCTCGCAGGAGGCATGTAGGAAAAGCCTGGGACAAAGGCTTCAGGCAACACACCAAGCTTGTGTATTATGGAGGCCCAGAAGCTAGAACTCCCTCCAAGCAAGTTCTGAGATGACCCTGTTGTCCATACTTTTCCTTGCCTGCCAAGCCCAGCTTCAAAAGATGACCCACATCCCACGGGGTCAAAGGAGAGTTGCTCCCACATTCCCTTTTTTTTGGTCACAATGACATAGAACCACTTTTTATCTGGAGTCAACTCGGTATAAAGCCACTGTGTGGATAGAAAAACTGGGGAGAAAATCCATAAGTAACTTGTCTAATCTGGTGACATAACTTGGCCAAAAAAAAAAAAAAAATCTACTCTTTCCTTAGTTACACAGTTTGCTCTCTCTGAAGGAGAGGCCAACCTCCTGGGGCTGGTTTAGCCTGCAACTCAGACCGAAAGGCTGAGAAATTGGTTTTCGGTGAGCTGCTTAAGTACATATCCTGTATTAGGTATATATATGTTTGGGCTTCTATGTTCTTTCATGAATGGAACCAGATGAAAGACATCCCCAGAGGTTGTGTCTGACAGGCCACACTGCAGATGAGTGCAGCTGTTAGGTTTGGGGTCAGGCAGAAGGCCCCAGCTCTTTCCTATCTGTTCTTCTCCAGCAAGAAAAGTCAGAAGTCACAGAGAGGTGGGAGACTGAATTCCTACCTACAAAGATAGAAGTGATTCTTAAACACCAGAGGCTCTTATTGACCAGTTCCCTAATAGCTCTGTTAGTAGAAAGAATTTTTTTTTTTCGTTTTTCGAGACAGGGTTTCTCTGTGTAGCTTTGCGCCTTTCCTAGAACTCACTTGGTAGCCCAGGCTGGCCTCGAACTCACAGAGATCCACCTGGCTCTGCCTCCCAAGTGCTGGCATTAAAGGCGTGCGCCGCCACCACCACCCGGCCGAAAGAAGAATATTTAATGAGTCTTAAAGATTTCGTGACTGTCATCAACCATTTCACTCTACATCTTAGGGAAGAAAGGGAATCCGAGACCAGAAAGTAAGAAGATGCCATAGACCATCATGGGGACAGTTACAGGAGAGAAGAAAGTAGTATAAAAGAATGTCTGATGCCATGTGGCTTTGGGAAGGGGTAAGACTAGACAATCACAGTGACATTTCAGTCTAGGGACAGAAGATGGAGAAGGTGTGGGCAATGTTGTAGCTGAGAGCCTTCATCCTGATCCACAGGCAGCAGGAAGAGAGGAGGTGGGTGGGAGAGGGAGAGGAGAGGAGAGGAATGGGAGAGGAGAAGAGGGAGAGAAGGAGGAGGAGAGAATGTACCAGGGCCTGATGTGGGCTTTTGAAACCTCAAAGCCCAGCCCCAGTGACACACTTCCTCCAACCAGGACGTACTCACTAATTCTTCCAAACAGTTCATCCACTGGGGACTAAGCATGCAAATATATGAACCTATGGGGGCCATTTTTTTTTCAAACCACCACATGAACATATTTCTGTATTTTAACCCTATCTCTCCCTTCTCCCTTCACTTCTTGTGGGGTCTAGGTTTTACTGTGCATCACCTACACCCCAACGTTTGACCTGAATGGGAGTGCCGTGCTGAAGATCGCAGAGGTGAGTATTACCTCTGGTACCAGCAGCTGGCAGCTGCTTTCCCGCTGATGGGGGGCGGGGAGGGGGGATATACTTGACTAGATCTGAGTACCATCAGAGAGACTCTCTGGTCACTTCTCTGAAGACCGTGGGGGAGTTTCTGCTGGATTGCTTAGTGGGAACCACGCTGGGCAACCGGCCATCCTTGCTCCTCATGCCGTGGGTCTTAGGACTGTGCCTGCTTGGGTTTGGTTGGCCTGAGGCTTTACATATGAGAGCAGTAGTACCAGACTCCCACTCCTCTGCACCCAGGCACAGTCTTTCTCAGTCTGGTTTTGTTTTTCCCCCAAGAATAATTGCAAAGCATTTTCTGTTGAAGAAGCCAAGTGTGAGATTTATAAAAATGTTTATTGATCCGATTCTGTCTGACTCACAAGCCCTGAGAACTGCATTCTGTAACTCACTGGAAGGGTCCTTCTTTCCCTTCTGTGCTCTTCTAGAGTCCCATGTGCCTTCCAGCACATTCCAAACTGTGGCCAGCAGAAAACCTGGCTCCTTGAATGTCTGGCATGTGCCTTAGCTTCTGGAAACATTGTCTTTTCAGAGCTGAGCGTCACTCTGCCTGGTGGAGTTTTCCTTCCATTCCTGGAAAAGAATGCTTTCAGTGTTTGCTTGTTCCAGGAGGAGTTACATGTTCAGGCCAGGAAGCAGCAATACTCTTCTGTATTCTAAAATCATGGAATTCTACCTCTGAGCTTCACTTTCAGCCCAGACGACGTAGAAAACATTCTTGGCTGTCAAAAGGGAAGCAGAAGTTTGCTGGCTCCCAGCACACCATGCAGCAGCTTTCAGTCATGGATTTGTAGAGTTGGACATTGTTCCCTTTGGGACATTGATGTGTCTCGATGTATATAAGCTAATGGTAAATGAGCATGCTCAGGAAGGAGCTTCCCTGTTTGGTGTGGATCTTGCCACCCCCCCCACCCCAGGGGATCTCCTAAGCTTCTCTCTGGCCCTCGTGCATCACAATTACTCCATCTCATAGCATGGTGGTTCCAGCTAGACTCAAGACCCACATTCCACCCAAATGGCTGTTAGTGTCGGTCGAGTCCCGACGTGCACAGTGCTCACCACTGTCTTTTTAAAATAGTTAGGGAAGCAACTTAGGAAAACTAAAACAAGCTCCTAAGTCACAGCTGGGAAGGAATCCAGCTGTTCTTTGCCCTTTCTCTCTCTGGTAGACACTGGTGATCATTCAGGATGTCGCTTACCCTGAAACCTGTTGATCAGGAAATGAGATGTGTACTTAAGTATGAAAAATGAGCCCTAGTTCCTGGAGGTACTGTTGAGACCATAAAGGGATCATTAAGCTTTCAAAATGTAAATATGAAGCAAAATTGGTCTGTGTGTCTAACACAAGTTTGCTGAATTAACCTCTAGTCAGAAAAATTCTTTACAAGTGTACCTTCTGTGTTACAAGAGGAATAAAAAAAAAAAAAAAAGAAGACCAGATTTGTTAAAGGGGCAATTATAAAATAAGCAACCATTATTTACGATTCAGTTTCATGAACTGTCGTTACCAGTCCTCCACATGGGCACACAGTGTTGATGGGTCAAGATTCAGCCATGGGCTTGTTTTAGTATTGTGCATAGGTTAGGAGATATGTTGAGTTTTCCAAAGACAGCTGCTCCCTTAATATCGGGAAAGGCCGAGGGCACAGAAATTGTCAAGATCTTCCACAAAAGAAGAGGATGAATCATAGCCAAAAGCAGTCCGAGGCTGATTTGGAAATGGTTAACGACACCGTCCCATTGGAAAGACCTGAGGACTGTCACCGAGCCTGCTGAAGACAGCGCTATTGAATTTCTCAAGAGCCAAAAGCCTTGGCTATAAATATGTATTTGATAGTTTATCTTATTGATTCCTAGAAACTTCTAGTCTTTTTTTTCCCTCCCTATAGCAAGCTTGTTGGTCTCAGGGAAAATCTGTTTCAGAACCACTGTTGTTGGGTTTAGTTTGCTAACATTCTTCTTTCCAGGGCCTTCCCCCTTTTTACTCCTTCTACCCAGCGTCTGTCTTTTCCAAAACACTGGTTAATAAAAGCGATTTGTCATCAAGTCCCAAGAGCATGGCTCTACATCTTCATTGTGCTATACGCTCTACTATAAAGAACCACAGACCAAGTAAAGTTCATGTTCATGCCCGAGTTTCTACAGCTTGCTATTTTTTTTCTTTTTTTTAAAACGTAATTTCTTTATTGATTCTTTGGGAATTTCGCATGATACACCCTAATTCCGCTCATCTCCCAGTCCCCCCATATCCTCCCTTCACCCCTACAATGCGCCCCCAAAGAAAACCTAGACTTTTTATATTGCAAGCATGTGCTAATGTTAATTACTCTGCTGTATTGCTCACTGTGTACCATCAGTGTAGAAAATGATGGACTTTTCCTGAGGCATTTATTAGGTAATTGAGACATGTTGTTTTTACAGATGAAGTGAAATAGAGAGACGTTTAATTTTTGTGAACCTAGAGCCCATGGCTGTTGGAAGTATGCAGGCCTACCACCTCAAACAAGTTCAGACCACAGAAGTGAGGAGATATTCTAAGGAGTTACTTTACATCCCCGAAGTCCTTTCCTTTTCCCTTCTTCCCTGTGCCTCCCTCTCTGTATTGGTCCTGGTTCGACTCTTCTGGCTTATCTGTACGTGTATGACTTACTGCTAGATGGACTGGGAGAGAGCTGGTCTTTTCCTGAAAGAGATTTTCGCATCTCTGTTTCTCTCTGATTTGATAGTCCTGAGTGGAATTATTTGTAGTCAGAAGACACAGAGAATAATGAGAACACTTCATTTAGGGCAATTTCATAGGGAAAAGGCTAGGTCTCAGGAAAACTAGACTGGGCAGAAGGCTCTAATTGGAGTGGTGTAGGAATTGATGAGGTAGGGTGTCTTAGGTCATTACAATGTGCCAGTGTAAGACCAAAACACAAAACAAAAAAATATGAGGGAGGAAAAAGAAAGGTAGTTTTCCATGTATGCCAGGCTTATGAAGACGTTTCCTTAAAGCTGAGATCTAAAAGAAAATACAGCAAACTTCTCTATCTGGCATTATTGCCCAAATTAAAATATACACATATGCACTTTTCTCTCTCTCTCTCTCTCTCTCTCTCTCTCTCTCTCTCTCTCTCTCTCTCTCTCTCTGTGTGTGTGTGTGTGTGTGTGTGTGTGTGTGTGTGAGAGAGAGAGAGAGAGAGAGAGAGAGAGAGAGAGAGAGAGAGAGAGAGAGAGAGAGAGAACCAATTTGATGAGGTTCCTCTTTTCATATACCCACCACTACAGGTACCTGTTAGGAAGGAGACCTCTTTCAGAAACAATAAGAAATGGCCTGGTGACTAATCCATCACCATGATTCCTCATACAGTTTAGACTCACAGTGATAACCAAAGCTTGTCCAGTTCTCTTGTGATTAACAAGCATTTACTGTCTTCTCTATATAGAAGACATTGCTTCCTAATAGTTTAATCTCTGATCCTACTTCCTCACTCTTATTCATTTGTACCATTTATTTTTTCAACTGGAGAAATATGAGCTCTTCTCTCCATAGAACTAATGATTCAGTATCACACACATACACTTTTTTTGTGTGTAGCAATGCCATTACCTCTCTTCAGACAGGCAAAAGAAAGTTGAGTGCATGTTCAGTGAAGTGAAAGTTATGTGTACTTTACAAAGTTAGGCAAGTTTCTCTTGAAACATCTCCTTTTAAATGTGTACGTAGTTGGGCCAAAATATCCTGAGTACTATGTACCTCGGTGCTACTTCATGGTGAGTTTTGCCTGGGACTGCCATTTGTCACCCTTAACCAGTGATGTAAAGCTCTGTTTCTTGTGCTTACCTGCAGACTCGTGTTTTCCGGTTCTTTTTCTCCTTAGGGAGATTTTTTTGTCTTTGTTTTCATTAACCGTCCGTGCTATAATGACATGTCTAGCATGTCATAAGCTGGATGTCCACACATGCAGGACATGATCAAAATGTGCATTGTGGCTTTTTTTCACTGATCTGTGTCTCCATGTACTCCCTGGTGATCAGGGGCCTGTGATTTTTTTCACATGCTATTTCAGTTGGCCTTTCCGCACTTCTGGCCAGGGTACTGGCTTGAGGCTTTTCAAGATTCATATGACAGATGCAAAGAGCACAATGGGTAGAATGATTCTGGAAGAAGGAAGAGAGGAAGCCGCAGCTCCTCTGCAGAAACTCAGCCTGCCTTTGGATGTGGCATTCTCTTGGCTCCTTTTTCCAAATGTGCTTATTTTTAGTATTGCCTTGCAGTAAAAGAAGTAAAGCTTTCATGCAATTTTTAAAAATCTCTCTGGTGTTGAATACAGTGTTCAAATTTAAAAATATAAACCCTATTTCTGTTAACTAACTAGTTTAACAACTTACCACTACAGAAAGCTTAAACTATTTTTTGCCAGGTGGTGGTGGCAGCGCACGCCTTTCATCCCAGTACTCAGGAGGCAGAGGCAGGTGGATCTTTGTGAGTTGGAGGCTAGCCTGGTCTACAGAGTGAGTTCCAGGACATCCAGGGCTGTTACACAGAGAAACCCTGTCTCAAAAAGAAATTTTAAAAAAAGATAAGAAAGAATTTTATTTTGTTTTATTTTTGCCATTTCATACATAAATACAATGCATTGTGGGTATATCCAGCCACCACCATGACCAATTACCCTCTCAGAGTAGCTGATGAAGCATTTTGTTCTAAACACTTAAAAAGAGATGCCAGAAAGAAGTGATACTGTTTGTATTTAATAGTATATCTCTTTGTCATATTCAGCATTACATTTCCAAATTTGACAGAATAAGCTTCTTAAAATAACAGTTTTTTCTTCACTGAGTAAATGCGTTCATCATTTCCCTTAATGAAAAACTTCTTGTGATAAGTCCTGGTCCATGTTATTCTCTTAATATTAACAACTAAGAACAGTGTGACATTTACACTAAGAAAAAATACATTTGGTATTTGCAAAGTTCTTCTCTATTTATTAGAACATTGTGCTATATAAAGTTTGATTTTCTATGGATGCTTTCTTTCACAGGTTTCAAGGGACTGATATCATGTCTTAAAGGAGTTGGGCTAGTGTGTATGGCTTGGAGTTCAGGAGAATTTATGTTAAGTCTATGGTTGAGCTTTCAAAATGGCTACTCTTTCAAATGTAGTGCTTTCATGGATTAAGAGTCCTCTTTGAATATATGTGAAAACTTATTTTAAACATCAAAAGTTACAAAGATTTCCTGAAAACGTGTAAGGAAACCATTAAATTATGAGATCAATGGCATTTGCATGCCTAATTATAGTCCACAAAGAAATTGGTTTCATCAAAGTGCAGTGCTACACTCATTTAAAAGTAATTTCAGAGTTTTAAAGTTATTTTATCATATCCCAAAGAATAAGCTCTGGAGATTAAAACATCACCCTAAAGCAATATAAATTATTGTCTTGAAATCTATTATAATCCATAATTATTTGAGAAAATGAACACATACCTTTAATATCAGCACTCAGGAGCCAAGGCAGAGCTCTTTGAGTTCAGGCCAGCCTAGTTTATGTAGTTAGTTCTTGGCCAGGCAAGGCTACATAATGAGACCTATTTCAGAAAAAAAAATTAAGATTCTCGTGTCCTAAATAGTTGTACAAAAAAAAATTTTGTAACTTGTTCCTATTTTTTTAACTATAGAAGAACCCATCTAGACCAATATCCAAATCCAGTATTAAGTTTCAAATGTCCTTTGGGAAATATTAAATAGTATGTAAGGTATGAATTAAACTTTAAAAATACTTATTTTGTGGAGTTAAGGATTGTGGGTAAATGGAATCCCAGGATATACAAAGCCGGAATTCCAACCCAACACTGAAAAATAATAATAAAAAGAAAACATTAGCTTTTGGTTAATTTTACAAAAAGACTATTGTAGTGTGACATGCCAAGAAACTTCTCATATCTTGAGCAGTAGCAACAACAAGGATTAAAATTCTCTCTCTTTCATCTCAGATATCAGTCATCAAATTAAATTTTCCATTTGGGGGTGATCCTCTGTTTTTATTAGCGCCCATGAGGAGCTGTTCCTAGAAGAATAATTTCAGTTTATTCAATTCTTTTGTCTTTCTGTTTACCTCTTTGTTGAAGGACACATGGCCTTATGGAGAGAAAAAAGCAGGCAAATTTTGAGCAGGCATTCATTGCTAGGCCCATCCTTAGAGCTTCGAGAATTTGAGGCCATGAACCTTCAAAAGCCATGACATGACATTCAGAGTTGTTATCAAGTAAGAGATCCCCCACCCCCCACCCCAAATCTAGGATTTCCCCATAACTAGCCACCAACAATCCTCTTTAGTTTTAACTAGAGATTCAGAACCACAGATCCAAGGAGGCATCGACTGGCCTGTTCACACAGCAGAAAAAGGGACAGAAAACAGGCAGAAAAGTGGCACTGTGTATCTTTCCCTCACAGTAGGGCAGGTAGTTCTCTGGCTCTCAGTTGGCAGTGTGGCTTATGAGACTGAGCGTAGCCGGAAGTTTCTCCTGTCCCACCCGGCCCTGTGGTCCCGCAGCCGCTTATAAAATAATAACTCCAAAGTTTAATATTAATTGCAAATTCTATGGCCTATTGGCCCAAGCGTCTTGCTAGCTAGCTCTTACAACTTAACTCAACCCATAACTCTTAATCTATGTATCCCCACATGTTCTGTGGCTTTAACTGAATCCATTACCTGTTGCTCCTTGGACAGCAGTTTGGCGCCTCCCTTTACTCTCCTTTCTCCTTTCACGATCTCTCTTGGATTTTCCTGTCTGGCTCCATCCTGCCCTGCCATAGGCCAATGCAGCTTTATTTGTCAAGCAATCAGAGCAACACATATTCACAGCCTACAGAAAGACATCCCACAGCAACTGAGTATCGCCTCATGGGTGCAGGATCACCCCTGCTATGGAGCCCCCCATCTCAGTAGAAGGCACTGTTAGTGAAAGAACTCTGTGAACAAGGTTTGCAGCGTTTCCTCAGAGGACACACTCCATGACAGGGCTCCCTGCATGTAGGGAAGCCCAAGCCTGTGGCTTCCCTCCCAATCTTCTGAGTTGGAACACAGTACCCCTGAGTCAGGGGCCGCTCAGTGTCCAGGAAACACCTCTTCCCACAAGTCATTCTACCTTGGTGATTGTTCTTAGGACACAGCAACAGTTCACACACACTCAAACTCATTACACCTCCGAGATTTCCCACGCCCAGCGCTCTTGTGAAACAAATGGTGCTTTCTCCGGCCATCTGAGCTTCTCTTAGAATTGTTGGGGTCACAAAACCCCCCACAGATATGTATTCCCCTGTGAAACTCAGAAACGCGAGACTATGACAGTGGTGATGGTCAGGGAAAGGGTTCTGTGAATGCTTAAAAACAAATGTCCAGAGGGCTTTAATATGGCTAGGTATTTTTTATTAATAAATAATTTAGAGTCAAGCTGACTTGCCCTTTCAGAAGGATTTGGAGGCCAGAGCAAGAGGACCCTGAGTTCAAGGCCAGCCTCAGGTACAAGAAAGTGAGAGCTTGTTTAACAAGCTGGCATTCTCTCTGCGGAAGGCCGAGGACTGTCTGGGATAATGGGCTGTCGGGCGTGCGTACGTGCGTGCATGACTCCTGTCTCCTCCCCAGGTGTGCATCGAGACCTACACCTGCAGCTGTCACCAGCGCAGCATCAACACGGCTGTGCGCGCGACTCTCAGTCAGATGTTGAGCGACCTGACCTTACAGTTACGGCAGAGGCAGGAGAACACGGTGAGCTCATCACGTTGCATGTCTAACGCGGGTTTGGTGATGACATATGTTACTGCATGTTATATGTCCCAGGCACTGGGCCTGTACCACCATGTCTGCTGTCCCCTGAAAACACTGGGAAGTACTTTTTATTGGGACGTTTATTTATATAAATTTAGCTATATAGAAATTTTCCTATTTTGCCCCCAAAATATGAAGTGCTCTTCCTTATGGTTTTTTTGTAGTAAACTACAATGAAATTTTGATCATTTAAGTTTTTACAGTTTTTAAGAACTTTTCCTATTAAATATTTTTGTTAAAAATATTATATAGGTGACTAGAGAGATGGCTCAGCAGTTAGGAACACTGGCTGCTCTTCTAGAGGACCTGGGTTCAATTCTGAGCACCCACATGGCAGCTCACAACTGTCTGTAACTCCAGTTCCAGGGGATCCAATCAATGGCTTCTTCTGGCCTCCTCAGGCACCAGGCACACATGTGGTACACAGATATACAGGCAGGCAAAGCATCCATACACAAGAAACAGTTTTTAAAACTTTAAAACATACTATGGCAGTTAACTTGTAAAATGGGGGGCGAGGGGAGTAGCAGTTCATTGCATGCTATGAGCTTGGATGCAATTTCCTGGATTAACTAAAGTGACAGAAGGATGTCCCCCCACCTGCCGGGGCCAGCAATGTTAAAGCTAAGTATCTGGTGACCTCAAAACCCACTAGAGCTTTCTGCTCTAAACCTGTACAGATTGCCTAACACAAGCCTCCAGGGGATGAAAGTCACCTTTTGGTATGTGTTTTCTTCTAGGGATGTCAATAAGTGACACAGCTTCAAAACTAATGTTTTGCTCCGACTTTCAAATCGGCCTCTGTAATGATAACTCGTTAAAATTCCCATAAAACCCAACAAAGTGCTCACTGAGATGAAGCTCATTATTGTTCAGGGTAGGCAGTCTCAGTTGGGGTTGGAGATCTCCACAGACAGAGATGGGTTTTCAGCTGTTCAATTTCAAATATTCCTCATTTTTTTTACTTCAATTGTTTTCTAATTTTTGAGGAAACTATGGACTTGAAGGGAACCCTACAGATAGTCAAGTCCACTTTCTGCATTCCTTATTTTACAGACGAGATGCGAAAGCCTGGAGAGAGATAATTGAGCTATAAAGTTAATGAGTTGTCCTTGAAGGAAGCAAAGTTAAGCCCTGGCCTCTGACTCCCAGGCCACATTCTCCATCCACATGTGCTCTGGCAGCTAGTGCAGACAAGCATCAATAATTTAGAAAAACAAATACTGATTATTTTTTTTTCCTTTTGTATTTGCTATACCCAAAGCCCAAATTTCTGATAAACTAAAATATCAGTTACTTTAGATAACCCTTTGTTGGAAGTGATCTCGTTTATCCTATGATTTTGGATATGATGGGTATAGGAATGTTGGCTCAAAAGAGTCTATAAATGGAAAACATATTAGGAGAGAAGGAATTTCAGATGCTAGAATTTCCAAAATAATGTCATATTTCGTTCTTGCTAACTCGTAACACAATTGAATAGTCTACCATTAGTAATGCCTAAGATTTTTAAATAAAACATTTAAGTGCAATATTTTAAAGTGCAATATTTTAAAGTACTCCAAATTATGATCATTTAATTTTATTTTTGGAACTGTAACTAGAGGACAGTCATCATGATGTTTGGGGCAAAGGTCAACTGTATCTGTGATAGAACATGCTATCTAGCCCAGCAGTATAGTAGGCTAAATCATTTTGGGTTTTATGTATATAATTTATGTCACACAATGACAAAAATCATTTAGCAGTGACATTCTCAGAGTATGTCCCTATCATTAAATGGTACATAACTACGTTAGGTGGTAAGTCACGTGCCTCAGCCTCCTAGTGCTTAGGTCTCCCTCAGAATGGTAGCAGGGACAGCTGAGGAGGTCTGGTTGTACGCTGCAGATGCTATATGTCTCTATCCTGTGTTTTATGTGACCAGTCAGCCTGCTGGTCCTGCTCATCACTGACCGTCTAGACTCACCCCAATCAAAGGCAAGATCTAAAATCATGTGGAAAATTGCTGTTCCCCATAGACTTCCTTTGTATTACTCAGGCAGTCCTTTGGAGATGGATTGCCTGTTTAAATGAAATTCTCAGGATGGTAACCTTTGAAGCATTTGTGATGTCTAGCAGAGGGAACTGTCAGTTTTTTCCACCTAAAAATTAGATGCTTTTTCAAAAGCAATTAAAGGGGCGTGGCTATCAGAATGATAATGTTCTCTCCACGGAATTTGTGCAGACCCCCGGGGGACACTCAGGGACACCTGGGAAGAATGTGTATATTCTGTAGCATGACTCCTCCCTGGAAAGACACCCTGGGCCAACTCAGAATTAGGAAGACCTGGATATGGCAGAAAGACAATGAATAATGTGGAATGCAAAGGTATTAGCATAAAGTCCACCTTCCACATAATGTCTGCAGCCCCCCACCCCTCCCCCAGGCCAGATTGCAGTTCTGATTTTGTATCCTTATAAATGCTGAGTTATCATCTCACTTTATTATTGAATTACTTAGATGACCAAATGCATTGCTGGCTTATAAGCTGCTGATCTTTCAAAGTGAAATTGCCACGTATAAATATCTGGTGGCTGGGCTATCTGTATACCTCTACTTTTAAGTGTTATTCTGTTGCATTCTCTTAGAAAATGTCTTAGAGACACCAATGTAACAGCTCACAAAGTCTGCTGTGGAAGCAGCTGAATTTGCAGATTTTGAATACAGAGCAGTAGACTGTAGTGAGTCTTAAAAATGCAGCACTGTGGCATGATTTACATATCAGATAGCTAATTGGCATGAAAATGCCCTTCTTATCAAACCAATCCTTCTGTGGAGAGGTAGGAAGACTGAGTTACCTCCTTCCCATTCTCAGGTCTGCGATCACTGAGTTATGCTTGCCATGAAAACATGAGCCATCTTACCTGTAAGCCTTTCCCTTTCTGTTTTTCCTAGGTGGTATCTCTGCTCTAATAGTTCTGGATCTACCTAGAGACCACCAAGCCAGGCTGTTTGACAGTCACAAGTTAATATGATCCCCCATCAAACAGGAAGGTGGTACTTTGAGCTATGTTCATCTTTGAACCTGTATCCCCAAGTAGAGCAAGGATGATTCTTCTCATGGCTGTGTCTAGATCTGTTAGGACCAGGAATAGTGTGTCCTGTCACCTTGTGATGAGTTATTGTCTGTACAAAGATTAACTCACCTCTTCATGTAGACATTGCCCAAGTTCTAGCCCAGCAATGAAAGAATACCACGGGGCTTAAAATTCCAAAAGGTGTTTGAACTCTTGAACAGTTTATTTTGGAACTGACACCCTCACAGTCTTTCTCTTCAGGGTCATGAGCTGTGAAATGCTTCCAGCATGCTTGGGTACGACATCCGAACCCAGAGTCCTCAGGACGCCATTTGGTTTCCTAGAACTTTGCATTGTCTAAGAATCAGGACTTTTCTTGTCTGAAGCTCCTAATTGTCTCTATGTGTCTCCCTCACTAGATAATTGAAAACCCAGATGCCCCGCAGGACTTCGGGAGTCAAGGTATTGGGTTTAGTTTTTACTAGACCTTTTAAAATGGTTGGGGTGTAAGAATACCTACTTGGCGCGTGGAACTGAGGATATAAAGATGGTCCAAGCTCTGCCTGGCTTCGCCTTGCTTAGTATTATCTAACCAACTGCTGTTTTCCTTCTGTTCCTACAGTCTCCTGTGCCAACCGTGTGAGGGAGATTAGCACTTTACATCCCTCCCTCCCCTCCCTTCTTGTCTGTCTTTCTTGTTTTGATACAGGTTTAATTGCTAAAATGAGACTTGAGCAGGGAGTTCTAGAAACCTGAGTGGCATGTAACGTTATTGTTTTAGAATTATGTTGTTTTTTTTTTTTTTTAATTCATCCACACAGCTTTGCATTGACTGTAGAAGGAATTTACTTATAGTGAGAGAGAATCTTTTATTTTCTCCCCGGGTCATCTTTTGTTTGTTTTACATTAAAGAGGAGTGGCTCTATTCCATTCTCCTCTTTCCTATGATGGCTCTGGTACCCTAAAAGAGGCCTCATATCTAAAAGTCATCAAAACCCATCGAAAGCACAGGATGGGAAGGGCATTGAAGGAGCTTCTGATGCCCACCAGTGTCTAATGCTTGCACCTCCTCTGTTTTGAAGGCTTAACAGTAGAGGCCCTTTGTGATGATGTTGTCTCTGTCCTGGCTGTCCTGTGTGAGAAGCTACAAGCCTCCATAAAGTAAGTCCTCTTCCATCCTGGCTCATATCCAACAGTTGTTCATTTTGAAGCAACTTCTATCTACAGCATCATAGAAGCCATAGAGTATCCATCTGTTCAGTAGTTCCCTCCCACGGAGAGTTCCCTGTCATTCCTGAGAAACATAATCAGAGATCTCTGTCCATCCCAGATTATTAAATGCCATTCCGAAAGTGTATCATTGTCTGAAGTGAAAGGGGGGAACAATACTTAAAAAGAAGAGTGAGTCCCTTGAGCCCAAAGCTGAGTAGAGAGTGGGGGGAGACAGAGCTGGAGGCTGTAAGAGCAGGTCCTGACTGCCGGGCAGTGGTGGCGCATGCCTTTAGTCCCAACACTCCGGAGGCAGAGGCAGTCGGATCTCTGTGAGTTTGAGGCCAGCCTGGGCTACAGAGTAAGTTCCAGGACAGGCACCAAAGTTACACAGAGAAACCCTGTCTCGAAAAACCAAAAAAAAAAAAAAAAAAAAAAAGAGTAGGTCCTGACTTGCCTGACTTGGGCATGACTCTGCTGTATGACTGACTGCCAATGACCTTTCTCATGGGACCCGGCCGGACTTTTGTGCTCTGTTAATGATAAGGCTGAATTATGTAGGCTTTTTTCTAACATTCTCTATTCTGGTCCTTAGCTTTTGACTCGGTAGAGAGTACAAGCACGCTGTTTATACTTTCTAGACAATAATTGATATTTTATATATTATTATATAGCGGGTAAAATAATATTATATGTCATATAAAATATTTCAGTATTATTGTAGGAACAAATGTGAAAACTTCCTTAAAAGTCAACTGATGCCCACCCACTAAGATCACCAGGAACACCTCAGGCTAACAAAATTAGACTTACTAACTTGTCACAGTGAGCACACACTCCCTGGGAAACTAAAGAGTACCCAGTAAAAGTGGATTAGGAAAGACCATAATTTTAGTTTGAGTTAGGTGATTTTACAGTAAAATAAGAGTTATGTTCAAGGATTGAGTCTTGTCAGGATGTACAGTCAGTTCTAGCATTGGGCGTCTTAATTTCTATGTAGTCTATGAAGAAACAGTTGGTGGCTGGGTTGTCACTAGAGAAGTAGGCACCTCTCACGGGAGGGGATTTGGTCGCCTTCATGGGTACACCCTCTGTACTTCCCTTAACTATGGTTCAAGAGTGGTTGTCCACGCACCTCCAGCTAGCCTGATCACAGTCGTGCAGAGGTCTTGTCTGTTCTTAACATCCGAGGGCAATATTGATGTTCATCAGAAAGGTTCGTCTGGCTGGTAGCAATGAGGGAGCTGCCACTATAAAGATGCATCCTCCCCATCCCCACCCTCTCTAAGTCTTGGCACTGAGCGAGTACGGCAAAGGACACCAAAACTTTGAAAGACATAGAACGATGGATAAGTGAAACTTTTTAACAGCTTCATAAGGGAAAAATAAAACCTCGAGATTTTTAATTGTACAGACGTCTGTTTGTAATCATGGTGATTTATAATTAAAATATAGCCATCAGGATATGTCAGAATGAGCCTGGAAGTCTATAAATGATAGAAGTAAACTGTATACTGTTCATTGGTAGAAAAAAAATCTTCAGTTGGGTCCTATAAATAAATGCCTGGCCCTAAATTTATGATTCTTTGTATGCTGCTGGCTCCTACATGAGCCACAAAGACCTGGAAGGGGATCATATAATCTGGCTTATCCAGGACATCCAGGTTTTTCTCCTGGTGTATAAGTATTACAGGCATTTATTTTTGATAGCTTTAAGGAAGTAGTAGTATGTGTGGAGTATTATACGCTGCACTGTGACTGGCGTGTAGTAGATATTTGATATGTTCTGGTTCTAAACTGGTGTGTGTGCTCTGGGAATTGCTGGCACTAATCTACTTTCTGATGGAGTTGGGAACATTGACATTTTTAATGACAAAAATTGGTCTGTAGTTTTTTTAGGAAAGTGGCAAGCACAAGCCTACAAAACCAAAGGGCAGAAGTGCCCATCAGCCATTGACGACATTTCTTAACTCCATGATCTGAGGAGAGGCTTTAAATGGGAAAGCAATTGCTATGGCCTAGAACACATTTTTCTCTTGAGTCCTAGACAGCGTTAGGCAGCCTGGCACTCTGCTTCATGGTTTTGACGGGATGTGCAGTCTTGGGTTTTTGATGCACTGCCCCTGATCACAATCCTGCCTCTGGAATTTAATTGCTTATAGTCTCTGCCAATAATTTTAGTACCCTAAGGGGAGGGGGTGGGTTTGCTAAAGAAGCTGGGGCGCTGCATGCTTAGAGTCGTGGAGGCACCCCATACTTCTCTGTTGACACTGTAGTATTCATCCCTTTCTTCTTGAATGTTCATGTTTGTGTGCTCTCTTCTGATTCTACCCCCTCAATTCCTTCTTTTCTATTAGCTAAACCTGACATTTCGTCTATCTTTTAAGTAGCTCTTTTTTTTTTCTCTGAAATTCCAATGGGCAGTCTTTGTCCTAACGATCATTTTCAAAATGGGACCCCAGGTACCTCCGAGGGCTTAGTCTCATAGAGATGTGTGTGTGTGTGTGTGTGTGTGTGTGTGTGTGTGTGTGTGTGTGTGTGTGTGTGTGTGTGTGTGAGATATACTGCGTCTCTCCGGAGAACTCTGAAATACATTGAGGTACTCAGTACATCTCACCCACAGGCCTTGGAGATGTGCTATTAATAGCGTTCTGTATTAGACAAGCTGAGCTACATGCTCTCTCTCTCAGCTCAAGAGTTTTTCAGAGAATAATTGGGCTTAGAGTGGCACGAGATTCCTTCTCTGTCTGTCATCTGCCACTCTGTCCCAATCTCCCACTCCAAAGAATGTCAGACAGGAATCTGTCTGTACCAAAGAAGGCTCGGAGTCCATAAAGCTGGCCAGAGTGGCCATATGGGTTGTGCTAATTCTACTCCAGCTCTTACATAATTGCTCGCTTCCTTCTCTTGTTTTTCTAATTAAATACAAATCTGGACCAAAGGGGAGCAAACATTTGGAGGGAAAAAAAAAAAAAAACATTTAAAACCCAACACTGTGACAACTCCTGTGACATGCTGAAAGTGCTGCTGATTATCTTCCCAGGAGATAACCTCCCTGGCTGGGCGGCCACTCAGCTGTATGGCCAAGCTGTCCACTGCGGAGAATTGTTCTGCTTGGATGTGTACCTGGGAAGACCTGAGCGATGAGCAGGCAATGAGACAACCAGCTGATAATCTGCCAATTATGAAATGCTCTAACGAAAGACCAAGAGGAGTAGCTCCCAGCCCTCCTAAGTACACAATCCCCCCCCCCCCCCGCACCCCCATGTATTTTGGAAAAGGTAGCTAGGTTCTAGGCTCTTCCCCACTCCATACATCCAAGTGTTTGCCTGTAAGTACACAAGTCCGAAAGGCTTGCGCACTGTGCACATGATCAAAGGTCTCTACGCGAGGCGCATGCGTGGAAGATGCTGAGATTTTCAGTGGCTCCATTTCCTAGCATGACCCATGCAAGACCATAAATACCTGCTTTGCAGACTGCTGCAGCCCACATTTAAGCTGTTGTACAACCTCCAAGGAGACTCCAGGGCTAGTTTTCCTTGGCTTATACCTTCCTGTCAGTGAGGCTGATGTCTGGGGCCTACAGTGTTCCTCAGCCACCTTTGCAAACATTCACGATAACCCCGACTGCTCATCATCTCCCTCCTAGACTTATTCCTGGTGGCTTCAGAAATTGAGAACCTTTACTTTCTACCTTTAGTTTTACAATCCTAGACAAACAGTTTGTGAAAGATATTTTTGCATTGGGACATTGAATCTTAAAAATGACCCCAGTTTGTCATCAGAAAAATTAACCCAAGACACAGTGATCCTTTCAGAATTGGGTTTTCAAAGAAGCTTGTAATTGGCAGTATGACTCCAATGTTCAACCCTCTCCAGTCTGTTCAAACAAAATTTTTGCGTGGCCAGAACTTCAAACATCTTAGCTAGTCTATAGGGCCCATCCTTCTCTGGTGTCTCCATCTCTCGAATTCCCATTCCTTTATTTTTTAAAAAACAAATCTCATGTATTCCAGACTGGCCCCCGATCCTTATATACAGCTACAAATGACCTTGACCTCCTGCCTCAACTCCGCAAGTGCTGGGATTACAGACATGCCTCACTGCGCCTGGCTTCTAGCCCAGCTCTTGCAAACATGATCCTCACATCCTGTGCTTCACCGATGAAAACCTCCCAGGCCAAACCGCTCCCCCTCTCTCTGCCCTGCGTTTGTGCGTACTCTCTTGCACAACTCCACGATGCCACGGATACCTGCTTGAACTTCGGGGCTGTACAAAGGCAGCGTTTCCTATCACATTCCTCCTGGGCCTTTCTGAAGGGGGCTTCTCCTATGCAGTACCATAGAAACCTATGTTGAGTGATTCATTTATAGCACTTGACATCAGTGCTTGAGCTATGTGCCTCTCTATCTCGTCCCACAGTGAAGAGAGTGCTAGTTTTGGAGCAGTGAAAAGCTGAGGAAATGTGTAGGAGCGAGGAGCTAGAAATGTGAATTTTTTGTTTTGTTTTGGTTTGGTTTGGTTTTTTTTTCGAGACAGGGTTTCTCTGTGTAGCTTTGCGCCTTTCCTGGAACTCACTTTGTAGCCCAGGCTGGCCTCGAACTCACAGAGATCCACCTGCCTCTGCCTCCCGAGTGCTGGGATTAAAGGCGTGCGCCACCACCACCACCTGGTGAAATGTGAAGTCTTTACTTGGCCTGCAAAGGGTTACTATTTCTTGTCCTTCTGATTCTTCTAATCAAATTGTAATCATTATTGTCCTGCTGTTAAATGGTAATAACTTCTGTGGCAACTCATCCTTTATCCCCTTCTCTCTGATCCTCAGAGTGTATGTACAAATGTAGGCAGCATTCTCTTTTCAGTGTGTTGACATTAACCTTGTCGTGTGCGGGACAAAGATCTTTTAGACTGTGGGTTGGTGAACTTCTTCTGTAAAAGGCCATATAGTGTGTTCCCTGATGGGCTTTTTTCTTTTCTTTTCTTTTTTTTTTTTTGGGGGGGGGGGGGGGGGGTTTCGAGACAGGGTTTCTCTGTGTAGCTTTGCGTCTTTCCTGGAACTCACTTGGTAGACCAGGCTGGCCTCGGACTCACAGAGATCCACCTGGCTCTGCCTCCCGAGTGCTGGGATTAAAGGTGTGCGCCACCACTGCCCTTTAAAATATAAAGACACTTTTAAATTCACAGGGTTTGGCCTCCAGCCAGTCAGTTTTAGAGTCTGAAGTTGGTTTGGGTATTATCAAAGAACCATCCCCAACCTCTGTCTCACTCTGCTTGTCTTGCAGTGACACGATCTTTGTGAGTTTGGCGGGAGTGTGGACTTGTGGCCTCTAGGACAGACGGGCAGATTCCTTTTCCCTCTTCCTAGCTTCTAAGCCTTCCAGTTTGCTCTTACAGCCTGCTTTCCCCTTTCCTCCCTTTCCCCCTCCTGCTGTCGGGAACCACCTAACTGTTGAGAACACTAGTGTAGCTAGAGTTTTCCTGCCTGGGCCACGGTTAGGACAAATCTCTCTCACCTGCCAGTCCCACACTCAACCAAGTCAACACACAGAGACTGATATTGCTTACAAACTGTATGGCCGTGGCAGGCTTCTTGTTATCTAATTCTTCTATCTTAAATTAACCCATGTCTATTAGTCTATAAGTTGCCACATAGCTCGTGGCTTACCGGTACCTTACATCTCCCTTGTCGTGGTGATGGCTGGCAGTGTCTTTCTGTCTCCGCCTTCCCCTTCCCAGAATTCTCTTCTCTGCTTGTCCCACCTACACTTCCTGCCTGGCTACTGGCCAATCAATGTTTTATTTATTAACCAATCAGAGCAACACATTTGACATACAGAACATCTCACAGCACACTAGCCTTCTTTCCTGGCATTTATTTTAAACTAGAAAAAAAAAAACCAGGAACAACCGAATATTACTATTATTGTCAGATTTCTCCTTTTCTGGACAGTCTACTCCATAAGAGACTCTTGCATCATTCCTCTTTAGAAGATTTGAACCTCGATTAAATGTGTCTTTGAAATTAAGTTTTATCCTCCCTATGAGTCTCGTGACATACTAGAATTTTAACACCCTTTGGTGACGCTGAGAGGAAACATAAGAATGTGCTTCCTGCAGAGTTGTCTGTTTCTTTACTAGCTTATCAAGACAGCCCATAATGATGGCTGCCCCTAAATAAATATAGGGGCTGTACAAAGGCAGCGTTTCCTTTCACATTCCTCCTGGGCCTTTCTGAAGGGGGCTTCTCCTATGCAGTACCATAGAAACCTATGTTGAGTGATTCATTTATAGCACTTGACATCAGTGCTTGAGCTATGTGCCTCTCTATCTCGTCCCACAGTGAAGAGAGTGCTAGTTTTGGAGCAGTGAAAAGCTGGAGAGATGGCTCAACAGTTAGGAGCTCTGGCTGCTCATCCAGAGGATCTGGGTTTAGTTCCCAGCACCCACATGGTGGCTAACAACTGTCTGTAACTCCAGTTCCAGGGGGATCCAACACCACCCTCTGGCCTCCAAGAGCACCAAGTACACACATAGTACACAGACATGCATGCAAACAAAATAGCCCTGCAAATAAATTAAAAATTGTAAAACATGTTTCCTTAATAAAGAAAGAAGAAATATGGATGATGAATCAGCTAAGTGTTAGCTAGTGAGATAACATGGCGGTCTGGAGGGGTCATGTCAGTATTGAAGTACTTGCCTAGCATATGTGAGGCCCTGGCTTTAATCCCTAGCACAAAGAATAAAAGGAAGCTATGGCACAGGAGAGACAGGAAAAGAAAAGATAGTATAAATGGTTTCTTAGAAAATGAAGGCATCAGTGATAATTAGCTTCTCTGGCATATACAGGTTTGGCTAACATGTCACTCACCATTTGTACACTGACTGTAGAAAATGTACTATCATGATATAAGATGTGGATATGACAAGCTGTGTGTGAGGGGCATAAAATAAGGTCATTCTGTTTCACACTCTGTTTTACAAAAGCTCAGAAACCGTTCTCCAAAGCTTACTCATTTCCCCAGATCAGCCTAATGCTCTCACTTTCTTAGGGCTGCCATCATGGGGAACCAAAGGCTGGGTGCCTTGCACGGGGGAACTGTTATCTCCTAACTGTTCTGGAGGCTGACATATCCAGATCAGGGTAGTTCCTCCTGAGCACTGTCAGAGGACTAGTCCACACCTCCACCTCTACCTCCCCACTTGCCTTGTGGAGAGCCGTCCCCCTATGTCTCTTCCTCCACCCTTCCCTCTCTGCGTGCCTCAGTGTCCAGAGGTTTTCTTTCTGGGGACGCCTGTTATGTTGGATTAGGGCCCGCGCTGATGCAGTCCCTTTAACTTTGCTCCAGAGAAGACCACCTGCTCAGCTGCTGGGGGTTAGGACTTCAGTCCGAGGGACAGAGCTCTACTGACGACCCCGACCGCGCATCCCCTCGGGTGATGCCTGAAGTTTGTCCGGGTTCAGCCCCAATGCCACCTCTCTCATTTTGCCTTGTGATTTGCCTGCCTTTGTGTGTTGTCGTTTTTGTGCTTTCACAGTGATAGCCAGCAGCTGCAGCTTCTGTACCTGGAATGCATTCTCTCCGTGCTCAGCAGCTCCTCCTCCTCCATGTACCTGCACAGGGGCTTCACTGACCTCATCTGGTGAGCATAAACTCCTGATGGCCCCATCCCAGCCATGGACTGCTGTAGCTGTGTCTCAGTCCTATTCCACAGTACCCATGACCTAGAGATAGTTTCACCTATGTGTGTGTGTCCTCCAGGTAGGAGAATGGCTTTCTTTATGTACATCAGTCCCAATTCCAAAGAGAAACTAGTGGTTAATATAACAAATATGCTTCCAGCAGCCCTCTTAGGCCATTTACATCAATGGGATCATAAGAGACCAGACCAAGCGACTTCTGGGTTCCCAGTTTGTTCTAAAAAGCATATAAATAATATCAGGAATATACATGGAGCAAGAAATTCTAACCCTGAACTTATCTCTAGCTCCACAAGAGTGCTAATTGCCTACTCATGTCCAGAGATTCCAAGAAGTGAAGGCCCAGCAGGCGGCCAATCAGTAGGCCCTAGATTCCGTTTTACTGACAGGGAGGAAGCTGAGTGATGGGTGTCAGTATGGGATTTGAAACTAACACCTTAAATGAGAAACGATTTGGTTATCCATAGTGAAATGAAACTTGATGAGGAAGTCTTTTAGCATTCTGAGCCGTATTTGTTCACACACACACACACACACACACACACACACACACACACACACACACGAATGGCCCTTGAATGCTTCTCTTGACGCTTTATCTAGCTAACACTAACATGAGAAGGGAGGAAGACTCGGTATACTGGGTGTAACATAGGCAAAAGAAGGGAAGAGTAGGGACCCATGCTCTTCCTGGATATTTTTGTGGCAACTACTTGTCTTCCTGCTGGCATTCACATTTTATCACTCGGCTTCTAGTAAGGCCTATTTATCCTCCTGCCTCTTCCCAGGAAAAGCCTCTGCCCTGCTCTCATTGTGATCCTGGGGAACCCCATTCACGACAAAACCATCACCTCGGCTCACAGCAGCAGCACCACCACCAACATGGAGTCGGACTCTGCCTCTCCTGGTGTGTCTGACCACGGCCGAGGCTCAGGCTGCTCTTGCACTGCGCCTACCCTCAGCGGACCCGTGGCCCGCACCATCTATTACCTTGCAGCTGAGCTCGTCCGCTTAGTGGGGTCAGTGGATTCCATGAAGCCCGTGCTCCAGTCCCTCTATCACCGTGTGCTCCTGTATCCCCCACCCCAGCACCGTGTGGAAGCCATCAAGATCATGAAAGAGGTAGGGAGGGGTGGGCGAATGCCTTGGGTTCGCCCACGGGAATCTCTATGCAGGGTCCTACATGTAGGAGCATCTAAACTGTCATCCCTTGTTGGGACATCACTTCTTCCACATGGCATCCAGTAACAAACAATTCTGAAGTGGGTGGGCATCTATTTGGGAGTTGCGATTAAAAAGAAAAGAAAATGTTAGAGACATTCATTGGCTCCAAACTCTTTGGTGATTAGCTATGCATGTGTTAAAAGCACCCAAGGTGCTTCCCAAGGGCACTGTTCAGAGGCAACACCAGATGAGATGCCTCCAAGTCATGGGTGAGACCAGTGCTGCCCTGGGAAGCCAAGCAGATGAATTCCAGCCAGGTTGTTCTGAAAATAATGCCTCTGCTTATAAGACAAAAATGGCAAGTTGGAAAAGCTGGTTACTTAGATACCAAAACGTGCAGGCTTTGCACACAAAACGCTCAGTACCCAGGATGTTTGCTTGTCTTTTTGTGTAGTATTCCCTTGTGTCCCTGTGCCACATACACAGTGTGCCTCTTTGTCAAAGACACAGAGGACATAGGGTTTCTTACCGTACATTCTCTTTCTGGCTCTATCTCCTGCCCAATAATAGGTGTAAAAAAGTATAAAGTTCCTTCCTTTGGTCTTTGGTCTACCCCGTGGTGGTACTTTAGAAGTCCATAGTGGTCAGAGCTAGGACACCAAACCACAGATGCTGTAGCTCTTATGCCCATCTTGAGATTTTAAAAGCTGGAGGTATGGTTCAGTGATACAGTACTTGGTTAGCAGGAAAAAAAAAGGCACTGGGCAATGGGGGGTGGGAGAGATGAGGGGGTGTCTAGGACTATAACTCAGTAGTAGAGTCTTTGCCTAGCATGTACAAGGCTCTGAGGTTTGCTCTCCAATACCACAGGAAGATAAAAAGGTTTTATCTTTTTTGGTGTGTTTGTTGGAGGTCTTTGAGAAGCCTACTTCCTCTGTCCCCTTCCCCTTCAGATTCTGGAGCAATTAACAAGTCCCTTCCAAATTTAGGCATTCAAATACATTATCTAAGTTGAATTAGAGGATAAGGTGGGCTTTCAAAAGAAACTGAGGTTTCAGAGTCCTATCCCTTGAGCTACTGGTATAACTTAGTGTTACAGGACATGCTGAGCATGCATGACGCTCCTTACACAACACCAAAGAAAAATGAAATCCCCATCCCTCAGAGATGCAGTCACCCATCAAGAAAAGGTGGAAGAGAGAGAAGAGGTCTCCTGGAGATGCAACTGTTTCTGAGTAATATTCCAGCTCTTACTTAGGTATATACCTCACTCTGGAAATAGAGGATCATAGCAATGGGATCTGCATTCTACACAACTTCATTAACCACTCTTTAGTGTAACCTCTAAATGACATTTTCTGTAAAGATGTGCAGCATATATGGAAACATAAATCAGTTAGAACTGAATGATTACAAGAATGTTACATATGAAAACTTGTGAGAAGGCAACCCCATACAGTTGGCTAGAGACTCAGCTACTGTATTAAAGTAGAGCACCTAAGAATGAACATCCCAATTCTCTAACCTCGATGGTTGGAAAAACAGAGCAGAATAAATTGGAAGTAGCGAAAAGGAGAGAAAGTAAGGATAAAACAGAAAGTAGTGTGGGAAAAAGCCACACTAGGCAGCTAAGTCATGGTAAGCTGGGAACCTCTCCTTAGAACCCAGGCTCAACAAATGGGAGGAAGTGGTAGATGGGCTGTCCCTGCCCCTGTAGGGAAGGTGGTGACTCTGGGTTGTAACAACAACCAAAGACTTTTTGTTGTTGTTGTTGTTTGTTTTTCAAGGCAGGGTTTCACTATGTAGTTTTGGTGCCTGTCCTGGATCTTGCTCTGTAGACGAGGCTGGCCTCGAACTCACAGAGATCCGCCGGGCTCTGCCTCCCGAGTGCTGGGATTAAACGCTTGTGCCACCGCTGCCCAGCACCAAAGACTTTAAAACAACTTTTGAATAATTGTTTTCGGCAGCGTCTGCTGGCTGGAAGAGCAGACAATGGGATTCATGCTCTGGAAGGCTCCAAGACTATGAATTTTGAGTCTTTGGGTGACTGTTGAACGTGAAGAGCTCAATAAAGAGGAAGAGAGACTTTGGTAGTTGGCAGTGGCCTTGGTGGCGCATAAAAAGGACATGGATTTCCCACCATGGAAAGGGCAGAACAGAGTAATTCTCTTTGATCTAGAACTTGTGCCTGGAGAGATGGCTCCATTGTTTAAGAGCCCACACTTCTTTGTCAGAGATCGGTTCCCAGCCCTCATGTTAAGAAACTCACAGGCTCCGGTTGGGTCTGAATCTGTTGCCCAATTCTGAATCCGTTGCCCAATTCTGAATCCAGTGAGCACTTGCACTCACATGTCCACACATCCTCAGACAAACAGACAGACAGACAGACAGACAGACACACACACACACACACACACACACACACACACACACACACACACACACACTTAAACGAAGTAAAAATCTGTAAAACTTACAGCTAATGTAGACCCTTGTAACATTCCCAAATGTTGCTGAGCCGGGTTTCTCAGGTAAAATCACAATTTCAGATTATGTGTTGTAACTGTAACTGCTGGATGTAGATATGTTGCGTATGACAATTTCAAACTGATATCAGCACTTATGAACAGGGAATGGGCCACAGACTCCTTAAGCATAGATAAAGAACCAGATAACCACTTTTTGTTGTTTTTGGACCTCAGCTTTCTTCCCACACTCAGTGTCTTTGAACTTGTACAGAGTGTCAGAAGTGTACCAAGAGGAGCATCCTGCAAACAGAACCTGCCTTCCTGGGAGTTAATCATGTGGATCTACCAAATACCCAAGAAAAGTTTCATGAATTGATGTAGCAACTCCATAATCCTCCAATAACTTTCTGTAGAACTATCCATGTTACCTCACCTTATTGACCCCATCCCTGCAAAAGAGAATAAATATCTTATTACTTGTATTTTCTGCATTTATTTGAAAAAAGAAGAAAAAAAGCATAACTTCCAAAGAATAAGGAGTCTCAACAAATCATCCCCATCTCTGCAACTCTCTCTGAAGGAACTGCAGAACCAAAGAACTGTAAGAAAATCACTGGAAGAACACGTCAACCGGGAAATTGGTGGCCCATCGCCTACCAGGGGCTGCTTGACTTACAGTCATTTCACATAGGGTCATCTCCAATGTACTGTCACAGCATGCAGTGACTGGGGCCACAGAGGACATAAATTAAATCTAGTCAAAAGAGTATTGATGGAATAATGATTTATTCTAAGAAAGAAGGAAAGTGTATCCTTGGCAACCACATGGATGAATTAGACTGAGAAATAAGCTAGGTACAAAAAGTACCACTTGATCCCATTTATATGTAGATTCTACAAGTCCTGAACACAGAGAAGCAGAAAAGAGAATGGTGGTCACCGGGGATGCAGTGATGGAGGGTGGAGAGATGCAGGCTAAGTGACTTTGTGCGAAGAAGGTCTAGAGAGCCATTGTACAACCTGGTGACTATAGTTATAACAGTGCATTTTATTTTGTAGCTTCCTAGTATCTTGTAGCTTCAGTTATTTTTATTAAACTGTACATTTAACATCATTAGTCTGAAATGCAGAAGTTTCTTCAATACTACCATAATGCCACAAAATAGAAAATACCATGCTACAAAGCCCTCATACACCAAAGTTTTAAAAATATCATGTAACATTACCTTCAGGCTAAGAATACAAGGTGTATGTGAAATGAACTTGCTGTTTACCTTGGGTCCTGTATTAGTTACTTCTCGATTGCTGTGATAAAACACCATGACCAAGAAGACTTACAGAAGAAAAAGTTATTCTGACTTACAGTTTCAGAGGATAAGAGTCCATCATGGAGGGGATTGTGGTGATAGACCGAAGTCACAATGTCGGGAAGAACTGAGAGGTCACAGCTCAGACTGCAGGCAGGAAGGGGCAGGGTACTGGGGATGAGACATCACTTTTGCAACACCCACCCCCAGTGACATACTTCCTCCAGCAAGACCACCCCTTATAAACCTACCTAAACAGTGCCACCATTTGGAACCAAGAGTCTAAATGCCCAAGACCATGGATGATCTCTCATTCAAACGTGACATGACAACCACAGGAATTACCCTGAAAATACCTCATTGCATATGTATGATTGAAAAATAAAAATAAAATCCCAAATCAGAGATTCTTCTGATTCTAAGCATTTCCAAGAAAAGATCCTCAACCTAGAAATCATTTCTCCTGCCTTGTGTCCTTCACTGAAGAAGCACACATGGTTTACATGCTCTCATGATTTTAAAACTTGGTGTATTTTAGGCTTTGATTTTTGTGATACTCACTTCTCTGTTCTTTTTCTCCTTTTTCCTGAAGATACTTGGAAGCCCGCAGCGTCTCTATGACTTGGCAGGACCAAGCTCTACTGAGTCAGAACCAAGGAAAAGATCCATTTCCAAAAGAAAGTCTCACTTGGATCTTCTCAAACTGTATGTTCACTTTCCTTTTGGGTCTATATTGATTGGCCAACACTCAATATTGATTGAGGGCATGTGGGAACTTTGCTTGGCATTTTTCCCGCCCTGAGCATGTTTGTATCATTTATTGTCTAGATCCCTTGATGTTATACAAGTTAGACTATCTCTTGAATACTGTGCAGTTGGCCAAGCCAATAACTCTTATATATATTTGGAGGAATTTCTTGATCTTTCCTGTCTGGGTGCTATTTTCTATCTTGAAGTGCCCAACTTCTCTGAACACTCATCACTTGATGAGTCCACATTAAATGAAATGTGCATATTTCATTATTTACCCACAAGCCACATAAAACATCTTATTTTATAGTACTCACAACTTGCCAGATTGTCTTAAAACTGAATCTACACATGAAACATACAAAAATTATGCACTGGAATTATTTAAGGGAAGAACTTTTCAATTTACAGTATGAGCTGTAGCATTCTATTGCGGTAGCCTCCATAGAAAACTTAATATTCTATGGTCTGCAATAATCACATTGGCATATACCTGGTAAGAATATGTTTGCATGGAAACGTCTTCATGACTCTTAGCCACAGCAACTCTCCTATTTGAAGATCAGAACATAATACAAAAATAAAATTTGCAGTGTCTGTTCTTGAATAAAATGATACATTTTCTTCTGGATTTTCAGTTGTACCCAGTAAAGCTAGTCAACCAAGAGGACTATGGTTTTAGGTGGGGAATTTTACCTAGAGTTTTTCCCTGCCCGAGCATGTTTGTGTCATGTTTGGTCTAGACCCTTGATGTTAGGCAAGTTAGACTATTTCTTTATAATACTGTGCAATTGGCCAGGCTGATAACTCTTGTATATTTAGGGGCGTTTCTTGATCTTTCATGCCTGGGTGCCGTTTTCTATCTTGAACACTGTTTAGCATCATGGATGGCATGACGGAGGCTTGCGTCAAAGGTGGCATTGAAGCCTGTTACGCTGCTGTGTCCTGCGTCTGCACCTTGCTCGGGGCCCTGGATGAACTCAGCCAGGGGAAGGGCTTGAATGAGAGTCAGGTACAGCTGCTGCTTCTGCGCCTCGAAGAGCTGAGGGATGGGGCTGAGTCAAGCCGCGACTCCATGGAGATCAATGAGGCTGACTTCCGCTGGCAGCGGCGAGTGCTGTCTTCAGAGCACACGCCGTGGGAGTCAGGCAATGAGAGGAGCCCCGACATCAGCATCAGTGTCACCACAGACACTGGCCAGACCACCTTGGAGGGAGAATTAGGTCAGACAACACCAGAGGACCACAAGAACGGGCTCAAGTCGCCAGCCATTCAGGAAAGCAAGGAGACCACGAGCAAAGTGTCAGAACCTGAGGCCATCGACCAGCCCGACGTAGTTCAGAGAAGCCACACAGTCCCTTACCCTGACATCACTAACTTCCTGTCAGTAGACTGCAGGACAAGGTCCTATGGATCCAGGTACAGTGAGAGCAACTTCAGTGTAGATGACCAAGACCTGTCGAGGACAGAATTTGACTCCTGTGATCAGTATTCCATGGCAGCAGAAAAGGACTCCGGTAGGTCCGACGTGTCGGACATTGGGTCGGACAACTGTTCACTGGCTGATGAAGAGCAGACCCCTCGGGACTACATGGGCCATCGGTCCCTGCGAACGGCTGCTCTGTCTCTCAAGCTGCTGAAGAACCAGGAGGCTGACCAGCACAGTGCACGGCTGTTTGTGCAGTCCCTCGAGGGCCTCCTTCCCCGGCTCCTAGCCCTGTCCAGTGTGGAAGAGGTGGACTCTGCCCTTCAGAACTTTGCCTCCACTTTCTGCTCAGGTTTGTAGCCTGTCTTTTACTGTATTAGGCAACAAGACCATTTAGAGCTTTGTGCCTTCATCGGCAATAATCTTCCTGCTTGTGGTCTGAAGTGCTCAGAGCAGTGGTTCTCCAGCTTCCTAATGCTGGGACCCCTTAATACAGTTCCTCATGTTGTGCTGACCCCCAACCATACAATCATTTTTGTTGCTACTTCATAACTGTGATTTTCCTCCTATTATAAATCGTAATGTAAATTATCTGATATGCAACCCCAAAGGGGTCATGACCCACAAGCTGAGAACCATTGGCTTACAGCATGTTAGTGAACCCTGGGGTTTCCTCCGTTAAAGAGAGTAAAGGACTAGAAGACTTGTGGGTGGAGGTTTATGATGCAGAATAAAGCTCCACAGCCCGGACCCCTCTCTCAGCGGCTGTCCTTGGTACCAAGGGAGATAGTCCGTCAGTTATCGGTGGCCCAAAAGAGCTGTGTGTCAGAGCCCAGCACTGCTGCTGCTGGTGGTAATGACTGAGTCTCTGGAAAATGGTCAAGTTATATATACAGGCTTCTGTTTGAAATCATAATTATGCCATGGACCAGGGAGATGAGTTGGTCGGTAAAGACAACTTGAGTCATGAGCCAGATATCTGACTTTGCAACGTTTTTTTAAATCATATGTTAATCATATGTAGCAATGGGTTTCATTATGACATGTCATTTCCATACATGAATATAATGTGTTTGTATTATATCCACCCTCTCTTACCCTCTCTTATTTCCTTCCCACTGATCTCCTTCACCCCTAATCTTCTCCCACTTCCTTTTTCCTCTTTCTTTCCTCCCTTATTTCTTTCTCATTGGTGGGGGTGGGGTGGGGATGGGTGGGAATGGTAATGACCCAGTGAATTTCCTTACGGTTGTGTATGGGGGAATGCATGAAGCTTTGTTTACAGAATTATGGGCACCTTACCAGTAGCCAGACCACTGAAGAAGATTACCCTCTTCCCTGCCACCAGCCATTATATAAACCCTCAGGGAGGGGCAAGACCCCGTGAGAACCTCCCTTTCTATGACCAAACATTGGCAAGCTCAGTCTGAGTTCAAGCCCGGAAGAGGTGTGTTGTCTTAGGTTTCTACGGTTTTGATAAACTTGACTAAAATCATCCTCAGGAGCAAAAAGATTATTCTACCTCATAGTTATAGTCCTCCATGAAAGGAAGTCAGGGCAGGAACCCAAAGCAGAAACTGGAGCACAAACCATGGGGGAGTACTGCTTCCTGGCTTACTTCCCATGGTTTTCCCAGACCTCTTTCTTATATAACCCAGGACCATCTGCCAAGGAGTGGTACCGCCCACAGTGGGCTGTGCCTCCCAAATTGATCATTGATCAAGAAAATGCTCTCAGGCTTCCCTACGGGCACCTGACAGATGCATTTTCTCAGTTGAGGTTCCTCTTCCCAGATAACTCTAGGTCTGTGGAAAGTCGACAAAACACAGCTGGTACACATGCCAAGCCTGGAAGTCAGAGTTCCACGTCCATCTTCCTTTCTTTCATCTCTTACATTCTTTTCACTCCTTCTTCCTTAGTCCCCTGAACCTTAGAGGGATCGGTACAAATTTCCTGTTTATGGTTGGGCATTCGACGGTCACTTACTCTCAGCAGTGAGGAGTCTCTGCAGTTATAGCTGGCCACTGTAGAACGAAGCTTCTCTGACCATAGCTGACAGCAGTACTACCCTGGCTAGCTTTACGTCAGTTTCACACAAGCTAGAGTCATCTGAGAAGAGGGAACTTCAATTGGAGAAAAAAAAAAGTCGCAATTAGATCAGCCTGTAGGCAGGCAAGCCTATAGGGCATGTTTTTAATTAGTGATTGATGGGGGAGGGCCCAGACCATTTTGGGTGGGGCCATCCCTGGGCTAGTCATCCTAGGTTCTATAATAAAGCAGGCTGAGCAAGCCATGAGGAGCAAACCAGTAAGCCACACCCCTCCATGACCTCTGCACCAGCTCCTGCCTCCAGGTTCCTGCCCTTCATCAGTTCCTGCCGGGTTTGAGTTCCAGCCTTGGCTTTCCTCAATGGACTGTGACTCGGGACATGTAATCCAAATAAACCCCTCCTCTTCAAGTTGCTTTCGGTCATGGTGTTTCATCACAGTAGCAGAAGAGGAACTAAGATAAGTACTAATCCACGGGCATAAACATAGTTACTTAGAACACAGCGTGATGGCACACTGTGCCCGTTTAGTGAAACAACAGCCGTGGCTTCCCCGACTGGGGCCTTTGACTTCCTCAGCCACACACTTTTGATTGGGTTTATGGTGTCGCACATTAACTCCCCCTGTGGAATAGGCCTCAAGTCCATTCAGGAAGCTGTTGGTTACTGCCATGAGAGACGTACCATTATTGCACCAGCGGTACATCTAACTTGGTTGGTCAGTAGTGTACCTTGTCGGGTCCACATCTCAGAATGGCGCTGGTGTCACATCTCCCCCCAGCAGCCTGAATAGCACCCATGAGAGCAGTTCAGCACCATGAGGCTAACCAGCAGGGAAGAAGCCAGGCTTCTGCTTGATTTCTCGAGGTCCTGAGACCAGTTTCTACAGCGGCTTCAACGATAGGGCCTTACCCTCTAGTTCTAATGAGCAGCTCACAGTGGGGGCACCTGCTCGTGTTGTTTGGGAGACCTCTGAGACTTCTTTGGCCAATTACTCATAGCAAGACAGTCTACCTTCTGCACTGGGATTTTTATTTAATAACAATGGCTTCTGGAAGCTGCTTTTCACACCACAGAAAGGTACCTCTATTCAAACATTGTTTGTTACTGTTTTTAATTTTTTTAAATCATCTTACCAAGTATCATATTTCTTCATGGCTTTTTCATACACTCTTATTTTCAGTTGACTTCCTTTCCCCTCCCCTTCCCCCACTTCCACCCACAGATCTTTTTTTTTTTTTTTTTTTTTTTTTTTTTTGATTTTTCGAGACAGGGTTTCTCTGTGTAGCTTTGCGCCTTTCCTGGAACTCACTTGGTAGTCCAGGCTGGCCTCGAACTCACAGAGATCCGCCTGGCTCTGCCTCCCGAGTGCTGGGATTAAAGGTGTGCGCCACCACCACCCGGCCCACCCACAGATCTTTATTTATTCATTTAGACATTAAAAGCTTCAAATCTTTTTTCTCCCCTGCCCTATCACCTGGCCTCTGCTCTCTTAACTGAATGAGTCACTTAGCAGGTCTCGCCTGAGGCCGCCTATCCTCAGACTGCTAGTGTGTCCCTGGCATGAACATCTCTAGCTGCAAATGAATAAAGCAATTTCAAGGAAAAATTGCTTATGGTGTTATGGCGGGGGAGCTTGGGAATACTTGACCACAGGGCTTTTCTAAGATGGCACTAGACCTGAGCTGTAACTGCTACAGAAGTTCCTTTCTGACCCTTAACAGAATAAGGTGGGGTCTGGGTTAAGTGGATCCCCAGGACCAAATGAATTCTCCAGCCTTGCCCAGAGATGGACAAGAGGTCACAGGCACCTGCTTGGGAGCGGCTCTTCCTTAGATGAGTGGTTTGGGGTTAGTCTTGGGATTCACTGTGGCTGAATGGAAAGCTGACTGCTAATGATAGGGTATTTATAACTTACCAAATTTCCCAAAAGACAAAGCAGTAAAGTCTAAAGCTCAGCTGTTTAAACAAACAAACAAACAAAAAACTGTTTCTTTAAATTAAAACAATTCTGACTCTAGACCCCCAGCCTGCCTAGCTAGCAGGAAATTTAGTCTATGCCTTCCAATTGGTCCCCATTGCAGGGTCAAACCCCAAGTGGGAGCTTATGCAAGATCCGAAAAGGAGGGCCCTCTGACCACCCTCAACTCCAGTGGGCCCTGTTGACCCAGTTCATAGGCTACCTGGGCCTCCATTATTCTTCCTGTGTCCTTGTGGGCCTGGAGTCAGAAGATTCTGGCACAGCTGGGACACCCTGCACACCTCCATCTGTCTTAGTCCTGCTAATCCTGCAAGTCTTTTCAGACATCAGGGAGCCACCCACTGCAGCCCCTCCTAACTAGGCGACCTCTCGTGTCTCTGGCTTGCTCTCTACTCCCTCCTCTTATCGCCCCTCAGGGAATGAGTTTCAGTCTTTGGAAGAGGTCCTAGCCTTGCAAATACAAAGCCTGGAGGCAAGGATACTGTTACCAGGGTCAGGTTCTAGCTATGGTTTCGACACCCCCCCCCCCCAAAAAAAAATGGTAATCAGAATTTACTTCAATGTCTTTGTGGAACTCAGAAAAGAACATACTGTGAAGAGTTCTAAAGGAAGTAAGTATGTTATGCCTCCGTCAGTTGTATTGTGTGTTCGCAGATAGTATGAAACTCAGTGATTACTGAAGGAGAGGCTAAGTCTGAGGCTGGCACCTTGGTGTTCCAGGAGCTGCATGTTCTCTGTTGCTCTGCTCTGGTTTACAGAGACTGACATGCTAAGGTTTCTTCCAACTGAGATGGTTGTCCTGGCCGAGCTGCATAAGCAGCCTTCCTGTCCAGCCAGGAGGGAGGACAGCAGAATAATGGAGTGAAGGATTCTCATGGAGCTAACTAATGGCTGCTTTGAAAGAGTGTTCTAGATGTCCCATGTCTAGATGACCCTATTGCTGAAGATGCTATATAGACTGGTCTCAGGACAAGATGGTGACCTCTGAGTGGGTGAGTGACCCCATAGCCACATGTAAAGTAGAGAGCAATAGAGGAAGGTAGCCAACATTGACTCCATCCTCCGTGTGCATGCTCACAGTTCACAACTATTTGGGAGATAATGAGCTATATGCATTCTTCTTTTAGGAATGGATTGCACAAACACATGGCAGAACAGCTCACAGTCATCTTATTGCGTCAGCTCTTTTACAATTGAAACAGCATACATGGGTACCAGTCAAGCACTGACTATATAAATAACAATGCAACCATGCAGTGCTCAGTACAGTCATTAAAAAGAATGAGACAGTACCAAGAGATGTCTACAATATACTGTAGGAAGCATCGCCTTGCAGTACAAAGTATGTGGTCTGTCTTATTGGTAACTATATTCCCATGTGCATGAGAAAGAGAGTGCTTCTGGGAGGGGTATCATTGAGGCTTAGAAGAGGAGGATTTATTTTTAATTTCTTATAGTCTATAAGACTATTAAGTGTTTAAAACCAGGTATTTAATACTGATTTTTAATGGAAATGGTGCACTATCTCATGGAAAGGACTTCCTGAGTTCTTTTGTGATGATTTTGTATCCGGTCGTTCACTGGTAACCAGTCAAGCAGGTGGTCCATGCCCCTGCCCCTGACAGTAAAGAACATCTTCGTTACAGATGGCAAGATGGACGATAGTTATTGAAACCTGGAAAGTGCAAGCCCTGTGGCTAGCATATGCACACGGTCATACTTCCCTCAGTTTATCACGGCAAAATAGGTGATACAGCAAGAAGGCCAATCAGAAAACTGCGTAGGAGCTGCCACACAGTACATACTAGAGAGGCTGTGTGCAGTACAGTCGACTCACATTAGCAGCATGGCCCTGTGCAGAATGCCGGTTCCTATCTGTATAACTTTAGGCAAATCGATCAATGTCGCACACGCACTTTCCTCATTGAAAAAGATTGAGCATAGCCAAAAGAAGTAACTTATGAGAAGGAATTGGTTATACACGACAGAAGTATTTCATGAAGTCCAGCCAGTGTGGTGTTTTCTTTGTGACTGATATCATCAGAGAATACATCTGGTATAGCAGAATAATGGTTCCTTTCCTTAAGTGGATAGAATAGTCTTCATTTTGTCTTATACTCAGATGCATCAGTTGTTTGTGATTGCAGATCTTACCTGCACACAGGTGACAGACCACTGCTGGCAACCACTACTTAAGTTCAGCAAATTGTTTCAGACATAAGCAGATCTATCAGTAGCGTCCTCAGGCTTTGTTCGTTACACGTTGGCTAATGGCATGGCTTCCATAGCGGCAGATTCACATTCAACATCTTGAGCATGTGCTCAGTTTTCCAGAACTTATTCCCAGCCAAGTTAGTAACTGGTTGTAAAAGAGCTGTCTAATGCTGATGTCTAAGATCAAGCCACTTACAGATTATCCCCACCCCCCACCCCCGGACATAAACTTGAATGCCCCTTTTCATTTTATCAGTTAAATGGCAATTTCTGAATGCCATTTTCTGCTTCATTATGGGAAGAAATGGATTTCAGGGACCCTCTCGCTTTCAGAGAATTGCAGTCAAACTCTCAGACACCTCGAGAGTGCTCGGGGTTCCCATGGGTCATCAGGACTGAGCAGCCTTGTGCATATCCTCACCAAGAATGCACTATTCAGACCCCTCTTTCAGGTCTGACTTTCATTTTTTTAATTCACCTCTGGGGCTGGGGAGATGACTTGCAGAATAAGAGTTCCGAGTTCAAATCCTCAGCATTGGTGTAAAAAACTGCCTGTGGCCACCTGTGTACCTGTAACCGCAGTGTTGGGAGAGGGTATGGAAACAGAAGGGGCATTGGGACTTACTGAACATGACACCCGATGTCTCCCCCCTCCGCCCCCCCACACACGCATGTGCACTCATATGCACATGCATTTATACATACATACACTGTATACACAGACATGTATACACATTAATTAAAGATAACAAAGTGAACTTGGTAGACTGTGTGTGTGTGTGTGTGTGTGTGTGTGTGTGTGTGTAACAATAATAATTAAAGAAGAGGAGGTCATAAATTTGAGGAGTTGGGGAAGGACACGGCAGGAATAAAATAATGTAACAGCTCCTGTGTTCACATTCACGAAGTGCTCTCAGTGTGGTCTGGAAGGGCTGAGTGTTCTGACAGCACCCTGCAAAGGAAACAGGCTGCTCCCTTCCTGTGGGTGGCCTGAGTAGGATCTACTGAGGTAACTATACACTTATAGGAGCTGTTGATGCTCCAGTCCATTCCACCCGTGAGAGCATTTTCAGGTCCTGATTTGTCTTATGAGCACATTTGTAAACTTCACAGTTATGAACAAACATTGTAATTGCAGATTTGCATTTCTCAGTTATTGTGAAAAAAAAAGTTTCTATTTCAAACAAGAGGCATCTTTGAGGAAGGGGTCCTCTCAGACATGATTGGAAGAGTACATGGGCTTGAGCAGTGGGCACGTGCCTATTTAGGATGGACTGTTTCCCCCACGTCCAGGAACCGAGTCTCTGAATGTTTGCAGAAGTGAATGCAATTAGCATTGTACAAGCTGCAGATGAGGTGATGTCGCCCGGAGAGCTCTCTGGAAGCTGAGACGCAGCAGCAGCACTCTAGCAGATTGAGCTGCCCTTAGAGCACGTGTGGACGGACTTCTTTGCTTGGTGGCTTTCTCACTTTACCTGAGAACAGCCAAGGGGCCATGCAAATGAAAATCCTACTGAGTATGAAATATCATTCTACAGAGGGTTTTAGGGAAAAATATGTGGGAACAAGACAATGACAAGTTTGTGTTTGTGGCATCCTTTTCTCCTCATTTTTTAAAAACTGGCTTATTGACACAAATTCATACATCATAGTTTACCCTTTAACATGTATTCCTGAAGTGCATATGGTATATGGATGTGGGTGTTCATATGTCTGTGGGTGCAAATATATGTGAGGATGTTTGTGCACATGTGTGCAGAGGCCTAAGGTTGACACGGAGTGTCTTCTTCAATCACTCTCTACCTTATATACTGAAGCAGGGCCTCTCGCTGAGCCCAGAGCTGGCTGGTTTGGCTAGTATGGCTAGCCAGCTTGCTCTAGAATTCCCCGTCTCCACCTCTCCTGTGCTGGGACTATACACAGGCTGCCAAGCCCACCCGGCTTTCTGAGTGAGTTCTGGGGATCTGAACCCTGGTCCTCAGGTCTGTGCAGCAAGTGCTTTACCCAATGAGCAGTCTCCCCAGCCCTTACAAGGTTTTCGATATATTATGTTGTTATTTGTTTCAATTTTTAACAAACATATACCATTAACATTGGTATTTTAATCATTTTAAGGGTACAAGTCAGTATCCCAAATTATAGTCACAGTATTGTGTAACCCTCGGCACCATTTCTAGAACTTGTCATCATCCTGATTAGATATCATTCCTCCTCCAATCCCAGTTAATCTACCACCTCTGTGAACTTATCCATTCTAGGGAGTGCATATAAGCAGACTATATAACTTACTATTTTCATCTAGCTTATTATACTTAGCAGAATGTTCTCAAGGTTCATCCGTGTTACAGGGCTGAGTAATATTCCATTTGATGTATTCCCCACAATTGATGACCCTCATGTCCCTTGCTAGACACATGTTTTTTTTTCCCCCCTCTTTCAGCTGTTGTGAATAATCCTGCAATTAGCATTGATACATTCAGCTCTTCAGAGCATAGAATGCAGGGTAGAATGGCTAATTCTTACAGTCATTTTGTGTTTAGCTCTTTAGTTTGTTTATATTTGCTTTTAGGTTGGTTTGTTGAGACAACATCTCACTGTATAGCCCTGGCTGGCCTGGAACATGTTGGCCTTGAATGAACTCACAGAGATCCTCCTACCTCTGCCTCCTGAGTGCTGAGATTAAAGGTGTGTATCGCCATGCCCAGTTTGTCTTTAGATTTTTGAGGAACACATTGACTTTGACTTTATTCTTTAAACAAGAGCTTTATACAGCCCAAGTTCGCCTCAGATCCACTGTGAAGCCCATGCTGACCTAGGCTCCTTGCCTAGCCACCTGAGTGCTGAGACACACGCATGTGGCACCACACCTGGCCCCATACATTCATGTTTTTGTGTTAAGTGCTGCCTTGGGTACCTTAGATGAATGACTACAGTCGGTTCTCATAATAGCCATGCAAATTCCCTTTCATGCATCAAATGACTTACAAGAACCTGCTCTGTGACAGGCACTATTGTAGGCAAAAGATTCTCTAATGAACAAAAGTAATAGCCACACCTTCTCTCGGATCTTGCACTAGAGTGCTGAGAGAAGACAGTAAACAAATGTGTAGTTTGGCACAGTGGCCGTCGCCTGTAATCTCAGTGCCTGGGAGGATCAAATATGACACCAGCCTGAGCAACATAATGAGACCTGTTTCCAAAGTCTATAGATATTGCTTCTCTAAAGCATCAGTCTGGCATGTGTGAGACCCTAGCTTCAGTCCCAAGCACACCACCTACGTGTACACACACACACACACACACACACACACACACACACACACACACACACATATCCCTACCCCTAAACTTATGTAAACTATCTATTAATACAATGCTAGGCAGAATAAATGGCATTAAAACAATACAAAATACAGGAGAGAAAGCAGTTACTGTGGCTTGGAAGGAAGCCATGGACTCGAAAGGTCTCTGAGAAGCTGACTTGAGACCTAGAAGAATCAAAAGAGGAACTCATCAGAGGTCTGGAAGACCATTCTAGGGAGGGGCAAAGATGGCACACGGGCCTGGAGGCAGGTATAGGTGAGAGGGGGAAGGAATAGCAAGCAGATTGAGAGCTGACGGAGAGGGGGATGCGGTTGGCTGGTACTATGTTGTCATGGAAAACAGCTGGAAAGTTTGAGACATAAGAAAGTGATAGAGAGCTCAAAGGGCTTTACTCCAGTCATTGCTGCTGATTAACAGCTCAAGATCCAGTTGTAAGCAGACTGACTCCAGAATACATTCCCTGCCTCATACACTGTATTATGCTTCTGGTCTGTGAGCATCCTGGCTGGTAATGAACGCTATAGAGCAGTGTTCTGCACAATGGAGTTTCTGTCGCTGGAATCATCAGACTCTTCAGGTCCTGGCACACGGTAGCAGCCTCATGGGTGTCTCCATCCCTTCCTGTAGGCATGATGCACTCTCCTGGCTTTGACGGAGGGAGCAGCCTGAGCTTCCAGATGCTGATGAATGCAGACAGCTTGTACACGGCGGCACACTATGCGCTACTGCTCAACCTCAAGCTCTCCCACGGCGACTACTACCGGAAGCGGCCAACCCTGGCACCAGGCATGATGGTGAGCATAAGCTCTGGCATGGGCTTCCCCCCGGATGAGCTGCCACTGTGTAGCTGAGTGTCAGGCCTGGAGGGAGAAACAGGCCAGTGTGTTCTGTGCCCCGTTGCTCTGCAATACCTATGCCTGTGCAGGTCTGGGGGGTGGAGAGCATAGGTGTGAAATTTGCCCAGTGATCACTCATGGCTTTAATATGAGGGTGGGGTTGACTATCCTTTGGTCAGCTCCCTTGCCTGAAGAAGCCACTCCCTTAATGTCAATTTATGAGTCTAAATCATGGATCAGCAGAAAGAAATCACTCGTCACTTCTTTCTCGAATAACGTGTTACCTCCCAAGGTTAATTGATGACTGTATGAGAGTGTCGGTCAAGTCTCAGTTGGGTACATACCCTCCTTCCAAAGCTTATTCTATCCCTGCTGCTGTTGGGACAGCAAGAAGAAGAAACTGTGGAAAATAGCCATGCCGGTGATAACAAGAATGTAAAATGCAGCATCCTGGTCCTTCTGCAAGTTGTCGGTCAGATGATGTCACAAATAAGACAACTGTGTGAAGCTGGGGCTTCTGCACCCCAGCTTTTCTCCCTGTCACTCCTACCCGCAATGAAAAGCTCCGGTTCAGTGAGAGGGGGGCAGTTTGGGAACCTGTTCATTCACGGGACTGTGTATTTGGTCCCCTTCCATGGCCTCTCTGCAGAAAGAGTTCATGAAACAGGTGCAGACCAGCGGCGTGTTGATGGTCTTCTCCCAGGCCTGGATTGAGGAGCTGTACCACCAGGTGCTCGACAGAAACATGCTGGGTGAAGCTGGCTACTGGGGCAGCCCTGAGGACAACAGCCTTCCCCTCATCACCATGCTCACTGGTCAGTGACTCATGCCAAGGTCATGGGGTGCCCAGGAGTGGGGAAGGTGATATTCTGGGGCCTTTTAGAAATGCCATGATGCATGAACAGGCTTTGGGGGACAGTTGCAGGATAGTGCCATAAAAGCGCTTCACAAGCATTTGCTCTCCTTCTGTTGTGGGCACAGAACACCCTCAGCTGTTGGAGTAATGCTGCAGGCCCATTGATGGACTTGTGTTTTCTGGACACGGGCCCAGAGTTATTCCTGGAAGCTCTCACGTGCTAATTGAGACCCCACATCATTCAGTACTCCTGGGATCTGGCCACTTGGAATATGAAGCAATTGATTTTATACTTGGCCTCATTCCCATTTCCTGTCAGCCTTCCTTTCCCAGTTGTCCCAGAATATAAATGAATGGCAAACATTGGCTTTCCCAGAAATCTTGTCTCTGGTGTCAAAAACCTTAATATCCTCTTTAACTACTAGAAATTTCAAGCAAACACGTTGAGAATAATATGCTTAGTATCTAGGGGTGGGGTGATTTTGAGCAAGAGCAGATATTTATGGTTTCCTTCATGGCTTACCAATAATGTTCAAAGCCTTGATATGTTCATCAGAAGCCCTAATACGTTAATCCTTCAAGCCTTTTTGTTTAACTGGTTCTGTGTTCCCAGATTGACTTCTAATCTGAATTGTCCTCTCATGGGACATAGAAGGGCATGGTCCTCCACAAGATGCCTTTGTGTTGTGTCTCCTGTCTCTCAAAACTGTTTACTATAGAGGGTCAGGGCCAGATAAAGCTGGATAGCATAGCTGGGAGGTTGGATCTATTGATTAGAAGTACGCCATGGTGTCCATGGTTGACACTGAGGCTTTTATAAAGGTAACAAAGTAGATAACTGACCACAGATTGTGGAAACCAACAATCAGGAATTTGGAGGTGAGGTGCTATTTAGTTAGGGACCAGGTAGAGTGATAGCAATGAGGGCCCTCCCTGGACGTCAGAGTCTGTCACTTTCTTGAATCTGGGACCTTTCTTCTAGAATCAAGATGGAATTGATAAAAGCAAGTCTAGATCCCACATCTTGAGGATTGGCATCATGAGACAAGTGACCACCTTGTACCTTATTAATCACAGTTCTATTTGTACCACTTGAAAAATAATCAATCATGGGATCTGGAGAGAAGGCTCAACCATCTCAAGGACTTATGTTTGATCCCTAGCACCTACATAAGCATCTATAACTCCAGCACTGGGGAGGTGGATACAGAGGATCCCTGGCATTTGCTGGCAGCCAGTCTAGCTGAATCGGAGAGCTCCAGTTTCAGTGGGAGACTCTGTCTGAAAAAATAAAGAGGAACTGAGGAAGACAGCTGACATCAATGTCTTACCTCTACACATACGTGCATCCACACACATACGCACACATGAACATGTACACAGATAAACACACACTAAACAATCATTCCTATTTGTAAGAGACATTCATTTAATTTACTATAAGCAATGCTTGGTTTCCATAAACTCCCTTCATCAAGGTAGAGAGTGTTGCCTGGAGTGTGTAAGCGCCTTAGAATTCAGCTGAGGATCTTAAATACCAGGTTTCTGCCAAATGCAATCTCTATGAATCTCTTACGCAAAGTTTAATAAAAAGAGTCATTCAATAGATGTGAAAGGAATAACAGACTATCCACAGTAGCTGTATTCATCCATCATTACTGCTAATCAGCTGTAATGTAAGAATAAGCTCGATCGCTCTGTCCATAGGAAAGTTATTTAGTTCTAGGATAACGATAGCAATATGTAGTCTTTTCAAAACAATTCAACAAAAATAAGGTTCTGTGAGGGCTGGAGCAATGGCTCAGCAGTTAAGAGCACTTATTGCTCTTACAGAGGATCCAGGTTCTGTTCCCAGAACCCACATGGCAACTCACAGCCATCTTTTCAGTTGCAGGGGATCCAATGCCTTTTTGTGACCTCCAGCGGCACCAGGCGTGGCATGCACTTGGTCCATATCTATACATGCAGGCTAAACACTGATAACAAATGAAAATTATCAATAGTCCATGAAACTTTATAGCAAATTCCAGATGTGGACCAACAGGTGAGGGTGTGGGAACTTTCTGGTCCTCCCATTGTGTACCAGGAAAGACATGACCAACAGTCTCACCATCAGCCACTCCTGGTAACATGCCAAACCATTCATAGAAATGGAAAACTTTCTACTTAAATAAATTTCAAGTTACTGAGTTCATTCATCATGTACCCAGTACATGGGAGCTATTATAACCTGTATAAAATGATCATTTCTGGTAAATGTCATTAGGCCATTGATTGAAAGCCAAATTGATTCCAGAAAACTGGCCTATTTCTATAGTAGCAGCCATATAAATTCTACCTTTTATGACTGTCTTAGGTTTTTCTATTGTTGTAAAGAGACACCATGACCAGAGCAACTCTTATAAAGGAAAACATTTAATTGGGACTGGCTTACAGTTTCAGAGGTTTAGTCCATTTATCATGATGGTGGGAAGCATGGCAGCATGCAGGCAGATATAGTACTGTTGCAGGCAACAAGAGTGAACTGTCCCACACTGGGCATAGCTTGAGTATATAAGACCTCAAAGCCCTTTGCCACAATGACACACTTCCTCCAACAAGGCCACACCTCCTAATAGTGTCACTCCCCATGGAGGCCATTTTCATTTGAACCACTACAATGACCTTCTGATGTGTTGCCTAGAAGGCTTCATGACATTTTGTAAGAATCCAATATAAAATGAAAGTTTTTAACACTATGCATTGACTTCATCTCCTACTCAAGCAAGGGTGAAGTTCCAAATTGAGAAGAAATTTATCCCATTCCCCCTTTCCCATACACTCCACTGTGTTTCATTTGACTGTATCAGTTGTATCCAAATTCATGTGTTGCATCCCGTGACCAGCTCCTTTTATAGTGAAGGGATTGGCTCAGTACCTATTTCAGGCCTAAAAGGCCTCTTCATTCAAAGATAAGCAGAAACCCAGATTTTCAAACCCAGACCATCCCTTCCTGCCAGAATATGAAGGAGTTTGTGGGACTATTTTTGTAGGTGGGAATTTATTCTTACAAAAATTTGAAGGAGTTAGTTTTAGAGCCCATGTTGAACTGGGGCATGGTGTTGTAGAGAGGCCTAGTCTGCAATCAGAAAACACAAACACTGAATCCAATTCTGTCCTTTGCTAGCCTTATTGACTTTGGAAATCTACATACTTTACAGTTGGGTCTTAGTCCAAATACCCAGAAATGATACCTTCTCCTGCTCCCAATTCTTAAGTTCCTTACCTATAAAATGGAAAAACGAACAGCCCTCACTTCCTGATTTGTGTGGTTGAGCATAATCTGATGAAAAATATATTAACTAAAACAGTTTGAAAATTGTAAAGTATTATCATCAGTATATTTCAAATTAGAATGGAAAGTACCTGACCAAAGAGGCGCCTTCTACTTAGTTCTAGTGAAACAACTCTGGAAGAGAAAGACTGGCCTGGCATGGTTGTATATTCTTTTTAGTCTAGCACTTGAGAAGTGGTACTCTATCCATAGGATTATTGATAAAGCCATGATTTTGAGTAAGACGACAATCCAAAGACGAAAAATAGTGAATGCTTTATGACAATGGCAGAGGCAGAGTTTAGCCTTTTTTTTTTTTTTTCAAACATAAAGCATACAAAGCATACAAAAGAATGCTTTGACAATGAAAGAAAACAGACTGAGGGAATAAAGCAACATTTATAATATTCTCAGAAAAGTGACTCTATTGCTCATATAAGAGATGCAATGAATTTTTGCTAAAAAGATAGGAATAGTATGGTGGCCATTGTTTGTTTTTGATTGGCCTGCCAAAAGGGGAGACTTAGGGATGACTTCCTCTTTGAATTGGCAGATATTGATGGCTTAGAGAGCAGTGCCATTGGAGGCCAGCTGATGGCGTCCGCTTCCACGGAGTCACCTTTCACCCAGAGCAGGAGAATTGATGACTCCACGGTAGCAGGTAAGACCGTCAACCTTGCGTTTAACATGAACACACATTACACGTGTTACCAGAAATCAAATTGTTACATGGTGGCTTAAATAAATGATGACTTTGTCTTGGGGGGAAAGGTGGCTAATGAAAATTGCCCAGCTGAGATAGTGATGTGTCTCATTCATTATTCATGACCACTGTGTGAAACCTGAGCCAACACACTCTAACACATTGTATTTCCTGTCGTAGAATTACATGCAAGTCAAAAATGCCCATCCGAGGCCTGGAGCACCCCAGACCCTTTGTCATTCTTTTTGTCTCTAGAAAGTGACCTGAGTCACCCCCCTCCTCTTATAGGTGTGGCCTTTGCGCGTTATATCTTGGTTGGCTGCTGGAAGAACCTGATTGATACGCTGTCAACCCCCTTGACTGGTCGAATGGCAGGAAGCTCCAAGGGGCTGGCCTTCATCCTAGGAGCTGAGGGCATCAAGGAGCAGAACCAGAAGGAACGGGATGCCATCTGCATGAGCCTCGATGGGCTTCGGAAAGCCGCACGACTGAGCTGTGCGCTAGGTACCTGTGGGGGGAGGAGTCCCTGAGCCTTGGCCTGAGGGAAGGCCCCTGCAGAACTCACTGGGGAAGTCCTCATGTAGGAGGGGTTCTTCCGGTATGTATCTGCAGAACATACTCAGTTAAGGGGTAGCTGTTTGTCTCTTCTGAAGGGGTCGCTGCTAATTGCGCTTCAGCTCTTGCCCAGATGGCAGCCGCTTCCTGTGTCCAGGAAGAGAAAGAAGAGAGGGAAGTCCAGGAGCCCGGTGATGCCATAGCACAAGGTAACAACAGCTTCAGGCAAGATCTTCCTGGTGCCTTCATTGTGCTGTGCACACATCCACCTAGACCACTGGAGACTGGTCCCCATTCCATGTGTGATGCCCAGGAGGTGATCGTCACTAGTCAGGAGCCCCACTGGGCCACAGGCTTGAGTCTGTTTAGGGTGAGGGAACCTCCCTAGCGCTGATAGTGTCTCTTTCTGAACAAGAAAGTCATACTGGCTACCAGTAACAGAGAAAGTACAGTTGGCTGCTGGCGAGAGTGCCAGGGGCCCACCTGGTTGAGCCATCTCCTGGGTCGGTCATCACCAGGCTCCTAGTGCACATGGGAGACCCTCAGCTCACAGCAGGGATGACAAATTGGCCATTGTTCTGAGGGTGAAAAATCAAATAGAATCCATAAAAGGGGGTCCAGAGAAACTTCACGCAGGAAAACCTGAGCTTTGCGGACACAGGGAAGGGTCAGTGAAGCTGATGAGCTTCTAGACACAAGGAAAAGAAAATGTCTTTCCTAATGGCTGTGGAAGATACAAGGCAGGCAGCGGGCTGAAGGAAAAACACAAGCATGGTCTAAATGATGCTGATGCCATCCGTGGATACGTAAAAGAGCTAGTCACAGAAGTGTGTATCTTTAGCAGAAACAAGCCATTTAGGTCACTGTTCCACAAACGTGAGTAATATTTAGGAACCTGTTAACAAGCAAAGTAGTTTTCTTGTAGCTCTGAGGAAAGGGGGAAGAAGGAATCAAAGTTTGTGAAGTATTGTGTATCTGTCAATCACACAACGACTTCACATTCAGCCACTGTGGTAGTGTACACCTGTGTGCCAGAACTCAAGCGATTGAGGCGAGAGGATCACAAATGTGAGGCCAGTTTCAGCTACGAGGCAAGAACTTATCTCAAAAATATAAATCCCGGGGTCTGGAGAGAGATGGCTCAGCCGTTAAAAGTGCCGATCACAAGGACAAGAATTCTCAGATCCGAGCACCCCCATTACCAGCCAGGCATAATACAAAGACATTCAACTGTAGTTCTCAGGGATCCAACACCCTAACTCAGGCCTCTGCACATGCACGAGTATGCATGCCTAACACACACGTGTGTGCATACACTCACAGAGACACACATACACAAATAAAATTAATCTTTAAATAATTCTTGAGGCTGGAGAGATGACTCAGCTGTTAAGGGCACTGGCTGCTTTTCCAGAGGACCCAGGTTATGTTTCCGGCACCCACATGGTGGCTTACACCCATCTGTGTGGTTCTGGCGTCCCCTTTCAACCTCTGAGGGAGCCGGATACATACCTACAGGCAAAACACCCACACACATAAAATAAGTCTTTGTAAATGTTTAATTCTTACATAAACAGTACCTAAAACACAACATACTTATAAAGCTAATAATGTTCTTATCATAAGAAAATGAGAAATAAAATCGGTTTCATGTTAATGAGGCCAATAGTGTTTTCCTCAAAATAACCTTCTCCTTGTAACATGAAAATGGCCGAGTCTCTTGAAGATAGTCTTCTCTGTTCCTTAGTTCTGGACTATCACTCGGTTTACCCCACCAGATCTGGTGACTGGACAGCTTTCTTTAAGGATGGCACTGCCATTTGGCCTTCTCATTTAGCATAACTGGCATGCTAAGCCAATGTTTACATCCTTCCTCAGTTATGGCCACAGAGCAGGGGTCGCTTATGAATGGGGACTTGTCCAACCAGTAGTTTGCATGTGAACCATGGGGACCTGCTGAATGGCAACACTCGCAGCCAGCGAAGTGCACTGCTCCCCTTTGCCCTCGCATGACGACACGCCCTTTCATTTCCATCCTGCCCTTCCCCCTGTCCGTCTCCCTCGCTCGGCTGCTATTTTCATAAATGTCTCTCTGGCACACAGTGAAGCTGAAGGTGGAGCAGAAACTGGAGCAGATGGGGAAGGTGCAGGGGGTGTGGCTGCACACGGCCCACGTCTTGTGCATGGACGCCATCCTCAGCGTAGGCCTGGAGATGGGAAGCCACAACCCGGACTGCTGGCCACACGTGTTCAGGTGCATGATGGGAGTCCCCACCCCTGTTGGCACAGACCCTGCCTTGGGAAGCCTGGGGTGGTAGAGAGGGTGTGGACTCCAGGGTCTGCCAGCCTCTCAGCAGAATATGAGCATTCACTGTTCAGACACACTCCAAGTGGGACACAGGAGGACAGGAGATAAGGACCCGCTGGATGTATGTGTATTTGGAGAACAGGATGGCAGAACTGGATTCAGGGAATTGTGATTTTTCTGTTGACACTGCTATGGGAGGCAGATGTATTATTATATTACACCAAGGAAGAAAAAGCTGGATTCTTAAGTGATAGATGAAAGACAGCCATACAGTTTAAATGACTATGAGTCTAAAATGTGCTCAGGTGTCAATAATCCAACTATTGTGTGTTCATTAATGTCCTCGCTATGCGGAGAAAAAAAAAGACCTTGGGTAACTCACATCATCCATACAATACTTCATTAAAGACTCTAGTTTAACTGGACGTGGAAAAATAAGAACATAACAGCACATCTGTGCAAAAGACCACTAAAAAGATTGACTCTAAGTCCTGTGGCACTGAAGTGAAGATTCTCCCAGTGAGCGCCCATAAAGTAAAAAGCAAAATGACAACTCCAGACTCCACCTCTTAGGTCCAAGATAAGAAGCATGTCTCCCCAAGCATTGGCACTAGGGCAAAGGAAGGGCACAGAGGCCCTGCTCAGTTGTGCTCAGCTGGGCCTTCACCAGGCATCACCTGAGGCATCACACCGAAGTGCCTTGCGAGCAGATCGGCCATGGGAGGAGAGTGTTGGGAGGCCAGCAAGACCTGAGTTCAGTCTCAGGTCACCAAAACTAATAAAGCCACAAGCGCTGGCTGAGTTCCTAAGAGAAGCACGTGCAGATTATCCAAGGGTTGTAAAACCAACCAACTTGAGAAAAGCATGGGCAAGGACCAGGATGAAGCAGCCTGGAGCAAAAAGGGGTCTGATAGAGAAGTGGGTGGCCAGATAGTCTGCATTGGTCTTACAAGGAGACAAAGGGAAGAGACTCGGGTGATGCTCGATGTATGTGAGTTCAACAAATCCCAGATTACAGAACACCAGAGTGGTTTACCCAGAATGCCCTTGGACAATAACTAGATTCTCTGGGATGAAGGATGTCTTGGAAAGCATTTTAATCCCAAATTCAGTTAGTCACAGGCACTTTGGAGTTGGCAGCTGCACATGTCTGTTCTGTTGCTGCCATGCTCGGGGATGCCCCTCAGCCTCAATCCGCACTTGGACGTGAGATATATGGAGCCAGCAGCTTCAGACACATCATAGCTGTGTAGAGCTCTGCTGTGTCGAGAAAGCCTGTCCTTCACGGGCATGCTGGTTCTGGGGTCCCATCATAAGGAAGTACTTCTCAGTTCCTAATCAGAACATAGTACAGAGAGAAAGAGGGGATTTCTCAGGGGAACTTCTCAAATAAGCAGTCTAGTAAAACAGTAAGCTAGGCAACACAGAAGCGGTGAACAGGGCTCCACTGCCTGTCTTTTTCCTACAAGAGTGAGTGATGGGTGAGAGAATCTGAGGCATCTTTCATCCATGCCAAGATTGGTCCAACTCAAAACAAATTTTGTGTCTCTAAGTAGTAACATGATGTGAAGAGAGTCCACTAGAGTCTGTTAAAGGGTATCAAGGATTTATGAAGATATAAAATGGGGAGAAATACACTCTGGGATACAGAACAAAGTGAACAGCCATTGTCATCCTCTGTTTTGTCTGGGGACTGGGAGCGGTGAATGGAACCAGCCCTCTGGTCTCCAAACACCCCAAGAGAGTGAGAGCCCACGTCCCCTCCTCAGTTTTAAGCAGTCACGTACCCAGAAAAACCCCACCTCTACCAGTCTGGATACCCACAGGTCATTGGCAGAGCGAATTCCCACAACACATATATAATAAGGAAATGGGCCGTGCCAAATACGGTAAGAGAAACGGAGAAAAACAGGGGTTCATTCCAGAGTTAGCTGGATTTCCTTTTCTCTCACCATGGGATGGATAGAGCAGGCAGCGCTGGGGTACAGCGCTCACTTCCTGTTTGTCTGGCTCTTTCTAGGGTGTGTGAGTATGTGGGCACACTGGAGCACACCCACTTCAGCGACGGTACCTCCCAGCCCCCTCTGACCATCCGTCAGCCACAGAAGACATCCGGGAGCTCCGGCCTCCTTGGGGACCTTGAGTGTGAGGACTCATCTCAGGAGCAGACCCTGGAGCAGGGCCCCTCCCTGAGCGCAGCCCCTGTGGTCCAGCCACACTCCATCCAGGAGCTGGTTCGGGAATGTAGCCGGGGCCGGACCTCAGACTTCCGGGGAGGCAGTCTGAGTGGGAACAGTGCCGCCAAGGTGGTACTCTGCCTTTCCACCCAGGCCGACAGGTATGCAAGGCCAGCTCACCACACAAGGATGCTTAGCCGGGGATTACCTGTTGGCTATGCTGATATTCATTTGTCTGGTCTTAGAATCACCTGGGGACAACTTGTTGTATTAGCCAGAGCCTGAAAATGCTTTCCTTTGAGCGTGTGTGTGTGTTACGTGTGTACATGTGTACATGTGTACATGTATGTCGAGCACAACCTTGCCTGTCCCTCAGACATCATCCACCTTTTTTTCTCCCATTTATTTGTTTATTTATTTATTTTGGAGGCAGGGTCTCCTATGGCCTCTGGAGCCTATCAAGCAGGCTAGGATGGTTGACCAGCAGGCCCTAGCTGTGTCTGCTCCTCCACTCTGGGATGGCTTACAAGTGTGAGCCACTCCACTCGGCTCTTATGTGGGATCTAGGGGTTGAACTCAGGTCCTTGGGCTTGCAAAGGCAGCCATTTTTATCAACCGAGCTATCTCCCAGCCCTCCTTCTGTCTTTGGAAAGCATCGTCCTCCCTCCTACCGCACACCATCCTTTGAATGAACCGTCCTCAATGCCAGAATTTCAGGTCTGCGGTGGACTGTCTGCAATTAAGTCTCTGGCTTCATTATCCTGTCTGGCAACTCCGTGGACCCTGGCTTCCTCACTGGTTAAAAAAAAAAAAAGTCCTTTTTAAAAGTGATTCTCACTGGGTAGTTACAGTTACAAGGTTGAATTAAATAATACATTATACAGCACCTAGAACATAGCTTGAAAAACAGTAAAGATTCAATGTTTTGGTGATTCTTGATACAAAATCCCATACTATGGGTGGTGGAGATGGCTCCGTGGACAAAGGATTTATTGCACAAGGGTGAGAACCAGAGTTCAGATCCCCAGGGCTCTCATAAAAAGCCAGGCAGGCCTGGTAGCACCCTGGAATCCTAACACTTGGGAGGTAAGGACAGGAACCCTAAGTCAAGCTAGTTCTCTAGGCTGGCAGAAATCGGCAAGTCCTGGGTTCAGTAAGAGAACCTGCAGCAATAAATGTAGAGGATGGGAAAGATCAAGGAAGATGCTCATTGTCAACTTCAGGTTTCCACACACGTGCGCACACATGGACCTACACACATGTGAACATGCATGCTCATGTACACACACACACACACACACACTCATGAAAGAAAAGAATAAAAACATTCTCACCCAGAAGCCCAGAAGTGTGGTACTTACTGATGCCTAAGGTAAAGGAGAATCAACTATTGCCTCAACTGTTGGGCAACATGTCTTGATGCCGGAAGTGCTTGTGATCCCCAGTCACATGACATCGCCTTATCTGTCCCCTCAGCATATGGTCATTATGCCTAGGTCTCCTATAAAGAGAAGAGACAGGAAGTGGCTAGGGCAGCAGGCTAAGCCTTTGCTGGCTGGGCTCAGAGAGCCCTGGCTTCCTGTTCCGACTTTGACATTGACCTACCTGATAATGTCTATAGAAACAGTTACACTGAGACTGACTCCCCACTGACTCAGACAATTCCCACATGCTCTAACTGGTAGAACAATCCCTTGTTCCTATTTGTCCAGTAATTTGGCTATTGAAGTGTTTCAGAATCCGGAAAGAGACACATGGGTGTCAGGGAGAATATAACACACTCCTGGAGTCTCTTTACTAGGGGGAAAGAAAAGGAAATAGTTAAGAGACCCAAAAGCAAAATGGAATCCAAATTGGAAACAGAAAATACTTTGTAAATATTTAACTACTGTTTCTGTTGACTCATATTCTTTTACTGGGCATTAAGTTATAATTTCTCTTAAACATTACAGTTTGAATTGGATACTCCTTTTTAAAACATTGTAACCTAAAACCGTAAGAGCAATATTTGTATATCCATATATTGTTTGTCTCTCTTCATTATCATAAAATGGGAATGGTACTAATATATGCCTCACCATAGGCCAAGTCATCTGTACACCCTCATTACAAGATGTTCTTATGCATAGCCAGGTATGGGGTGCACACCTGAAACCCCACCGTTGAGGAAGCTGAGCCAGGAGGGTCATGTGTTCCAGGCCAGTCTTGGAAGCAGAGAGAGTCCCACAAACTACATCAGCGTTGTGACTGTGGCTGCTTTTCCAAAGCATAAGAGTATGTCCACTGCTTAAATCCAAAACCATCACTTGTTACTATGTCCCTTCCATAATAGGCATGTAGGATGTCTATTATCTTGGTATTTCTGTTAATAACCATGTGCATTTAGTTAAGAAAATAATAACTGAAAACATTTAAAAGAAGACTTCTGTTATTGTTGAAATTATATGAGGCTAGTATACACAATGTAATAAATGTATTCTCAGAAGTTTTGGAGCACTTAAAAGACTTACCAAACTATGTGTATCTTTGTGGTGAGTGTGTGCATGTGCGTGTTTGGTGTGTGTATATGTGTGTGTGCTTGTGTGCTGGTATATGTGTGTGCAAGTGTGTGTGGCCTATGTGTTTGCTTGAGTACTGGTGTGTGATGCATGTGTGCCCTGTGTGTTTACTGAGTGTACTATGTGTGTGAGCTGTGTGTGTGCTTTATTTTTTGTTAGACATCTCCTGCCAATATAAGAAAGACCTCAGCGTATGAACATAATTATCTTTGAAGTACAGAAAAAAGATTTTGCTGCTATATTAATAGGATTTCTTGGATGAACGGTCAAAGAGTTATTAATTTTTATTAAATTAGATATCTATTAATACTGGCTACAAAAATAAATTTTAATAAGGTATTTAAAAGTTAGAATATGTCTAATATAACTCTATGGTTTTAAAAGCTTATTGAATTTTTTAATTTATTTGTGCAAAACATAGTGATAAAATTTTGTGTGTGTGTGTGTGCATGTGGGTGTGGGTCTAGTGTTCTTTTTGTCTGTCTCACTTTTTGTCTGGGAGTGGTCAGTTTACTCAAAGGAAATTCTCTAGTCATCTTCTTGGGATGATTAAAGATGGTCCCCATGTTTCTTAAAGCTGAGACAAGTACGGGTCTCCAAGCCGACTAAGTTCCTGAGTCCCTTTGCTTCCTGTGCCTACAATCTTCATTTGCTGAGAGTCCACTTCCATGCTCAGAATGCATCCTTACCTCCCAGAGGCTCCACTGAATAGACCATGATAGCTAAATGATAATAGAAAAGGACATTAGCTAGCAGTGAGGGTGCTGGGCACTTTCCTGGACACTGTACACAGACCAGACAACCCACCAGACAGCCCAACCATGAGAGTTACTAACTTTCTTAGAGGAGGAAGCATAGGTCAGGGGAGTTAGCTAATTAACTCATTCCACTTTAAGACGATGGAGCCAGCAAATGCTTCTGAGTCTGTTTCACTCCAAAGACTCTTGTTACTTAAAACAGAATCACAGGACAGAGTGAAGGTGCAGACATTTTTTTTTTTTTTTTTGAGATAGAATCTCAGGTATCTTAGGCTGATCCCACATTTGCTATCTAGCTAAGGATGGCCTTGAACTTCTCTCCAGTCTTCACCTCCTAAGTGAAGGTGATTATAGACTTGTGACACCACAGTTTATATGGTGTTGGTGATGGGGCCCCAGGCTTCAGGCATGCTCTGTAGGCACTCTACAAACTGAGCAGCATCCTCAGCTACTAAAACTGTGGAATTCATTTTTAATCTTTTAATGTGCAGATTGTTTTGTCCACGTGTCTGCCTGTGTACACATGGCGAACAGAAGAGTGCACTGGATCCCCTGGAACTGGAGTTACCGTTGGCTACGAGCAGCCATGTGCTGGGAGTTGAACTTGGGTCCCCTGAAAAATCAGCCAGTGCTCTTAACTGCTGAGCCATCTCTTCAGCCCTAAAATTACAGAATCTTAATTAAGCACAACACTCAGATGACAAGGGATGACATTTTCATAAAAACAAAAAACCACTACTTCAGTACTCATTACAGATGAAATTATTTTATGCACTAAAATTATCAGAAAGCTTGCTTAACATCTTCAAAGACCCACAGCATTCCTCTTGTCAAGAATTAACTCGTGGGTTTAATTTGCAGTTATCTGCAGACTGATGCTGAGTTTTGTTTCCTGAGAGCTTCTCAGTCATTGGTGTATCTTATTTGAAGGAATGTCTTTTCAAGTCCTTTGCTCGTTTCAAATTAGGTCTTTAACTTTTGATGTTAAATTTCAAGTTCACTTCATTTTTCCCAATACTGGATTTATAAAATATGTAGTATCTTTTAATGCCTCATTTTTTGTTATTTCTGTCTTAAAATTCAGTATGTCCCATGTTAGTCCTTCAGAAAGACTCAGGATTCAATTTCGGTTCAAAACAATGACCCTAGAGCAGCACACGGCATCCCGTAACACTGACACCACCATACCCTTGGCGGGTAGACCATAGATGCCTCACTGCTCTTGGGCTATAGGAATCTAATGTCTGATCTTTATATCTCACCCTCCCCCCCACCCCCAGAGCTCTGGAATCTCTGAAAGCAATACTTTGTCATCGTTCACATTCTTGTCAAACACTTTAGGAGTGCTTAGCACCACTGGCTAGCCTCGGAAGCTGCCAAGACTATTTTTTTCAAGTCTGTTTTGTGGTATTCTTTGCATCAAAATCCCATGGTTAGTGCAGACTTGTGCACATGAATAATAGCTATGATCATACCATCCATGTGTCTGCAGTGTTTACACAGTGCTTTTCTTAATTACATCAGCTGAATTACCATAATTATTTCGCCGTACACCCTTGATGAATTGTTCCTGCATAACGCCTGTGTTTATTTGCGCCCAGGCTCTTTGACGATGCTACAGACAAGTTGAACCTGTCAGCCTTGGGAGGGTTCCTCTACCAGCTAAAGAAAGCGTCCCAGTCCCAACTCTTCCACTCCGTGACAGACACCGTCGATTACTCTCTGGCAATGCCAGGTAATTTTCCCTGAAGAAACTGTTGGTAAGTAAGGAGGAAATAGCCCCTGTCATTGGTACCAGCAGCATGTGTAACAGACAATAGTAACAGTCATAATTATTACAGTTTAAACACTCATCCATGTGTGCAGGGCCCCGTGGTAAGCGCTGGATGTGGGCCATCACGTTCATTTAATAATCAAAGAAACTTTAAGAAGTAGGTAGATTTACCCCCTTGTTTTTATACATGCGATTAATGGGGAAGAGAGGGAAATTCTTGGCCCATTCCAATGCAGCTACTAAACGGGTCTCACTCCTCAGCCTTACTATTTACACCAAAGCTTCATGCCTTCTTCTCTGTGGACACAGTATTGGGTCCTACTGAGTGAACCACCTTGCTGATTCTGAACGGAAGGCTCACTCCTTCCCTGATGAGCCGTCTGAAGCCATCGTGCTATCCAAGAACACTGCCTTGATTTTCAACTTCTCTGTGCTGGAGTCCTTTGAACTATACCTGAGTTTGGGCTTTCTCATCTCCCCTTCCTGTAGGAGAAGTTAAGTCCACCCAGGATCGCAAAAGCGCTCTGCACCTCTTCCGCCTGGGGGATGCCATGCTGAGGATCGTGAGGAGCAAGATGCGGCCCCTGCTCCACGTGCTGCGCTGCTGGAGCCTTGTGGCACCACACCTGGTGGAGGTGAGACTGGAAGGTGGGAGGAGCCTGTAAATGGAAGCTGAGGGAAGTCCTGCTACAGAGCCAGCGTAGGGGCTGTATTTCTAGGGCCACAGGGTAATGAGAACCTTTCCATAGGCTGGTCATAAGCACCATTGTTCTCTGATTAAATATCAAGGATTCTGAAGACTCACCCTGAAAGGCAGTGCCTCCCTGGTCTCTTTCCAAGTACATAGCTCAACTAATTTCCATGCAAAGCTGGTTCTTGGTTCTTGTGTTCTGTTCTTAACTTGAGTCTGGAGCTAAAAGATAGAGCACCAAATCAATTCTTTCCTTTGGGGCAACATCTTTGATTCTTGTTTCTCTTCTCTGATAACTCAGTTATAAGGGACATGTTATTTCAGGAGGGGGAACCATATATCCTGGTTTTCCTGACAAAATGAACCCTAGCACCTTCCAACTCCCCAAAGGAAAGCAGTTTATAGGATCAGTTTTGTGGTAGCTCTGTATCGAATCATCTCAGTGCATGATAACTGGCGCTGTTAGTTACTTTTCTGTTACTGTGATAAAACACTGTAACCAAGACAAGTTAGAGAGAGCAGCGTTTGTTTGGGCTTACAGTTCCAGAAGGAGAGCCCATAGCAGGAGGGAGGCAGAGCCAGGAAGCTGAGAGATCACATCTTCAGATGTGAACACAGAGCAGAGTGAGCAAACTGGAGGTAGGGTGAGGCTATGAAACCTCAAAACCTACCAATGGTGTCACTTCTTCCAGCAAGACATCACCACCACCTCAGTGTGCCAGCCAGGGACCAAGTGCTCACATAGATACCGAGTTGGTGAGAGTCATTTCCCATTCTTACCACCCCACTGACTAAGTAACAGGGAGCGTTATTGCCTTACTTACAGTGGTAACTATTCATAAACACCCTGTTGTACTTACTTAGTAAAGATAGACAAGAAGATATTTCACAGAATTTAATTTACTAACCTGAGGATAGGCTAGTAAGGAAGAAAGGTACAAAGTATCAATTTAGTCAAGCCCAAAGATCCCATCAGCTAGATACTATGCTATAATTGACTGCATAGAAAGCCTGGGAGCATCAAACAGTGACCATTTATTTTGTTCATTGATCTTCAGCAGAAATTTGAAGAAAATGCTCTGGTAATTCTGGTCTGGACTAGTGTGCTGGCTCATTTTATTTCAGCTTGACCAAGCTAGAGTCATTTGGGAACAAGAAACCTCAGTTAAGAAATACCCATTGGAATGGCTGTGGGCTGGCTTGCGGTGCATTTTCTTGATTGATAATTGATGTGGAAGGGCCTAGCTCACTATGGGTGGTGTCACCCATGGGCTGGTGGTTCTGGGTGCTATAAGGGAACAGGCTGAGCAAACCATTAAGGAGCAAGCCAGTAAGCAGCACCCCTCCATGACCCCTACATCAGTTCTTGCCTCCAGGTTTCTGCCCTGCTTGAGTTCCTGTCCTGACTTCCCTTAATGATGGACCTGGATGTATAAGATGAAGTAAATCCTCTCCTCCCCAAGTTGCTTTTGGTCATGGTATCTTCGCTTAGAAATAGAAACCCTAATTAAGACAGCTATCTTGGCTGATCCCCGCTGGCCTTCCTTATATGCCCATAGTCAGCTGATGCAAAGACTGGTACCAACTGGTTCACAATAGCTTTAACTGGGAAGGCTGGTCATCATTCCCTCTCTCCACAGTCTCTAAGATAGGCTTGGCCTCCGGCGCTCAGTCCCCACTCCTTCACATGGTCGCCTTCGGATTCCCCCAAACAGTGAGAACACAAACTCCACATCACAGTCTGTTACTTACGGGATGGTTTCTGCTGTGCCAGTAGCCAAAGCAAGTCCCGGGTCGAAGTTGAGAGCCAATGCGGAACAGAATCAATAAAAACCATGAGACCCAGGCTGTGTGAACCAATTCAAGTTCTCGTTGCCATTGATCCACTCACTAGGGGACAAATGACTCCCTGATCTTAATATATTAGGGGGATGACTAAGGAGGGGCCATGAGCAGTTCCATAGGTTGTGGTGAACATGCTCTGTACTGCTGAAGAAAATTGTCATGCTGCAGAAAAAGAAAATAACGGAAGCCTTACTCTTCCAGAAACCTTAACTTGATGTTGGAGTTGTATCTATCCAGTTGATTAAATTTCCAGATGCGATTTGGTGCACTTATCATCCTATACACTAAAATTCCTTAGAATTTTGTATGTAAACGGAATACTCTTCCTACCTTTACATAATAAGGTGGGCTGGGGAAGCCTTCAGATGTCACACTTTCCTTGCCTGACTTCCTGCTGGCGTTCAGCTCTCTCTTGTCTTGTGCAGGCCGCCTGCCATAAGGAGCGTCACGTGTCTCAGAAGGCCGTTTCCTTCATCCATGATATCCTGACCGAGGTTCTCACGGACTGGAGTGAGCCACCTCACTTTCACTTTAACGAAGCGCTCTTCCGGCCCTTTGAGCGGATCATGCAGTTGGAGCTGTGTGATGAAGATGTTCAAGACCAGGTGAGTGTGACGAGGGCTGCGGCATCTTCCTCCTCTCCAGTGCTGGTGTTTGGGGAGGGGGAAGCAGGCACTGTCCTCTGGTTTGCATGCTGTCTTCCCAAGCAGGTGACAAAGAGAGATTCAACAATTTGGCCAGAATACCAGTGATTGGTAAAATTGAATCAAACCTAGAGAATCTGGCTGGATTGATCTATAGCCCATTTACACCACACTATTGATCACAGTCATCCTGTCTAATGGGAGACAAGTGGAAAGAAGTGAACCCGGTGACCTCACCTGTGACACAATGGTGGGCCCAGAACTCAGCAGGCTCTTTCCTGAAATCAACTCAGATGTTGAATAAAGCTTTTTCATTTCCTTGTAAATGCAATGACATATTGGCAAGAAAATGAAACCTACTAAAATGCCCCCACAGTGACAGCCAGAGAGGGGTGGACACACATAGCCCCCAGGGTGGTTCTGCTATAGTGGGTTGTACCATCAAGTGAAGCCACGGTTCGTCACATGACATTCTCAAGGTTGCAGGAGCCAATGACGTCGATATAGATCTTACATCAAGGAGCTTCACTTAGGCCAAGCTAAAAATAAGTAACATTAGAAAAAAAGAGAGGAAATGAGGTTACGGAGAAGCAAAATTCTGCTTCCCCCCCCCAGAAAAAATACAGTCAGTGTTAACTAGAAGTATAATGTAATAAATTGAAGGTATAAATTATAATCCCCTCATCAAAAGTGGAGAAAGTAACACATACGTGAAGAGAGGTTTTAGAAACTGAGATGTTAAATGACATGTGTCTAACATAAAAGAATGTGGTAAAAGAAGAATGGATGAACAAAGGGCCCAGTGAGTATGGGAAACAGAGCAAAATGCTGATGTAAGTAGATCCACACGCATGGTCGCATCGAGTGGGACACTCAGTATCATTAGGAAATGCAAATTGAATCCATGATGGGTACCGCTTCACTTGCTGGGGCAGCTAAAAGCACAGAGGAGATAATAACCACAGGTGAGATGCAGAGGAAATGAACATCAGACGCTGGATTAAGAAAGAAAATACTTTACTTGGTTCAGAACACAGCCTGGCAGTCCCTCAAGAGAAATGAAGAAGCATCCATGGGAGTCTTCACAGATATTTGTAGCAACAGCCACATCGTCGGATAGAGTGAAAAGCCAGCTGTGGTGGTCTGTGCCTACAACTCCAGGAGACAGGAGGATTGCAAGAGTAAAGCCAGCATGGGCTTCATAGACAGTGCTTAGCCAGTCTGGGCTGCTCTCTTGGAGTGGGAGGAAGAGGAAGGACTGAGATAAGAAGGCAGTGAAGAGCTAGAGCTATGCAGATTCTAACTCTGACAGAGTTTGTGAAATTGTATTCGTGTCAGGTCAAAACCAAAAGACAAGCAGAGAGTATTCCTGTTACTAGAAAGTGGTATTTTATAATGAAAACTAAGTCAGTGTATTAGGAAGACAAAAATGGGGAGGGGCACTGTGGAGACAATGCAGTCAGTCCTGTACTGGCTGTCTAAGCCTGGGGACCTGACTTAGAGTCCAGCGCCTGTGCAGAAAGCAGGCCTGTGATGCACACTGTAATCCCAGCACTGGTGAGGTGGAGAACCCCCAGGGCTCGATGGCCAACTAGCCTGGTCACACCAGCAAGTTCCAGATTCACTGAGAGACTCTGTCTCAAAACACTAGGTGGAGAGCAACTTCTGGCCCTCACACAGGGGCACTTACAAATACACAAACCCCTACCCAGGAGACCTTAGAAATGCACGAAGACACAAACGGTGAAGTGGAAATACAATCTAAGGCTCCCAGCGGAGCAGAGGGGAAAGTTATTGTTTCATGGGCACAGAATTTCATTTTCAAAAGAGGAAAATTTTGTGGGGATAGACAAGAGTGGACCCTGCATTAAACTGTATGAGCTATATGCAATTGGAAATGTGGTAAATCTACACTGTCTACATTTTCCTGTGGTTTAAAATGAATTATAATGAGATATCGCAATCCTTCCCTTGAAACAATTGATAGAACAAGCAGACAGCCACTCAGGTAGAGACAATGAGCACCACTGTGGACCAGTCTGAGTGACGGATGTACATTCTCTTCAAGTGTGTGTGGAGCTCTCTTCCGAATAGTTGATATGCAAACCTATAAAACAAGTCCCAGTAAGTTTAGCCTAAACACAAAGTTATTTTCTGGCCATAATGAAATTGGGTTCATAATAAATGATTAACTTGGGAAACGTTCAGATATTTATAAATCCAACATCAAAATTCTAAGTGATCCTTAAGTCAGTGAAGAAATGACAGGAATGTTTAAAAAGATTGTCTTGAGTGACAACATGATGTACTGAATTTGTGGGATGTAGCTAAGTCAGTATTTATAGGGAACTTGCAGTTGCAAATGTTCATATTAGAAGAGAAAAACTCGAAAGAAAGAAGTGCATATGTGTTTGGCCAATTGACTGTGACGAAGATGCCATTTTGTAATTCATCAGAGGAAGAAGACAGTGTTTTCAGCCGGTTTTACTTGAACATTTGTTAGAAAGATGAGCTTCAACCCTCACCTCTCACTACACACACACACACACACACACACACACACACACACACACACACACACACACACACAAACACACTACCCTGAAAATTGGTCATGACTTAACATGATAACTATAAACTTGAGTAAGACTAACGTTTCTTGGAACATGAAACAAGGGTCAGCAACGTGACCCTTAAAAAGAAAAATTGATGACTCAGACCTTATCAAAATCAAACACTTGTATCCCCTGAAAGATAAAATTAAGATATAATAATAAAAAGACAAACTCAGGGCTGGAGAATTGGCTCAGTGGTTAAAAGCACTGGCTGCTCTTCCAGAGGACCCAGGTTCAATTCCCAGCACCCACATGATGTCTCGCAACTGTCCATAACTCCAGTTCCATGGGATACAAAATCACTGCTGACTCCTCTATAGACACCAGTCATGCATATGGTGTACATACATACATACATATATACATACATACAGGCAAAACACTCACACACATTAAATCTTTATAAAGGAAAAAAAAAAGGTAAGCTCAAAGTTTGTAAGACTTATTTGAAAAGCGTGAACTGGGAAGGACCTGAATCTACAGAGCATGGAAATAAGGAGGCAGACACCCAATACAAGAAACAGCACACTAACAGAAGGCTAATCTTGTGGAAATTTACTCAGCAACGTTAGTTACTAGGGAAACAAGTGAGTCCTGGCTCAGTTGTGTTTCCCTCTTTCACTAAAATTAACTCAGAAATGGGGGGGGGGGGCAGAGAAATACACCACCTTCCCTACAAGTTCTACTTGTGTTAATTAATCACCTCCCCATTCACCTGTGCAGGTGGTCACCTCCATCGGGGAGCTGGTTGAGGTGTGCTCCACGCAGATCCAGTCGGGCTGGAGACCCCTGTTCAGTGCTCTGGAGACAGTGCACAGTGGGAACAAGTCGGAGGTGAAGGAGTACCTGGTTGGGGACTACTCCATGGGTAAGAACAGTTGGGTGATTCTTGCTCTGGCACCTCTATTCCTTATGCCGAGTCTCAGGTTATCAAAAGAAGAGGAGGAAAGCCGTTCTGCCAGCCATGTTTTGTTGGCAGGAAGTAGCATGCCGCTCGGACTTAGGGTTGGATGGGCGCCAGCTGGCCCAGAGCTCTGAGCTCATCAGGTCCTGCTGTTCAAGCCGAGGGGTCTGTTGGTCCACTCTGAATTGCTATGTCGAGTTACTTCCTGAGACCACAGGGGGAAGTGTCACAACTTGAACATCTGAAAATCTGAAATGCCCCCCAAATTCAAAATAAATTGGATTTCAGAGTCTCAGTAAATTCTAGCAAGTATTTTAAACTCTGAAAAACTCCAAATTCTTAAACACATCTGGTCCCCAGCATTTAGGAGAAGGTATTCTAAGCCTGTATCTGTTTTCAAGTAAGAAAACAGAAAAGTATAATCCGGGAGAATCATAATTAGGCAGTTTGGATCTAGCTAGAAATAGATTGGCATGCCCAGAGTCCAGGGGTGTCAGTGATCCCCAAGGCCACCCTGACATTCAGAAACACGGCAGAAGGACTCATGGGACAGAGCATACAGCTGTGATAAGATTTATTGCATGGCTTGGTTTATTCCATGGCTCGTGACTAAGTTTCACTGTGTTAGTATAATAAGTACACAGCCAGTTTGTAAGGTAAGAAGACAGAGAATCTGGAAGGATCCTATAGGTTCCTTTACATTCTGGCCTTTCCATGAAACGTCACACAGAGAACTCTTCCCTTAGCAGTGGAAGTATCAACAACATAAAGCCAGTCAAAGACCAAGCTGGAAACTGTTCTCATAGACACATTGTGTCTGGCGTATACCAAATCCCACATGTTCAGTATAAACCAAACTTTTTGCACAGTCTAGGATAGCAAACCATCTTATGAGATAACTTGCCCAGGAATAGTCTGAGAATCAAATTCCTGGATGTCAGTCAGGAGCTACCTGATTGACAACCTTGCAAGCATGATTTTCCAAGGCAAGCAGGCTCGGGCCTCTGTGACTCCTGCACAGGAATGGATGAATAAATGTATTTTACCAGAAGCTTGTCTAAATAGTCCCTGTCTGTAGGTATTCTACCGTTTTCTGTGATGCAACATTCCAGACGCCTCGTGTTTACTATTTAGACCCACACATTGCTCCAGGCCTATGTTCCTCCAGCCCTACCCTCTATTATCCATCCATCCAGCCTTCTTCCCAGCATTCCTGTAGCTCCCATTTAGGTGAAGCAGCAAGACGTGCTTGCTATTCAGTCAAAAGGTCCAGACATTTCTCCAGTGGATCTTTTCTAAGACTACCTACGAGGTGCTGGAAGTGTAAGCACCATGAAGGGTTAAAACCTCGCTTTGTTACAATTCTATCCCCTTCCTCCTCCCTCAGGAAAAGGCCAGGCGCCAGTGTTTGATGTGTTCGAAGCCTTCCTCAACACCGACAACATCCAGGTCTTCGCGAACGCAGCCACTAGTTACATCATGTGCCTTATGAAGTTTGTCAAAGGGCTGGGTAAGTGGAACGCACTTTTAATGACGCTCGCTGTCACTGTAGACCCTTTCAACGTGGCTTTCTGGGGACATCCCTGGAGGCAGGGTGCTGGAACAAGCATGCATCCTGGGATGTGAGCACATGAGTTCAGAGGCTTACTCAACTCGGGTTTGTCTGAAGTTGATTTTTTTCACTGTAAAATATCTTGTGATACGATCCATTCTCAAACTATACATCTATTAGGATATTCCATATAGTCTTCAGTAATTGACCTTGCGAAGGAAACCTTTCCCTTCGATGTCACAGTTAGCAGTCGGAAAGTAAGCTTAAAAATGCCTCCTCTAGTCTTCGTAACTGTAATGTGTGCTTTGGGTGAGTCAACACCCCCCTTCTTGAAGTCCTGGTGTATTTTAGGGACCATCTAAGTGGTTATATGCCTAAGTTAGTAACATTTAATAGTGTGAAGTCTTGTATACAGCATGACCTGCTGGAGCTGGGTTTTAGAGAGCACAGATTCATGAGGGTGAGATGGAGAGAACGGGTCGGGGGTTAAACCACAAGTTCAGGAGACATTTATACTCCTGAGAGGTTTGCACAGACAGCTCCTGGACATGGAGTTTGAGAAGCTTGGAAATAAGGAAAATAGAAAGTTGATGTTTTATATCTTCTCAATAGACAATTGATACCTTGATCATTCCTTTATGAAAAAAACTGGACACAAAGAAGGTGTTACATTGTGTCACCCTTATTCTTGGAGTAAGAACAAAATGAAAGTGCAGGATTTACCTGCAATTAGTCTGAACTGTAGGCAAGCCTTACCCTGTTCTGTTACATACAGTGCCCTCTACAGGGATACATTCTAAGACCACCAGTACCACTCATAGTACCAAGGCTGTGAATTCTCTATTTTTCCTATACATAAATACCAACAACTAATTTATGAAGTAGATATTATATTAGACTAACAAAAACTAATGATAAAGGCTGGAGAGATGGCTCAGCAGTTAAAGAGTACTCGTTGCTCTTCCCGAGGACCTGGGTTTAAATCCCAGCATCCACGTGGCAGCTCATAGGCATCTGTAACTCCAGTTCAGGGGCTATAATGCCCTCTTCTGGCTTCCTTGAGCACCAGGCATGCAAGAGGTGTGCAGGCATGCATTACAGGCAGAACACTCACACACATAAAAATAAATAGTAAAAAGTTTTTTAAATGATTATATTACATGGATATCATATCTGGCAGTCTGAGAACCCAAGTGGCTACAAAGTAACAATAGGGAGGTGCCATATCCAGCCTGGACGCAAAACACATTCCAGGTAGAATGGGGCAGGAGTGACATTCCATCTTGTTGCTGACAAAAACATGTCCTTTAAAACTTAAGAATTTATTATCTCTGCAATTTTCCACTCGTGTTTTTATGTCATGTGGGCACACATGCTTAGACCACAGCAAAGAAGAAAAGGTAAAGAATTTTCCTTGGAAATTAGGCACATCAAGTGTCTGTGAAATACTCAGGTAAAGGTGCCTAACAGCATGCTAGAAATTTGAGACTTTATCTTAGAGAAAAAAGTTAGGGACTGAATGTAGAGATGCCAGATTATTAATATGTACATGAAGATATTTTGAAAAGAGGGGTTCTCTTTTTTGTGTGATCTGTGAAGTAGAGGGTCAAGGTGTAAGGCGGGGTTCCATAGGAAAGACAGGGCACCCCATACAACTATGCTTCCTGTGTACCACTGGGTTCCAGAAGGCCAATATATACTTAGGTATACAACATAAAAAAGGTAACACCTGCTATAATCTAGAGAATAGGAAATGATGCTGTTGTTCGTTTCCAGCTGCTTTATACAACATAAATTCACCCAGGCCTCTGTTCTCAGTTGTAAGGTGTATGAATGTAAACCAGGAGCTGGCAAACTTACAATACAAATCTCACTCACTAACGGATTTTTTTAAAAACAATTTCATTCGACCTTTGTGCTACAGCAACAGAAATGAAGTTTCAGATGACCTACAGAGCCTTAAGTACTTGCTCTCTGGCCCCTTACAAAAAGTTTGCCAACTCTAATCCAGAATGTGACTTCCTTTATTTCTTTTATGTAGAAGCATGCCTCATTGCTTCTGAATTTTAACTAATGCCTAGTAATTATGTCTGTTTACCCATAGGAAGGATGCTTGCTGTTACAATTGCAGACAATTAGCTATAATTACAGAGCTGTGGAATAATTTTATTAGAAGTATAGAAATAGATTCATGGCACTGAGAATAAAAATTATCATTCTCACTTACTTACCTATAGAAAATCGTTTCCAGAGATGGGCTAAATCTCTGCAACTATATGAAAAGAAACTAATTTAATTCCAATTAAGTTGCCGATGTCTGCAAACCCCATATGTTTACTCTTTCTGGGCTCTTCATCTACTATCATCCTTTAGTACCTCATGCTGGCAGCAGATAAAATCCAAAGAGGGAGGCTAAGAGCCTCATTTCAGCCTTGCAAGGCCTGCCTCTGGGACTGCTCTCTGTCACCAGAGCCTCAGAAGTCACATCATCCAGCAGAGAAGTGAATTAATGTGCTAGTGCTCAGAAATATTCTCTCAGCCACCACAAGTACTGGACCAGAACGGACGAAATGTTCCTCATAGGGAGAAAATTCATAGAGAGGAATCTTGTCAGGGTTATATGAGTTGCTGTAATTGTTCCCTTGTTTTCCTTCTATGTATGTTTACTTGGGTAAGATGTGAGTGAGCAGGTGTTCTGTTATGATTGGAGAACATGGGTAACTTTGTCTCTGTCCCCATACTGCCCTAGGGGAGGTAGACTGTAAAGAGATTGGAGACTGTGTCCCTGGAGTAGGAGCTACATCCACAGACCTGTGCCTGCCTGCTTTGGATTACCTCAGACGTTGTTCTCAGGTACTGGGGAGGCCCAAACACAGCTCCAAGTCCCACGTCTGCCTCAGAGCGTATTCATGAAACATCAGCAAATGTCTTTAACTGAGGCCTACGAGAGACACTTTTGTCTCCTCCACCTTGACCTCAGACCTCTCCATCTGCCAGCTTTCTCATGCTTTTCTGCTTCCTGGGAGGTTGGGTCATGGGAAGGGGAAGCCAGAATGTGGTGCCCACTTTCCTATGGACTCTTCTCTGGGGTCCCCCACAGACAAAAATACTTGACATGTTCACAGTGATCTTAGTGAGTTTATAAAATTCAGATGTTGAAAAATCAGCCACTGTTTTGTTGCCAATGAGTGTTATTGCATCTGCCTCTTGATAGAACTGCCCATGTCAACTTTGGAATGCAAGTCACACAAACTTTCATTCTTTTGGAATCCTTCTAGTTGAGTCCCCTTTACTAGTGATTCATAATCTTGCTGTTCTCTAACCCTGAGAATTTCACAATATATAAGTGCACTGTCTGGTGTGGTCTTCTTATTTAGTTATTGGCCAAGATCTACAAGATGCCCTTAAAGCCAATATTCCTAAGCGGGCGACTTGCCAGCTTGCCACGAAGGCTTCAGGAGCAGTCGGCGAGCAGTGAGGATGGAATTGAATCAGTCCTGTCGGATTTTGATGACGACACCGGTAAGTTCATTGATTTGACTAGGATGATCTGTTGTGTTCTTAACCCCAGAATCTTAGGCAATAAATGAAGTTAGTTCACAGATCATGAGTGGTCATCCATGTTTATGGGTTGTTTTTTTTTTTTTTTTTTTTTTTTATAATTTTTATCAGGATAAGTTTAGCCAGAGTTTCCAAGGACTCCCTAAAGTCAGCACTAACCCATTCTTCTCACATGGCTGCCTCTGTGCAAAACCATCACAGCTATGCAGATCCCACCAAATAAGTTTCAAACTCGGAGTTCTCTTGAATTCAGCAAATTAGGACAAAACCACACTGGTGCTTAACTAGGCGAGCAATTGCCTTCACTAGCTTCAAGGAAATACAATTACTTCCCCTAAGACTTTTTTGGTTAGAGACCAGGGAAATGAAGCCATTACTGAAGAGAGACTCTATCTGTGACCGGTGAAGCTGATAGGCTGCGGAAAAGAATACTTTTAAAGAATTTGTTTCAAATTAGGTCCCACGCAATCTCCTGCAAGCCAGCCTCCTATCTAGTAACTCTAAGTGATTTTCCAGTGTGTGGACTCCTGTGTGCACCTGCTGCCTATGGTCTCAGAAGACCTCATCTGGCCCACATCTGGAAATGCAGATGACACTCTTAAACAGGCCTACTTTCCAAGACCAGGTCGTTTCAAACACTCTCGGAGGATGTTTTTATTTTTGTCCTTCAATTACAGGAGTGGTTAGAAGTTTACAGTGTTCGATAGATATCTTAAATGGTAAAACCTCATAAAATCAGATAGAGAAAGCATTATAGGGAGGAATAGATAGCTAATGTAATAAATAATTCAAACTATGAGAAAGAATCATTTTGACTGAATATTTGAAACCTTCAGCCAATGTAGTTATGAGCAGAAGCTAATGTTATCGTCCATAATAAAGTCTTGGGATTTGCCTCGAACTGAAGGGAGAGAGAAAAGAAAATATTCATGACCCGTTGGCTACAAATTGATAATAGTCAAGACTGGGAGAGATTACAGCAAGCATCTCCGAACTTATTTGTGCAAATCAGAAATCAATTTTATTTCAAAGGCCCATCTTCTTACAGATTAAAGTCAGCCAAGTATCTATCTAAAGTTCCCCACATCAGTTATTAGTGATCAATCATCAATTTACTAAGGATTTAAAAATTATAATTATGAGCCAAGTGGCGGTGGCACACGCCTTTAATCCCAGTACTCGGGAGACAGAGCCAAGTGGATCTGTGCAAGTTCAAGGCTAGCCTGGTCTACAGAGCAAGATCCAGGACAGGCACCAAAACTACACAGAGAAACCCTGTCTCGAAAAACCAGAAAAAAAATTATAATTATTTGTGAAACTTAGTGAAAATTGAAAAAACGTAAGAGTAAAAGCTTTGAGTTAGTATTTAAAATTTAACAGGGTTGGGGAAATGGCTCCATTGGTAAAATGCTTGCTGTATACCTATCAGGACCTGAGTTCAGATTCCGAGCAACCAAGTAAAAGGCAGGCATAAAAGCATGCATCTGCAACCACAGCACAGAGGGCAGGGATGTGGAGACAGGGAAGTCCTCGTTGCTCGCTGGCCAGTCTAGCCCAAATGGCGAGCTGCAGGTTCACTGAAAGACCTTGTCTCATAAGATGGAGATTGATACGGCAAGACAGGTAACCTGTGGCCTCCATATGTGCATGCATCTGTACACTCATGTGCATGCAACACACATGAACTCCTATCACTTCTCAGAATGATGTATTCTCAGATATCATCATGGATTTCCAAGGCACATAATTACTTCCCCCCCCCCAATTAAAAATGCCAACATTTACAACCATAGATAAAATATATAAAAACATAAGCATGTATAGAATATGCAGATCTGGACACAATGGTATCTCCTGTCAACCATTGCCAATTTATAGCCTAAACTTCTTGAAAATAGGTATATGTCTAACAACCCCTCCTCCAACATAAACAGAGACATTTACCGGGTGTCTTGGTAACATCTCTCAAGAAGGTCATGTATATTTTTCTTTCTTTCTCCATATTAGTCCAAGTCAAAACCCAAAACATCGTGGCATCTGTTTCAGTAAGTGTGTTCTAAAGTGAAGGTGTAGAGAGACTCCACCTACTTCCCCCTGTCCTCAATGGGCTCTTTGACTAGATCCAGAAACCCTGTTGATACAAAGGCTAATGAATCAGAGGAATTAATAAAAGTCTTAGGAACTTTACACAGGGAGGCAAGAGAGTGAAGGGCAAAGCAGTCTCATAGCACACCACACTCCCATACTCTTAGACAGTGCTCAATAAACTTGTGAAGAGACTGGCAAGGAGATGGAGATATGGGCCAAGCTCATAAATTCTAGGGTCATTTCAAAGAGTTATAATGGTAGAACACAGAAGCTAACGGAGCTGAGGATCACTTGACATGTGGATTTTTCATGCTCATTACAGCCCTAATGACCCACACTCTGGAGAACAAGGCTGTTTTCTAGCCTTGGACATAACAGTATCCCTCATCAAATAACCTGTATGGCTTGTTGAACATAGGAAGATAGGCCACATGGCCCTTTCTGAGGTTACACTTCCTCCAGTGATTTGAGTGGAAATGGACCAACTCCGCACATATAAAGATAGATCACCTTAATCCTACCAGAGCAAACAGAGCAGAGGTTAGGGGATAATCAGAGCTGGAGTTAGGGGGCAATGCAGAGCTAGTGGTTAATAGTCACAGAATGTGTGAGACGACAAAAATTTTGGACACAGTATTAATGGTTACACAACACGTAATTGGTGCCACTAAAGTTACAAAGAAAATAATGGAAATGGCTAGTTTTGTTCTTTTTAAAGAATTGACAGGAAATCTAGGGGGTATGTAGCTTATTCCGTAGTGGTTATCTCACATGCATGATGCCCTGAGTTTGATCGCCAGCACTGCATAAATAGGGTATATAAAAGTGCCTGAAATCCCAGCACTTGGAATTTCTATTCCCATATACTATTATGCCTAGCTTTGTATATTCTATGTATGCTTATGATTTTTTTTGTAAATGTTTGCATTTTGCACTGGGCAGAATAATTATGTATATTGAAAATCCATGATAATAGCTGAGAATATATCAGTTCTAAGAACTGTTTCAGTGTTTGTGTGTTGCATATGTATGAGGTGGGAAATGTCAATCAGAAGTTCAAGGTCATCCTTGGCTAAATATCAAGTTTGAGGTTAGCATGGGCTACAAGAGACCCTGTCTCATGAGGAAAAACAAACAATTGGGCAGACAGGAAATAAAACTAAACGAATAACTTTATATTTTTACTATCACTTGATTAGCTCTCAAGAAGTCTGACAGTCATTTCAGTACAGAATTTACATATAATATTGTCATTTTTAAAATGGGGAGTTAGGGGAGAATTTGAGTCTTGTATCTTCTTTTGACTTTGTTGGACCATATTAACCAATCTTGGCCTGCTCGTCAGCACTGTGGGCTAACATAACACTCTAAGTGATGACTATCCATCCCAGTGTCCTTTGCCATTCATACGTGGTGTTCACTTGGATCTTGTGAAGATTCTTCGTGATGGGTGTCTGGGTTTCAGAGAGACCTGCTCTTTGTTTTCCAGGTCTGATAGAAGTTTGGATCATCCTGTTGGAGCAGCTAACTGCAGCTGTGTCCAACTGCCCACGGCAACACCAACCACCAACCTTAGATTTACTCTTTGAGCTGTTGAGAGATGTCACCAAAACCCCCGGTAAATGTCCACATCTGTTTCTACTGGGGGGGGGGGGGCGGGTTGGACATGTAGCTATTTTTAAGAAGGTATCTCTTGGGATGCTTACCTGTTATCACTGTTTCTTACACTTAATGCAAAGTAGATACTCAATGAATATGTATTGCATGGCTACAATGAAGTGATAGGTCTGTACGTCCCTGAAATTTTCACAAAAGATGTGTGGTTTGGTGCTGTTGGACTCCCACATCGATCCATCTGTGCCCTCGGTATCTCCATAAGCTAGCTGGCTTTGCCATTTGCCATGATTGAAGCCATCTTCCTTGGCCAGATCTTAGAGCCTGGCTGTCAGGAGAGCTCAATCCATCACTCATGAGCACATGCCGTACCGAGCAGCCTCTGGTCTTGGTGATTAGAGCTGGAGAGGACACATAATGCCTCAGACAGTCCCCTGTGTTGGAAAGAAGATGCCTTAGAAATGCATCTCTAGATATGAGTTTTAAAAGCTTAGCATACATATTCTTCCTTCCAAAGTTTCCTCAAAGAAATTTTTATAGAAATGTAAGGTGTTTTTATTATCTTATGGGTGCTTTGCCTGCATAAATGTCTGTGTACCATGTGCATGCAGTGCCTGGAGTGGCCAGAGAGGACATCGGATCTCCTGGAACTGGAATTACAGACACTTGTGAGCTGCCATGTGGGTGCTGGGAATTGAACTCTGGTCCTCTGGGTTCAATTAAGAGCATCCAGTGCTCTTAATAGCTGAGCCATCTCTCCAACCATGAAATTTTAATTTTTACTAATAGAATTAGAACCTTAGTGAAACTACTGGTTAATTCCACAGTGAGATATCCCTTCATTGTTATGAAGATTTGATATTAATACCATCTAAAACCCGTTGCAAAGTTTGTAGCTAGTCTCATAGTTAAAATAGTTAAAAACATTCCATTGAAAAGTTACGCACTACCACTTCCAAATACATCTCATTAGTAAGTGCCATTTTCAATTTTCATATTAATTACCACATGATACATATGATGTTTAGTGCTAAAAATATCTATTTGCTGAAGTCTCTTAAATGCTAAAATAAAAATTATGAACACTAAGAAGCAGTTAATAAGTGTGAGTGACATTTATAAGACATTATTTTAAATGTAGAATCAACTATATGAAATTTTATATATTTATAAATACACATGCATACATATATATTCAAAAAGTACTTTAAGGAAATATGTTAAAATGGAATTATATCTGCAGGTAAGTTTTGTCTCTCTTTATACTATGTAATTTTCATGTTTGTTATCTTTTGTGTCTTTCATTTATTTGGGTTATTATTATTTTTATTTATTTATTTATTTATTTTTGCTTATTGGGGCTTACGTTTAGCCCACATTGGCCTGAAACTGGTAATCTAGCTGTTGTGACCACCAATATAGAGGCATGTGCCAGCCCACCCTATTTGTACCTTGATTTTAAAATCAAAATTTTTTAAATCCACTAATGTTTTTTAAGGAAGCACAAAAATTTTAATTGTCTACAGAATTAAAAAAACACATCTTAAATGCCCATCAATACTGAAATACATAAATTATATCTATATGTAATGGAAATAGTATATATCAGTAAAAATAAGGATTGTTTATAATATAAACTTTGTTCTTCATATTTATCAAAAAGTAATCTTTAAGGCTCTCAGCCGGTGTGGTGAGAAATGCTCGCACAAGAAAACACTTCAGTCCTGGAGTTCAAGGACTGTCTGGGCAACACAATTTGACCCAGACTGTTAATAAACAAAACTGTGTTCCATATAAATACATATGTAATATATTCTGACATTCTTTCCTCTGTGCATATATGTATTTATGTGTTTGAATCTGGAGACTAAGAGATCAAGTGACATTTTAGCTTTGTGATATTTGAATTTTTATATGTATTCATATACCTACAGAGCTAAAATTATAAAAAGAAAAATTGCCCCTGTTAGTACCCCCAGTGAGTTGTCAATTCTTCTCACACTTTCTCAGAGACTGGAGAGATCTTTTGGAAGAGGACTTTGATACCAGCCATGGCAAGAACCCCCTCCTCCCCATGAAATCACAATGCTGCCCCTTTCCTCTCTTTATCAGGCCCGGGGTTTGGAATCTATGCGGTCGTTCACCTTCTTCTTCCTGTGATGTCCCTGTGGCTCCGTCGTAGCCACAAGGATCACTCCTACTGGGATGTGGCATCTGCTAACTTCAAGCACGCCATCGGTCTGTCCTGCGAGCTGGTGGTGGAGCACATTCAAAGCTTCCTACACTCAGGTAGCTACAACACCAGAGCCAGCCCTTGGGGGCTTTGCTTCTGCATGCAGCAGCATTGCCTCCAAGTGCTTAGTGAATGACTGATGCAAAGGCCTTTGTCCAGGGAATAAATGAAGTAGAAACAGGTGGTTAGCGCCAGGAATCTAATAGCACATTATCATTGGATATGTTGATACCCATAAATTCTATAAAATTATCAAACAGAATGCACTATTGTTGTTGAAGATACAATACCTAGTAGCAGGTCTAGCACAGCAATGTACAAAGAGAGGGAAAGCATATTCAAATACATAACTTTGTAAAATGTCCATAGTCAAGGTATGCAGAAGTGGGATGTCTTGTGTTCTTCTTTATCTAGAGAGGGCGAGTAAAAGAAATAGAATTTAGGAAGGTTCCAGTTACCAGCAAGGAGTTACTTATCAGGAAATCAAGACAGGGATTATGAGAAGTTTCTTAATGCCTGTGGCACTTTGAAAAAAAATGCTAGGGGAGAGTTATATTGAAAGTAGCAGATAGAAAGGGACAGATAGGCAGGGCAGCGGGACAGGCACCTGAGCGGGGACCTCTGTGAAAGTGGGATTCTTGCTCATGCGCTGCTTTGGAGGGTTTGGGCGGAAGAAAAAGCAGCGCTTCTAAACAAAGTGTCAAGAGGCCACGTTGCTAGAAAAGACAAAAGAAACGAAGCAGAGTGTTGGCCCCAAGGAGTCTAGAGCAAGAATAAGAAGTGGGGACAAATTGTCCTCAAAATAAGAATGCTGGTGGGGGAGGGAGGGGTTTCCCACAGCTGATGGAGGAGGGAGGGATTTGAACATGTAGGTTGGGAGTGTGTCTCAAGAGATTGATGTTCTTGAGCAGGCTGTTGCTTTGCACAGGGAGGGACCTGGATAATACTACTGAAAACCGCTTCCGTGGCATCACAAGGACTCCAGGAAGAACATGTAGATGCTTTCCTTGGGGTGGCAAATAGACTGGTTTGGGGTTATCTTTTTCCTTCAGTCTGCAAATGATGTGTAGATGGAAGCCAGACTGACAAGGTTCAGAAGTCATCAAACTGAGAAGAGATTGTTTTGTTTTCCAAGAGCACTTACATGTAATTCAGTTTTCAGCACCAAGGAAAGCATATTAAAATTTTCCTTTTTAGATGTATTTTTTTTTTCAGCAACTCATTTTCAGGCCATATGTTATATCCTGTCTTGTTTGAGTAGATTAATTATATGCTGAACTTTGATCAATACACACCAAAAAAAAAAGCGAACCATATATTTCATCTTGCTGTATCTATAAAGGGAATAAAATATGCCAAAATTGGGTAAAAGGACTCCACAAAAAGCATTGCTTTGAGGGGGTATAAGGGAAGGTATACCATTTTTATTTTCTTTTTCCCAAATATATATCTTTTTAATGTCTTAGACATTCTTCTTTTGCTAGAGATGGCCATTTCATTCTCCCTCTCTACACCAGTCCTAACTTTACTTCTTCCTGTAGACATCAGGTATGAGAGCATGATCAACACCATGCTGAAGGATCTCTTTGAGCTACTGGTGGCATGTGTCGCCAAGCCCACAGAAACCATCTCCAGAGTTGGCTGTTCCTGCATTAGGTGAGAAAAAAGGTCCCTTGGCTCTCCACAGGGACAGAATTTTATTATGGAACCCAAAGTCATTGTCTTTAATGGTAGTAACTCACTTTCTTATTGCTTTTTATAAACCATTTATAATTAATGGTCCTTTTTTGGTGTTCAGTCTGCAAGTACTTAGTGTAGATGGTGGGTAGAGAAAGTGGAGGTAGAGAAAATGACAGATGGTTTCCTTGGAGGCAAAGGACAGAAGTGATGGTAGAGCATGCTGGGTGGAACCTGAGACTTGGTGCCCACTGCCAGCCCCCAGGTAGTTTGCCTCCATCTGTCCCTGGGTCCTATGGACCCTTTTAGGGGGTTTTCTCAGGTCTTAGGATCTTGTTCTCGTGCCCTACTTCTAACAAGCCCCAAATGGGGTGCAAAGTACTGACCCTATATACGATGAGGACATAAATCCTTCTCATGAGAATGTTATTAGATACCTAGGCCTTCCCATTCCATTAGTGTGGGATACTGAGAGTGATGATATAACCACCAGGTACACACTTGTAGTAGTGTGTACCCAGCACTCAGAAGGTAGAGCAAAGAAGAAAAACCACCTTAGGTTACACAGCAAGGCCATGTCTCCAAGAAAAATAACAACGGTAGAGAGAGGATCACTGAAAACTGATAACATTTACCCCCACAGAGGGGTGAGGAGAGATACCCAGAAAGGATGAGAGTGCGGGGTTCAGGATGGTAATAACGGTGACACCTGGTTCCTACTCCAAAGTGATTGTCTTCCTTACTTTTCTATTGTTACAATGAAAAGACCTGTGACAAAGGCAACTTATAAAAGAGCAATTAATTGGGCCTACAGTTCCAAAGGGTTGGTGTCCACGATGATGGAGCAGGGGCATGTCAGGAAAAGAGCCGAGAGCTCACATCTCAAACTGCAATCAGAAGGCAGAGTGTACACTACACTGAAGGGTGGTAAAAGGCTTTTGAAACCTGCAAGCCCACCTGCAGTGACACGCGTCCTCCAACAAGGCCACACCTCTTAATCCTTCCCAAACAGTCACTCACTGGAGACTCTGTATTCAAAGCTAGAGACTTTCTGGGAACATGCCATTTAAACCACAATGGTAAGTCTTCACTAAGTGATAATATTCCAGCTGGGAGAACAAGACAGGCACAAGGAGATGATAAGGGACAATAAGAGTTTGGGTCTTGTTTTTATGCAGTTAGGATTTATAGAGGAGTGGTAACAAATGGGTCCAGAATGGGGAAATGAATGAATGGTATATAGCCCTGCATACAAGCCTAGAGTTAAATGTTGGTCTGTTTGCAGTGGAAATCCATTGATGTTTCTAAATTAAAATAGTTTAGATATTAGTATCTTGGCAGTGGACTACCAGAGGGGTGGACGGCAGGAGTGGACATTCAGGGCAACCACAGGGTAAACCTGTGCTCCACTCAGCATTGAGGACAGCAGAATTTCTGGACTCAGGCATGCCTTTTGGCAGGTATGTCCTTGTGACCGCTGGTCCTGTGTTCACTGAGGAAATGTGGCGACTTGCGTGCTGTGCCCTGCAGGATGCGTTCTCTGCCACCCTCAAACCAGTCAAGGTAAGATGCCACCAGAAGGGATACAGAGTTGTTTCTTTCTTGGCCCCCCGATGCTTGGTCAGACTGGGCACCTGAGTTCTGCCTGCCTCCTCATATGAGGCAGCTGCACAGTAGCAGAACATGAGAAAAAAAAAGAATCTGGGTTGGTTCTTTTTTATCAGTATCAGATTCGAGACTGGGCCTGGCCCTGTGAACCCAGACAAGCCCTGTGAACGCCTGCTGTTCCTCCCTAGGACCTGCTGGGCTGCTTCCACAGTGGTACAGAGGGCTTCAGTGGGGAAGGCTGCCAGGTACGGGTAGCAGCCCCATCCTCCTCCCCAAGTGCTGAGGCAGAGTACTGGCGCATCCGGGCCATGGCCCAGCAGGTAAGAGTTGAACTGTGGGTCTTGGGACTTCAGAAGCTTGAGATGCATGCTCAGAGTCATCCTGAATGTCCTGCATCACCAGGCCACCTCTCACTTAAAGACATACATATTAAGGCCCTAAGCTCTTGCCAGTGCCGTTTTTCTGATAGATGTTTGGTATTTTTTTGGTCACCTCTGCCCAAGCCACGTCAGGAATCCCCATAGGAGAGTGGTCCGGAAAGGAACTGAGAATCTTAGCTTTATTTGTTTGAGACATTGCCCTGGCTGGCCTGGAACTCACTATGTAGGCCAGGCGAGCCTCAAACTCACAGAGATCTGCCCGTCTCTGTTTCTGGAGAGCTGGGATTAAAGGTGTACTTCACCATGGTTGGCTGAGTCTTCATTTCTTATTCCTGCCTTGGATATAAAAGTCAAAGATAAGGGGATGTAGCGACGTGGTAGAGTGCTTACCTAACATGTGTAAGTGCCTCCAGAACTGATAAATATATACATATATGTGTATGCATATACATACATATGCACATGTATATATCTCAGTTCTGTATAATATATACATACATATACACACACATATATATGAGCCTTTACAAACATAGCTTGTATCCTGGTTAGTTTTTTGACACAGCTAGGGTCATCTGGGAAGAGGAAACCTCAATTGAAATCATGTCTCCATCAGACTGGCATGTGACCAAATCTGTGGGTCATTTTCATCATTGATGATTGATGTGGAGCCACCCCTAGGCTGGCAGTCCAGAATGTATAAGAAAGCAGGCTGAGCCTGCAATGGGACAAAGTCAGTAAGCAGCAATCCTCCATGGCCTCTGCTTCGGTTCTGGCCCCCAGGTTCCTGCTTGAGTTCCAACCCTGACTTCCCTCCATGAGGGACTAGGATCTGAAAGTTGTAAGATGAAATTAACTCCTTCCTCCCCAAGTTGCTTTTGGTCATTGTGTGTATCACAGTAATCGAAAGCTAACTAATACCCACCCCCTCGTATTAGTGTCAGTATTTGAAGTGTAATGAATTGACACGTGGTAGAAGTAATAGTGCTATTAGTGTTGATAGCCAACATTTATTATTTGCTCTGTTATAATGCTCTGCCTATGTAATATACATGTATCAATTTATTTCATCAACTGTATCAGGTGGAAGCCATTGCCATCCCACTTTATAGGTAAAGACATGGGTAGAGAATAAACTACTTACCCGGAGCCACTAGCAAACTTTCTGTGGAGTTGGCAATGTGGGCTTCTGAGCTGACCCTCTGTATCCTCCTCCAGGTGTTTATGTTGGACACCCAGTGCTCACCAAAGACTCCAAACAACTTCGATCATGCTCAGTCCTGCCAGCTCATCATCGAACTGCCTCCTGATGAGAAGCCCAATGGGCACGCCAAGAAAAGGTATGCCGCTGTAAACACAGAGAAAGCTCACAAGCAAGAAAGCGCATCTAGCCCCACTTCTGACTCTTTCTAATCCAAGCTTTAGCTAGGGACACTAGCAGTACTGTGGACTTACCTAGCACAGGTTTTCATAAAAATGGTAAGCCTTTTAACCACATTTCATACATATAATGTATACTGTTTAATCTGCCATAAGGAACCACCACAGGCTAGGTGACTGGCAGCCCAGAAGTATGTTTTGAAGACTAAGAGTCAGAGTCAAGTTGTGGGTGGGGCTTGTTCTTTAGGCTTGTAGTTGGTGGTCTTCTCAGTCCACACATGGTGACTCCTCTATGTTTTCCTGTACAGATTTCCTCTAGCAAAGGATGTGTGTATATATTGCATTAAGATCCACCCAAATGACCTCATTTTTACTAATTACCTCCTTAAAGTCCCTTCCTGTAAATATGATCGGTTCTAACTAGAGATTAGGAGTTCAACATATGCATTAGGACAGGATACAACCCAGTTCATGAAACTGTATGTGTAACAAACTTTTATTTAAAGGGTTAATTAAAATTTTAAACAAAAGGTAGGACAATCAGTTGTGCCAAGGGGTCTGAGGCCAGCCAGGCATCATAACAAGACTTTTTAAAATACAGTAACTACCAAATTTCAGATTGGCACAGGTCAGATCGTTTCAATGAATAATAAATACAGCTATGCTGTCAAGGGGCAAAAAGATCCATGTCTTACCAGAAGAAGAAAAAAAAAGTTTCTCTTTTCAAATACTATCATTCTGCCTGAAAATCCTCGGTCTTGGAGTTGGATGCAAAGCTGCCTGGCTTTGCTTTGGCATATTAATAGTAACAGTTGCTTATTTAACATTGCGTAGAGGTATGGCAGATAACATCCCACTTGCATTTTAACCCATGAGGACAAGAAAAGCCAAGTTACATATCCAGCAATATACAACCACCAAGTGAGAAGGCCAGAAGCCAAACAAGGTCTGGTGGAGCACAGACCTCTGCCCTTCACCACTTTGGGGAGCAAATTGGTGCAATGGACTTTGGAGGAATGCCAGCCCAACTTGTGTTTTAATCCTAACTCCCCAGGTTACATGTAGAAGGTAAGGCCTTTGGTAAATCATGAGGTTTGAGCCCTTCATGAGTAGGATTAATTCCTTTGAGGGAAATGCCTTTGAGAGAAACCGGAGTGCCCCCTTGTCACCAAGCTATAGCTACCATACTGATACTCTATTCTCAGATTTCCAAACAATGTGAAATCAACCTCTTTGATTATAAGACAGCCCAATCTGTGGGATTTCACTATAGCAACCTGAACAAAGGCAGTTGTTATCTTTGCACAGGCTCTGGGTGAATTTGTGTCACAGCTTGTTAATATAGCCATTTGAATACTGTAACCATTCAGGCGACATTTCCATGGAATATTTTAGCTAGTATTTGGTGTACACAAAATAATACATGGAATATATATTCAACGTATGAAATGTGGAAAATAATGTATTCATGAGCCTGTTACACAAAAGAGAACTTTAACAGTACCCCATGTACTTTCCCCCCAGTTCTAGCTCCTGCTTCCCCTAACACCAGTTTTTAAGTATAGGTCATTACTGTCCACTTTATATGTTAAAGATAATGAAAATAGATACTGCCCTTCCTTTTGAGGACAGTACTGCAAAACACAGATAATAGAATCTAAGCCGATCTGTAAAGGATTTCCCTTCTTAGTTTGCGTCCTAAAGTTGTAGACTCGAAGCACTTAGACCAGACTGGTAATGTTCTAGTTTCCTTCCTGTTTCCTTGATAAAACACTCTAACCAAAAGTAACTAGAGGAAAAAAGGGTTCCTTCGGCTCATACTTCCAGATCATAGTCCATCACTGAAGGAAGTCAGAGCAGGAACTTGAATCACAGGCCATAAATTGTTGGCTCTCCCAGGCTCATGCTGAACTTTCTTTTACCCAAGACTACCTGCCTAGGAAATGGTGCTGCCCACAGTGAGCTGGAGTGTCCTATAACAGTGAAGACAGTCCATACAACCCCTCACAGACCAATCTGATAAGGACAGTTACTCAATGAAACTTTTTATCAGATAAGTCTAAACATTTGTCAAGGTGGCTGCTAATGCTAACAAGAACAGATAGAACCTTCTGCAGAGCTTCCCTAATACTTCGTAACTTATCAAAAAACTATCTAAATAGGAACCTGGAGGAGGGTGAGTTCTTTAACATACAGAGTGTCTGCCAGAGATGATGGCAGGGTTTTAGAGGAGAGTGATGTTTATACCAGCATAGTGACTACACTTAGCACCACTGAATTGTATCGTTAAAAGACAAATGTGGTGTCTGTGTATGCAATGTATGGATACATTGCAGAAGTCATTTCAGCTGTCTGACAGGGTTACTGTTACAGGGGTGACAGTCCCTTATTGTTCATTTCATCCTTAACGAGAGTCATGGTTTTACCAAATGAAGTGCAAAGTCAGTTTTTAGATTAATAGGCGATGTTTGTTCTGCTAGCTTAAATGATAGTTTTTGTTAAGGAGAGAAATAATTTTAAAACTCGAGTTCATAGTAGGGCAGACTAAAGCAAGAAAATACCAACAAGATGGTCCTGAGTCTGGCTCAGTGGTCCACGTCTATAGTACCAGCATTTAGGAAGCAGGAGATCAGGAGTTAAGGTCATCCATCCTCATCTGCATAGCAAGTTTGAGGCCAGCCCATCTTTAAAAAAAAAAGTCTGGACCTTGTATCATTTACAGGAATTAGTTGGCAGTATAATGATACAGGTGATATAATGGTATAAGCTATTTTCACAAAATTCTAGGAGCAGTAAAAGGAACATGAAACCACAAACCACAATGGTCCATTAAAGCGGTAAACGCAGTGCCTGAAATAGTGTTTTCTCAGTACCAAAAGCAGCCAAACCAAGCATTCGAGCACTTACATATAAACTACCATATCTGAACTGTTACTTGGTTAGAAAAGGGTTTGATGGTCGTTTGTTACCTGCCCACCCCTCAGCCGGGATGCCCTGGACTGATGTCTACGGAGGATGAGCCCTCTCTCATCTCTCAGTCCCACAGAGCTGACCTGAAATTTGGCTCAGGGAAATCAAATGACCACACAAGGTTTGTGCCGCAGTCCCAGTGGCCAGACTGGCAGAGAGTTTATGGGCGTGAATGCTGTTTTCCCAGGCTTGCTGTAGAAGGTTATGAGTTATGTTACCAATATTTTCCATCTTGTAATGTTAGCACCATAAGAGCAGTGGCATAAATTTTTCCAGCACCTAAAGCATTAACATTTGACCCTTGAAAACTGTCTGGGTAGCAAAACCAAACCAGTAAGATTTTATTATGTGTGTGTAAGAGAACAGAGTAAAAGGTTGGAAGGGTTAGGGATGTCCTGTCTTAAGAATCATGTATAATTTTTTAATGAAGGTGTTGCATTTATTTCCTATGGCTTGATAATTTAGTATCTTAACTTGCAGTCTACGGCTCCTGGATTTTAAGACGTGCCAGGAATTCTGTCAGCCATGATTAAAATGGAAGTTTACCCCTTTCAAAGATATTAATAGGCAGGCAAGAGGGCTTAGTGGGTAAAGGTGACTGCAGCCAGGCTCGATGACTTCAGTTAGTCCCCTGTACACACATGGTGGTAGAAGTAGAGAACGGAACCCCACAAGTTGTCCTCTGACCTCCACATACTCAGCATGTGTGGGAGCCCGTTCTCGGGTTCCTCGTGGCTTTACCCAGCAGGTCCGCATAGAGGATGATCAGGACCACGGGCCTGAGTGCAGGTGTCTGGGATGGTCTGCACTTGGCTGTGCTGGGGGAGGAGGTCTTTTGCTCCACCCCTTGGCGTCTCTATAAAAACCCTGGGGCAGAGACAGTCGGGGCCCGTTGGAATAGGTTCCAGGTTCTCTCGAGGCTGTCCTTTATTTTCTATCTGTTTATCTCTGCGATATTCTCCGCAATAAATCCTTCTATCTAATATTTCCTGCTGCTCGCACTCAAGAAAACTCTGGGGAACTGTGGGGGTGGTGGGTAAACGCCCCACAAGCATGGACACACACACATAATTAAAAATAATTTTGGAACACAGTGGATTTAGTTTGGAGTGTCACATGTTCTGAAATGGATCACGCCTACCTTGCTGTGAAGGAAGGGAGAAAGCAGAAAGCCGCTAACTACTCTGTCTTTGCCTTTGAAGCGTTTCTTTCAGGGAGATCGTGGTGAGCTTGCTCTCTCACCAAGTACTGCTCCAGAACCTGTACGATGTCCTGCTGGAAGAGTTTGTCAAAGGCCCCTCTCCAGGAGAGGAGAAGACCTCGGTCCAAGTGCCAGACACCAAGCTGGCCGGCTTCCTCAGATACATCTCCATGCAGAACCTGGCTGTGATATTTGACCTGCTGCTGGACTCCTACAGGACTGCCCGGGAATTCGACACGAGCCCAGGGCTGAAGTGCCTGCTGAAGAAAGTGTCCGGCATCGGAGGGGCCGCCAACCTGTACCGCCAGTCTGCCATGAGCTTTAACATTTACTTCCACGCCCTGGTGTGCGCGGTCCTCACCAACCAGGAAACCATCACTGCCGAGCAAGTGAAGAAGGTCCTCTTCGACGAGGAGGAGAGAAGCTCTGATTCCTCACAGCAGTGCTCTTCGGAGGATGAAGACATCTTTGAGGAGACCGCCCAGGTGAGCCCCCCGCGAGGCAAGGAGAAGAGGCAGTGGAGGGCACGGCTGCCTTCGCTCAGCGTGCAACCCGTGAGCAACGCGGACTGGGCGTGGCTGGTCAAGAGGCTGCACAAGCTGTGCATGGAGCTCTGCAACCACTACATCCAGATGCACCTGGACCTGGAGAGCAGCTTGGAGGAGCCACCCACCTTCAAGAGCGACCCCTTCTTCATCCTCCCCTCCTTCCAGTCTGAGTCGTCCACACCATCCACGGGTGGCTTCTCCGGGAAAAATACGCCCTCGGAAGACGACCGCAGGGAGCACCTAAGTGAGCCCCTGAGCCTGAGGGTGGGCAGCGGGGACACGCTGATGCTGCCTCCCAGCCCCAAGACCGAGAAGAAGGATCCTGGCCGCAAGAAAGAGTGGTGGGAAAGCGCCGGGAACAAGATTTGCACCATGGCTGCCGACAAGACCATCTCAAAGCTGATGACTGAGTACAAGAAAAGGAGGCAGCCGCACAACCTGCCTGTCTTCCCCAAGGACGTCAAGGTGGATAAGAAGGGGGAGCCCCTGGGGCCCCGCGGTCCCGATTCCCCACTGCTTCAGCGGCCACAGCATCTCATGGACCAAGGGCAGATGCGCCATTCCTTCAGCGCAGGCCCGGAGCTGCTGAGACAGGAAAAGAGGTCCCGCTCGGGCTCCACTGGGAGCTCCCTGAGTGTCTCTATTCGAGATGCAGAGGCACAGATCCAGGTGAGTTCCAGCTAGCAGTTTTCTGGGTTGCAGAAACCAGAGGTGTCCCCTTGCACAGCCTGCGCCTTCAAAGATGTGAAACCAGCAAGGGAAACAGGATGAAGTTTGAGTGCTTGCCTAGCATGCAGAGAGTCCTGGGTTATATCCCCAGCACCTCCCTAAACCAGGTATGGTCAGTCCTACAATCATAACCCAGAGGAAGTGGAGACAGAGATATCATAAGTTCAAGGCCCTCCTTGGCTATGTTTGAGCTACATGCTGTGGGCAGCTCAGGCAATATGAGAGAGAGGGAGGGAGAGATCTGGTGCACGGCAGGAGATGTAAATCATACCTCCAAGTCAGAATGACGGGACCTAGGTGTAGCATCTGCCTGAGAAACAAATTTTCTTCTCAGATCATTTCAGAAACCATTTTTCTATATGTGACACATAATTGAGAAGTAGAAAGTCATCTGTATAAATAAGATGCTAAAGCTGATAAAAATCAAGGGGCTTTAACTGGCCTTGCTTTTGTCATTTGAATCTGGCACTGAGGGTAATTCTGTACTTCTGAAGCAGTGTATAAAGGAAAAAGCCAGAGTGAATGCTGCTGGGTTAAAATGAATTATTTTAACCATCTTCAGCACGTATATAGCACGTCAAAATGAGTTTGAGGGGGAAACAGCATTGATAGTGTTTATTCGGTATAAGAAAAATATGGAAACAAAGAACTAGGGAGATTCTAGGTAAAAATCCTTTACTGTAGCATCTTGCTAGAGATCCAGTACATCAGAGGATGGGGGGACCCTAGGAACCTCTGCATGTACATACATTTGAAATGAGCATGACTCTTGCAGGAGTCATGCCTTTTCCTTGGAAACATATTCAACAGAGAAGTACACTTTATAAGACAGAATCCTCGTAAGTTTCCTAAACTAGTTTCTTCAGTACTAGGGATGAACCTAAGGCCCCATGCATGCAAGGCAGGCCCTCTATGCTGAGGAACATCCATGGTTTGGAGGTTGATCTTTTAAAGTATCTAGTAGTCATAAGACACTTGTTTATTCTTTAGCAGATAAGTGTCTTGATGAATCCTATATCTTAATTACTTTTAAATGTGTTGGGGTTTTAATCTTCTCCTAAATTAAGGTAGAATTATCCCAAGTGATCCAGGTGTTAGCAGATAGCTAACTGAACTATCAACGCCCCATAGACATTTCCTCCTGTGTTTTTATTCTTAATAGTTTGTGAAGGCTAAACCTAAGACGTTCCTCATGTTAGATGATTCTCTTCCCTTCCTTCAATATGTGAAGTGAAAACCAGTTTCTTACAGGCACATTAAATTATTAGAGCGAAATCCTGAGAAAATCATTTACAGATTTCCAGAGCTTAACAACACTGCCGTGCAAAACCAGGAGATAGCCAGTAATTCTCTTACATCCTTTTCTCGTAGGCGTGGACCAACATGGTGCTAACCGTTCTCAATCAGATTCAAATCCTTCCAGACCAGACCTTCACAGCGCTCCAGCCAGCGGTGTTCCCGTGCATCAGCCAGCTGACCTGTCACGTGACTGACATCAGAGTTCGTCAAGCTGTGAGGGAATGGCTGGGAAGAGTGGGCCGTGTCTACGATATCATCGTTTAGAGGACTCAGACCCCTGTGGTCAGAGTCTGCCTGTCCATCCAGCTGATTGCATTTTTCCTCCCACCAGCCCACTCAGACTAGGTCTCTGAGAAACTAGTTCTCTGAAACCTAGGACAAAGCTTTTTCCAAGCTCTCCCTAATTAGCCTTGGGCTAGTCTGGATGCCGACGTGGTATCCAAGTGACACGGTGATCTCTGGCCTTGCACATTATTCCTTAAGAGTCTGCATTCCTTGATACATTTCTAAATCTAAACTTGATTTCCAAGTGCATTTGCTTGCAGTGTTATACCCAAAATGGGTCGTTTTCAACAACTCTTCTTTAGAAGCCCTAGGCCGATCCATTTAATCCATCATTTTCAAAATCAATGTAAGTCCTAAGGAAACATTTGCTGGTAAGTCAAGCTGATACACATTCGATCAGATGAATTTTTATATTCTGATTATAGTTTGGTTGGGAAGAAAACTGCAAAAGTGTATTTTTCCAGTGTTCTAATCAAGAAAAATGACTTCTAAAATGTATTCAAGGAACATTTCAACATTATGCTTAAGTTGTTAAGATTTTCAGGTTATTATTCACAACTTCCCCAGGTAAGGTACAGTTGTGCCTTTATTTCTCTGTTTCTAAAGGAAGGAAATTCTTTCCTAGCATGATTTTTAAGTCTGTGGCTTGGCAGCGCTTAAAGCACCCAGGGGTGCGCATAGTCACAAGACTTTGATAATGACTACCCTGTGTCCCATGAGTCTTTGCTTCTGTTCCCAAGGCAGGCAAAGAAAAATGGTGCCTTAGTCTTTTGTTGCACAGACATTTCTACGCCCCACAATTATCTGAACATAAGGTATGACACTCGGAGCTTAAGAAAGATTAAGATGCAATTCATTTTTATCAGTATCCTTGGGAGGACGTGAACTCAGTCCTCCACCTGGTGAGCATACTTCTCAGGGGAGGGGCAGGAAGTGTGGGATGGGGATACAGCCAGAAGGGGTGGGCTAGGGACTGTGACAGAATCGTTGTAAATCTTCAACTACAATACAGTTGTGAAATGATGGTGTCGGTTATGAAACTCTAGACCGAGTGGGAAGGGACAAAATGAATTTAGAAAACTATTTTTTTCTATATATGAAACACTTCTCTCTAGCAGATTTACTCTCTTTTAACTCATGTGATTCAGGCCAATATTTTAAATGTCTATTTCTTTTTCTAAGTATTATTAGAAAGTTCATTTGAAACATAGAATCATATCCGTTGGGGGCTAGGAATTGAGTCTGAGGGTCAATCCCTCATACTTAGGAACCACTGAGCTTTCCCACAGCCCTTACCATATATTTTGTATGTTTGTTACATTATAATAAAAACTAAAGCTTTTCAGACAAGCCCACTTACACTCCACAGTGTAGGATTAGTTACTGAGGCAGATGTGGCATTGCCTAAAAATGTATTCACACATCATCCTCTAAAAAATGAAACTTCCACTCTTCAGTATTGAAGGACTTAACAGAGGTTGAACTTTATCCAGTGATAATATTCATAAATGTTGCCCCCCATGAGAACTACATAGCTATCTACAAGGTCAAAGCAAGGTGCTTTGGCTTGCTTGGGTGGTCAAAAAGAAATCTCCGTTCAGCATGCCCCCTAAGCAGATCACCGAATCTGGGGGACGTTTTCCTAGTCCCACAAAACAATCTCTGCCTTCAGAGACAGGGATTCAACCCGGGTAATAATCCAAGTTTAAAAACTGATCTAAAGCCGGGCGGTGGTGGCGCACGCCTTTAATCCCAGCACTCGGGAGGCAGGACCAGGCGGATCTTTGTGAGTTCGAGGCCAGCCTGGTCTCCAAAGCGAGTTCCAGGAAAGGCGCAAAGCTACACAGAGAAACCCTGTCTCGAAAAACCAAAAAAAAAAAAACAAAAAACAACAACAACAAAAAAACTGATCTAAACAGATGTTTTGGCTTCTCTGTTTTCTAGTGCTGGGAATCAAACCAGGGTCCCAGAAAAGGCACACAGATGTTCCCCACCACTGAGCTGTATCCCCATCTCTCAACTATATTTGTTTGAATAAGCAATGAATTCTTTTATCAACAATTTTAGATTTTATATACCTTGTAAATGTAGTTGAGAGTTGAAAATTTTGCTTTGTTTTGTCTTTCTCAACAAAAGCAGTATAATTGTGTTGAGTTATAGCTGTTTAATTTTGTAGATTCTTTGGGGATCTGTTCTTGGTTGGCCTATAAGTACCTCACTTTACTGGAAAGAGAGCCGCGGTTAACCAGATTACAGAATTACAGCATGTCACAAAATGTGACCTTTCGTGAAGCATGAAAGCCAGTTTCCTTGTACGTATGTCCCAGAAGTAAAACCCTGTTCTCTCACGGACTGGCTAGAAAAGCGTGCAAGTGTTCTCTAACATCCTGATTATGGCCTGAGAATAAAGAGATGAGATGTAGCCAATGTTGGACCCAAGATGTCTTTACCTGCAATGTTGGCAACATTGGCAGATCCTCCCATCATCCTCTGAGAAGTCCCACATTGTTCTCAGACCACCCCCAAAGCTCTCTGTACTCCAGAGAAGACCTCTGCATCCTTCAGAGTCCAGCTAGAGGGAGGGATTTATGGTTTCAAATGGAACATTGATCAGTGCAAAGTAATGGCCAATGAGTGGTCCGTCCTTCAGGTGAGAGGACACACAGGTAACCAGGCCCCTCCCCTCACTGCCAATCAGTCCCTCTCAGTAGCTAGTCTCGGCCTCTACCCTTCTCTTCTCTCACTCAGTTTCTGAATGGAACCAGTGGTGTTTCCTGAGTCACGTAGGCTGAAGGTCAAGGTGGGGTTTTGAACTTCAAAACAGTCATCATCTCTGTATGTACGGAGGCGAGCAGAACATGGTCTTGCACGTTGCTTCTCTTATATTTACTATCAAAGTTTTATCGCGCGAGGTTGAAATGTTTTGCCTCCTTTGCTTAGAGAACTGTGCCTCCATGAAACAGGGAACCCAGCACCACATAAACCAGGCAGCCTGGGGCCTCGCTATCAGCCCAGCATGGTGCACACTCACAATCCCAGTCCTCACGAGGTGGGAGCAGGAAGATAGAAATTCAAAGGCATCCTCAGCTCCATGGGCTGAAGCCAGCCTGGGCTGCATGGGAGCCTGTAGAGCAAGCTGTCAGGTTTAATAACGGAAGGCTCATAATCGATCACAGAGCCTCGCTTAGCCCCTGCAGTTCAGTCAGTTTTTAGCCATGTTTAGGCTGTCCCTTGACACACTGTTTTCTTGTCCCCTTCATGAGAGACACAGCTTTCTCCATGAATGCAAAAATGTTACCGTTTTAGGTCATTTAGTCACTAGTGACTCAGGAAGATGCTGACAGACACTACAGCTCAACTTAAAATATTTTAAATCAAGCCAGACTTACGTCTCTAATCCCAGCACTGGAGAGGCTAAGAAAACAAGAGGATTGTAATGAGTTTAAGGCCACCTTGAGTGAGTTCCAGGACAGCCTGGGCTACAGTGTAAGAGCCTGTCTCAAAACCACAAATGTTAATGTCCAAAGTCCTTTTAACTTAGATTTGCTGGTATGATGATCAACACATGCTTCTTGTTTAAAAAAAAAAAAATTACTTTCACAGTCAATGAAGAGAGTCCAGTAGCCTTAAATACAGGAAGGTAATACAGATCATCGTCTCCCCAAATAGAGAACAGCACTACTTAGATAGAAACGACTCCTTTTTAAACTAGAAAACCTATGGCTGGAGATATGGCTCAGGGGTTAAGAGCACTTGCTGCTCTTGCAGAAGACTCGGGTTTGGTTCTCAGTTATGAGTCACCATGTGAGAGCTATCTCTTACTCCAATTTCAGGGAATACGATGCCTTCTGGCCTCTGGGGGCACCAGGCACACACATAGTATGCATACATGCATGCAGACAAATACTCATAAAATAAAAATAGTTGCTGAAAAAAAAGTAAGAATTTTCTATCAGTACAACCAAACTAAACAGAATGAAGATCTTTGTTGAAAGAGGTGACACATTGGGTTACTTTATAAAACCTGGGTATAAAACCTGGGTTTTCTCCTAGTTTAGTTCACAGATCCAGAGAGGTTCATGATTTGCTCAGGATAACAAATAAAAGGCAAAGTTGTTTGCAAAGAGTATCCTTGAACACAAAGGCCACACTTTCTCAGATATTGAGCTGTCAGTACTAAGTAAGATCTGCAGCAAGAGAGAATGGAAAAACTGCAAGGCCTTCCTTAGATGGTTAAAATGAAAATATTTGCTTCCTAGACCTATCTGGAGTATTATGTGGATTTTAAAAGTAATGTCTTTATAATGGATACCAAAATCTAAATGTTAACCCTAAAGAAAATATTTAGTGTTACATTAAAACCCCAGTAACATTAGAGAGAAACATGGCAGCCTGCATGGGCATGTATAATTAAATGATAAACCTTTTCATGTATCATTTAATCAACAAAGTGCCCCATAGCCAATGGAGCCCCTTTGCCAGCTTCTCTGGCAAGTGCCAAGCCTACAGGTCCCCATCAAAGCTTGGAGACACACAGAATAATCCAAAAATGGACACATCCTCAGAACAGGAAACAGCAATTTGTACAAAACGGACCTAAGTTCCAGGTAGGACAGTATGTGTGGGACCATGTGCCACACCCCAATATTTCCGCTTGCTTCCATAGGTGAGGAAGGAGGTAAAGACTCCAGAGTCCTGCAGAAACATGAAGACACAAATGTGTTTGGGAACCACGTAGCAGGAACCCAGCAAGATTTAGTGTGGCCTTAGAATAGTAAAGTCACATTTTTGAGCATTTTTTTATTGAAAATATGAACTTGATATTGGGAAAGATTTATAAAATTGGTAAAGGGTTTGATTTATAATTATACCCCCTTAGAAAATATATTCCCCTTATTCATAGTAGATCAGTCTAGAAAAAGGTTGTTCTTAAGAAATCCCCTTGCTCTGGCCATCTTGTAGTATTTGCAGTTGATATAAAGGTACCTAAAAATCTCATTGACGCCGGGCGGTGGTGGCGCACGCCTTTAATCCCAGCACTCGGGAGGCAGAGCCGGGCGGATCTCTGTGAGTTCGAGGCCAGCCTGGACTACCAAGTGAGTTCCAGGAAAGGCGCAAAGCTACACAGAGAAACCCTGTCTCGAAAAACCAAAAAAAAAAAAAAAAAAAAAAAAAATCTCATTGACATGTTGGACTAGAAACATCATTTAGCTGTTCAAAATATAAACACATTACTTTAGGAAAAACAGACAAAGACAAAAATCATACACCCCCAAGATGATTCAGGAGAAACTAAATTGAGAACAATGCTTCACTGCTTTATGAACAGGATACCGTTTACTAAAAGACAAAAAAATACTATGACAGCAGTAGCACCCCGCAAAACCTGTCACTGTGTCTTCGTACCGTCATGCAGAGAGGTTCCAGGGAGAAGGGGCTGGCTGACCTCAACAGTCAAGGTCCTTCAAATCTCAAGAACTGTTTTGCTCTGTGAGTTCCTGTCCTATTGGCTAAGCCAATGGTGTCTAGTTTCTTTCGTCTGAAGAACAGTGGTTCTCAAACTTTTAGCATACATCCGAATTCACCTAAGGGTTTGTTAAACCACAGATGCCCAGTTTCTGATTCTCTACATTCAGCTATCTGCATTTCTAGCCAACTCCCCGGCAAAGCCATTGCGGCGGCTGCTCTGGGAACCACAGGCTAGAAATCACTGACTTTTCACATCAACCTGACTTATCAAGCACTAAACTGAACTGACCCACGGGCGGACAGTTTGGGATTAGATTACTTACAACATTCCAGTTCCCCGCTCCCAGTTTTATTATACCAATAATTGGTCCCTATACACTAGAAGACAATGAATGTATATGTCGTATGGAACAATGAGATAAGTCCAAGCTTCTCGTCTTTGTATTTAGAAATTCTATGAATGATTGTTTGTATCCTGTTGACCCTTTGACTTGTACTGAAGGTAATTAAGTTTATGTGGTTTTTTCATTCCTTTCTATATCATTTTAATGAGATGTTTCCATGTACGGCTCCATTATAGCCTGGCTCCTGGCTTACAGAGGTTTTTCAGTAGTTGCTTGTCAGTTCCTTTACATCTTGGATTGGTCATTAATATATCAGCATTTCAAAATGCTCTGACACTTCTAGGGGTACTCTTGTCTTTCCCTTAACTGTGTGGTGTAGGTTAGTGTTTTAGTTTCATGTTTATTTGTAAAGAGTTTACTAAATGGCTTTGTGGAAATTTCCAAAATGAAACAATTCCTTCTGAGCAGTAGATGTGCCTGTCTTGACTTTTCAGTAAATATTGTGTTTATAAAGATATCAGCACAATGTAAACTAATCCTTATTCCATCTGATGGGACTATAGGAAAGTCAACCTTTGTACTTGGAAAATCTGGTGAAATGTCAACCCAAATACAGATGGGGCCTAAGTTTATACTTTAACTCTCTTGCTCAGTTAATTCATTTTAGAAATTCATTTTTGATTAAAACATAAGGGCCATATAATAGGAAGAGGAAGAACTGATGATCTGTATTTTTACTAAATTAAACACCCAACTAAATTAAAAATCTATTAATGTAATCCCAGCTACTCAGGCTTGCCTGGACAACATAGTGAGATTCTATCTCTAAATAAGAAGTAAATAAACATGAGTGAAAAAAAGGAACATACAAAGATTCAAGAGAAAAGTAAGTACTCTAAATATTGCTCATTTATAAACTACATTAGTTCCATATAATTCTCATTGACCCAATAAAGTTTCTATTTACATCATTTAGACTGTTGTTTGAATGGAAGGCAATCATTCTAGGTACTTGAAATCAGCGAAAGCTTGTCATCAGAATGTTAATGGTGTCCAGGATTCATCTTTGACTTTGTGGTTGAAAATAATTGTTTTTATTATTTCCTTTTTGTGTCCCGTAGCAATTTAGAAGTTGTGCACATATTTCATTCTGATTTCAATTACATTTTAAAACTCAATCTCTATGGAGAATTTATTTCTAAACCATTTCATCAACTGTTGCCAAAAAGGAGGACGAGAACCTGAAAGCCAGCCTAGGTTTTCTCTTAGACCTAGGGCGGTTTAAACCCTTGATCCCACCAGCTACCAGTGACCATCCACCTCACTCACCTCAGGTCTGTGTTCCCCTCTGTCACTGTTTTCTGCGGAGTTCTTTCCTCTGGTCCACTTTGAAATCGGTATGGTAACAATCAGTTCCCTGCTATGTGGTTACTTTTAATCAAAGATGAATGATTTGGGTATTTGGGTTTCTCTTCCATTGAGACCCTGTGGTTAGAATATTCAGTGTGGCCTGATAGGGTAGGAGGGGTTACCTAGGGGGAAAGGAAAGGTTACTTTTCTTTCTTTCTTATTTTTCTTTCTTCCTTTCTTCCTTTCTTTCTTTCTTTGTGCTTGGGTACAGTGGAGAGCTAAAACTCAAATGTTTATTCCCCTAACCATGCCAAATGTCTTATATTTCACAATAATTTTTCTAAGAGGAATGAGCAACAAATTACATTTCAGACAGGTTCCCTACTCCTATCCCCGCTTGAAATACAACCACTAGGGAGCAGAATTCCTTTTATCCATTCTTGTATTATACCAAAGAATGAACTTATTTTCATTAAAAATTATGAATAAATGCCGGGCGGTGGTGGCGCACGCCTTTAATCCCAGCACTCGGGAGGCAGAGCCAGGCGGATCTCTGCGAGTTCGAGGCCAGCCTGGACTACCAAGTGAGTCCCAGGAAAGGCGCAAAGCTACTCAGAGAAACCCTGTCTCGAAAAACCAAAAAAAAAAAAAAAAAAAAAAAAAAAAAAAAAAAAAAATTATGAATAAATGAAGCTAAGTATAGCCATAATGATTGAGTAGATTTACCATTTTACCTATTAAGATGGACGATTCATCTTTGCAACCAATTCACCAGGAGCCTTGAATTGTTTTGTTTACTCCAAAGGCCTTGTCCAGGAAGTATCAGTTTTGTTTCGACTTAATACTTAGCCACATTCACATTTACCAAGTCCTGAAAACCACTCTCCTTCAAGTGTTGATATAACTGTTTGGTTTGATATAATCTGTCAGTTCACTGTTTTCCAGGTCTCTGTAAGCAAGCTTGCAAGTGTATTTTGTGTATATTTTATCTGAAGTGAAAAACGAATTCTAAAGAGAAAATATTTTAAAAGAATACTGTATTTATGTTGCTTGTGTTGTAGAATAAAGATTCAAACGCATCAAAAATCTGACTTGGGGAGCAATTTTCTTCACTTAATATGAGTATTTGTATAAATAGCCTGTGTTTATAGGACTCTGCTCAAAGAACTAGGTCCCTTTTCTATGGCATCTTATAAACTCTGGGAAGGGGTCTTTTACATTCAATCTTATCAGATGAATACAATCCCCACTAATCATTCTAGCTCAAAAAGAAATTTGCAGAAATATAGACCACATTTCTGTGTGGGGCATAGGAAGATCTGAGTGAGGTCCTGAATGAATGTGTGTTGTCAACAAGGGCACCTGGTCACCTCATGGACTCCATCACTGCAGGTTCAGAGGAAAATAGCAAAGCCTCCTCCCCTGCTGTGGAGTGAGACTCAGAAGGAAATGTAAAAAGCCTCCTTCAGGCATCCATGTGTTGATAGTGGGTGCAGAAAATGTCCACCGTGGCTTTCTCCCCCAGGATATTTATGGCCTGAAGACTGCTCCCCTACAGAGAGACTGTTCCAGTTGAGTTTAGCTCAACCTGCCTTCTTAATCCATGTGCACCCCATAAACCTGGCCTCCTTGTTTATCTGTGTGTAATAACTCTGCCTCCCTGTCCAGCCTTATATAATAAACCCTCTGGGCTTCAGGGTGCTGAGGGATCTCCAGCAGAGTCCAGTCCATGCAAACCCAGTTTTTCTCCATGTCTCAAGTCTGCCTGTTTCTTCTTCTTTCCCTCACTAACCTAAGTCAGGTCCATCAGTTTTGCTTCTGGTTTTAGACTGTGGTTTGCACCCCATTATTTTGCACACACCCCTGGGCCCAACGTTCTATTCTCTATAGGACAATGACTAGTGTATAATTAGCTTCACTGTCTTGCAGGTTGCTCAACACTTGAAAGCTATGTATGTATCCTGTCCTTGGCATTCATACCTGTCATAGTTCATCTTCATTGTTGATATAACTGGATTTAGAATCCACATGGAAACACATCTGTCTAAGTGTTTGTGTGTGTGGATGTTTCCAGAAAGACATCACTGAGAAGGATGTATTTTGGCTCACAGTTTGCGACCATCACAGCAGGAAGAGACTGGCAGGAGCGGTGGGAGGGGGCTGGGCACATGGCATCCAGAGTTTAGAAGCAGGGAAAGGCGAATGCTGTTGCTCAACTCTCTGCCCTGTTTCTTTAATCTGGAACCCCAGCCCATAGAATCACACCACCCAGATCCAAGGTGATGCTTTCCTCATCAGTTAGGCCTTTCTTGAAAGATCTCTACAGATAGTCGTGGAGAGATGTGTTCCTATGGTGATTTTTAAAGCCACGTTAACAATAAAAGAAACCATTAAATCACCTATGAATATACTCACATATACCTGACTATACAATCACGAATATACAACCATGAATATACTCAAAACAGAAACCTTTATATTCTTCCCTCATCAGACACTAAGCAGTCATCAACTGAAAGCAGACCTCTCTGATAAACCATTTTACAGATAAATTCAAAAAGCCAACCCTCCCATTATTGATCCTCAGCAATGAATACACCACATTCGTGACTCTAGTTGTATTTCTTTAAAGTGGAGACTTAAGATGTTCCACGTGGTTGGCATACGATCAAAGCTTGTATTATGATTTAGCTCTCATAAATATTTCACATCGCAGATTAGAAAATTCACTTTCCCGTATAGCTTTAAGGTAGATTAAGTGAAAATCAAATTGAAGCCTAATGCAATAGTGTGGTTTTCACATATTGACCAGCATCCCTGCTATCTCAAGCCTTTGAGAGCCTCTTATTTTCCTTGTTTGCTTAACTTACAGAGCCCTAATTATGGCATTCAGTCATTTGTGCCCCAAGTCTGGCCTTGAACTTAACCCTCTTGCTCAAAATGTTTGGTTGTCAGAGAAACAAACTCTCCAGTTTCATGATCTTATTCCAACTCAGAGACTGTAATGGCATAGTTAAATCCCAGCATTTATCAGAGATTCTAAGTCCTTTTTACATACTAGAAATTAAAAGTTTTTACTGCAACATGGATGGATCAAACTCCCAACAGTTCAGAGCTGAGAACTCAAGTACAGAGCTTGATTCACGTTGGTGGAGCTTTGTGGTCGTCTGATCAGCATGTATTTACTACCCCATAACTTCAACAAATTATACAAGGAATCGCTCTGTAGCAGAGAATGGATAACTATCAAGAAAATGAATTAGCTGTCAAATGTGAAGCAAAAGCTTCATCAAAACTCAACCTGAAAACATGAAAATTGAGGCTGATACCCAAATTATAAGCATATTATTGGCTACATAGTAGCTTAAAGTTAGTATCTCAAGGTTTGTTTCAAGCTGCTCCCCGCCTGGAGCCATGAAGTCAGGAAACACTTGTCCTTTTCTAAAGTAACAATGAATTATAAAGTAATACTCTCAAGATGCTTAGTTTCTTTTTCCAGCAGAAGGGATTTATTATCTATTACTAAAGATTTCTCACATCAAATCTATTTAGAAATTCTTCTTGGAAAGCCAGCATCACTAATGTTTGTTCTATGCACAATCAAGGACACTTGGGCAGCAGAGTTCAGACCCCACCCACTCCGCAAGGTCTCCTTTGGGACAGACATTCCATACATACTGGTTTATCCCACGCCTCAGCTTCCCGGCAAACGTAGACACTTTTCATCTACTCTCTGCCAGAGGCCCATTTCCTCTTGGCTGAGCAGCAAATAGATGCCTCCAACTCCATGTGAATTATAGCCATATATGACCTGAGAAGATCACAGTGTTCTGCTCTATAAACTTCCCAAGGATTATGACAGGTTCACACCGGTTTATAGAGTGTCAACCCCATCAACACCAAAGCTCATCTCTACTTACAAACTTCTCCCATTCTAGTTCAACTACCTGGACAGTCTCAAACTTTAACATCTGTAAGAATCAACAGTTGTTGATCATTAAACTTGTTAGTGTCCAGATCCTCACACCCATTGTTTAACTAGAAAAGCTCAGTATTCTGTGTCAGGAATGATTCCTTAAGTAAAAATTTAAAACTCATCCAAGTTAAAATATTGGCTTCAGATTAGGAATGTTCGGTTAGAACCTCGAGCTCCCTCCTACTTGATTCAGAAAGGCCCATTCCTGTCTCTCTGTCTATGCAATGTCTGTCTGTTTCTGTTTCTCTCTCTCTCTCTCTCTCTCTCTCTCTCTCTCTCTCTCTCTCTCTCTCTTTCTCTCTCTCTCTCCAAACCCCACTCACTCAGAGAATCTCCAATAAAGTGAAGGCATCAAAATGCTCAGTTCCGCAATCTTGGCGGCTGTGACAGCTCCTCCCCTGAAGTTGCCAGCAGTCCAAGTCCCCACCTACAGCGGTCAGCACAAACCCAGCTTGTGGTAGACACGCCATCAGCCCACACCTGCAAACTATATGATCTCCCTGCTTTAGTTTGGGTACGAAGCCTCTCTGGCCTTGATCTCTGGGACTGGAGAACCTGCTCCAACCAGGAGTCACTTTGCTCAAACTTACACTTTTTCATTTTGGCTTGATCCGGCTTACTGTGTTGGTGGGAAAACCTGTTATCAGGTTACAGAAAATCTATTAAGGAACATTCCCCCAAATTAAAAATAGAAAAAACAATGTTTTGAGACGAAATGGATAAATTTCAAATACATTAGTTTTCTATCCAGGCCAGCTCCTTAATAGTGAATATAAAACAACCCGTTAGAATGTCTGGAATTAATTTGGCTGATAACAATTATGCTAATATATACTCTAAAATGTTTACCAA